CCTCTTCCCCCTCGACACCCTCAAAACCCGCCTCCAATCCCACCAAGGCTTCTTCGCCGCCGGCGGGTTCCGCGGCATCTACCGCGGCGTCGGTTCCGCGCTCGTCGGTTCCGCCCCCGGCGCCGCCTTCTTCTTCTGCACCTACGAAGCCACCAAGTCCTTCCTCCTCCACCAAGAGCATACCACAACCACAACAACAACAACAACACCACCAAGCAGAAGAACCCAAGCCCTCACCCACATGCTCGCCGCCTCAGCAGGAGAAATCGCCGCCTGTGCCATCCGCGTCCCAACAGAAGTAGTCAAGCAACGCGCCCAAGCGGGCCAGTTCGGCGGGTCCTCGGCCGCGTCGCTGCTGCATATCCTGCGGCAGCGCAGAGACATTGGGGTGGTGGGCGTGTGGCGGGAGCTGTATCGCGGGTGGAGCATTACAGTGATGCGGGAGGTGCCGTTTACGATTCTGCAGTTCCCTCTGTGGGAGGGGTTGAAGGCTTGGGGACGAGAGAGGAAGGCTCGGTTGGGGAGGGGGTTGTTTGGGGATGTGGCTGTTGTGGCCTCTGCGGGGGGGAGTGGTAAGAGGATAGGGGGGGGTGGGAGTGGGAGTGGGAGTTGGAGTGGGGAGGTTGGTGCGGCGGAGTCGGCGTTGTATGGGAGTATATCGGGGGGTGCAGCGGCGGCTGTGACGACGCCGTTGGATGTGATCAAGACGCGGGTGATGTTGAGCGCGCAGCGGGAGAGTATCGCTAGCGTTGTGCGGTCGATATGGCACCAGCACGGGATACGGCCGTTCTTTGCGGGCATCGGGCCCCGGGTGATGTGGATCAGTGCTGGGGGTGCCATCTTCCTAGGCAGTTACCAATGGGCGGTCAACGCGCTAGAGAGGAGCACGCTTGTAATATGAGTGGGATATAAAGGGTCGGTTTATAACTGCAGGTGTGAAACTGCTTCAGGCACCCGAAACGGTGGTTGTCGCTTCTAACCACACCTAAAACGCCCCAAGGCTTGTCATCCGGCATATGTACAATACCTACCTTGAATAGAAAGAGCCGAGACGAATACCCCAATAGATTCGCCGCTCGCACTCTCCTGCACCAGCCGAATATAATGCCAATCAAAAGCAAGCGACAGAAGGAAAATACCTAAAACTATCCAAAACGAAACGAAACCACGAGTGCTCCTCAGCCCCTCGCATCGGGCGACACTATGCCTTCGATGCCGTCGCCTCCGAGCTCTCTCTTGTCCCCGCCTTCTCCTCCATCACATCATCAGACGGCTGAGGTGACGGTATCGGGATTTCCTTGCGCCCGTTGGCTTTGTAGTGCAGCACAACGTCATTCCCGCCCCGCCAGACATGTGTGCGTAGTGTGGCCAGCGTCATTTTAAGGGGGAGTAACTGTGGTTAGTGTGTTAGCGTTTAACAGTCATACAACACGACCGCCTCCAAGCGCCCCCAAAGACACAGCGAGAAACCTACCTGCTCATTGCAGTACAACTCCAAATACTCCTCCGGCTTCATCAGCCCTTCTACCGGCTGCTGTTGATTCTCACCCTCCGCCGCTGCCTTCGCAGCCGCCACATCCGGGTCGATCCGCTCGGCCACATACGCCAAGATTTTCCGCACCCTCAACATCCGATTTGCATTCAACCGATTGTTCCCGTCCACCGACACAATCGGCGGCAGCGTCTCCTTCCACGGGTGCAGCACAAACGAGATCTTGACAGGGTCCTTGGGCGGCAAGGCGTTCAGCAACAGCACATCGCCCAACCACTGCGGCGCGCGCGCTTCGATTATGTCGGCGTCGGCCCCGGCGGACGCAACAGTGCCGCGGTAGATCTCGGCGGATCCGCCGGATGTTTCTTCTTGGATAATCACTTTCGTCCCTGCGGGCAATTTGAGCACGGGAGTGTCATTGGCCAGGCTGGGCGCGATACGACTGTCGACGAGCTCATCTGGTTTATCCGCGATCTGTTTCTCGTACTCGTTGCGCAGTCTTTGAACCACGCCAAGGAAGCTGTCTTCAAATTCCTTTTCGTGGCCGGAAGATGACTCGGATTCCTCCGCCTTCTCGTCCAAAACCACTGGTTTCTCAGCTGTGGCTGTCGAAAGGGACCGGCCGAGCTTCTTAGTGCCAAAGGACATGCCCATGCGGAACTTCTTGCCGAACGTAGTGCCTGGCGACTTTGCTGTGTCCTTGTCCTTGTCCTTGTCCTTCCCGTCTTTCTCCTTGCCGTCCTTATCCTTGCCCCCATCCACTGAGGTCTTCGGCTGCTTGTCATCTCCCCCGGGCGTCTCAGCCGCAAGAGGCGTTTGACCAGGCCTAAGCAACCCGTCGGGACTCTGGATCGCATCCGAAAAGTAATCCTCCCTCTCCTGCGACGGGCGGCTGACCTGCGATGACCGCTTATCGACCAAGGGGCTGAGGGGTGTAGTAAGGCTCTCTAACGCAGGCGGTGCTGGTGAGCCGGGAGTCGCCAATCCTATTCCGAACCCCGGCGTCATCGGCACATACTGCGGCCCGCTCGCCCTCGGCGTGGCTGAGGATAAGTCTGCCGGGCCCCAGTTCGGCTGCGAAGGGATAGAGATTGCCAGCGGCGGGCCCATTCTCCCAGCCGCTATCCTCTTTGCCGCGCCCTCATTCAGCTTTTGTCGGAACGCCTCGTCTCGCCGGATTTCCTCGTCGATCAGGTTCGCGAAGAGGTATCGAAGAGCCCATTTCCCGAGGTTGACTAGGTTGTTAGTATCCTCAATTCCCTCCCGGAAAAAGGGAAGTGAACTTACTTCGTTGATCCTCCCTAAACTCCACGGGCTCTTCCAAAACCAGCTCATCCGCGTACATCTCGGCGTCGAAACAGTTGTACGGCTCCATCACGACCGTGAGGTTCCCCGAACTAATATCAATCGAGCACCACGGCGCCACCGTTTCGCGTGTGTTCACCTCAGGCTCCACGTCCTCAAGATGGCGTTTCCCGAAGCTTTTGATAGGGCGACACTAACATCCCAGTTAGTGATCAACCCCCTCATACACAGACAATAAAACGCCCCCACCCCCCCAGTCTTAGACTTACCTGAATCAAATCCCACATCAACACATCCCCCGCCGTGTCCAGCGTCAACACCCGTCTCCTGTCATTGAGCAACCTGTGTTTCACGAGCCCAAACTGGCCCTCGATGGTCTCCTCGGGCAAGTGATGAATCGGCTCCACGAGGCTAACCACATGCTCCGTCAGCTCCGAGGGGTTCCTAGTCAGCCCCGGGAACGGGTCTTCTCCATCCCGACCTAAGACCAGCGGAAACGATGCCGTGTTCGATATCCGGAGAATAGACTTGGCCGGTATCTCCGGGTGCCCGCCCTCGCTTGCTGCACTTCCCGCAGCACTCGTAGTCTCTCGACTCCGTACCGTCACCAGGGACTCCCTATGTTGCCTGTATGCCGGTGGGAGCCGCATGCCACAGCCCGTATCCACGTCCTTCCACCGGTTAATCGATGCGGTAGCTGTCGCCGTCCAGATACTGTTATCCCATGCCACCATCTTGCTGACCCCATCATTCTCCTTGGCAACGGCCAAAGACAGGCCATTGTCCAAATCGCCGTGGGTTTCACGCACATCCGTCTTGACCACCAGCCCGGTGCGGTCGCTGCTGTAGAAAATATTCAACTCCGGATCATCCGAGTACAATGCCCAAACGCTCTGGTCGTGCATAGTCAGGGTATGCATGCACCGGCCGGCCGTGACGCTCCAGACTTTAACGGTCTGGTCCGCGCTCGCAGACAGCACCATGTCGCCGGACTCACTGATCAGAATGGCACGGATCATGTCAGTGTGTCCGACAAACTTGGTGATACGCTGGCCCGACCTGGGATCCCACAACCGCACGATGCTCTCGGGCCCGCCGTTGGCAAGAATGTCATGGGTCACGCCCAAAGCGTACACGCTACCCTTTTGGGACACCTCTTCACCCTGGACATCGATCTCGAGCGATTTCCCCGCGCCCGACAGATCCCACAGGATAATCTTCCGGTCGAGACCGCCGGCGGCCACCCAGTTGGTGGACTGGCTCGGGGTAGCGACACATTTGACGTAGTCGGCGTGTTGGCCGATAGTGACGGGTTCCTGGGCGTCGCTGGCATGGGGTCGCCAGACCTTGACCAGGAGGTCGGAAGAGGCGGATACCAGCGCGCTGTGCTGCTGGGCCAAGGTGATGTCGTTGATCCAGTGGGTGTGGGCGTGGGTCTGGGCACGAAATCGGGTGATGGATCGTGGCTGACCGTTGGTTGATGCTGTTGTATCCACGACAGACGAATTTCCGTTGCGCGCGCCGTTGCGGTTCAGATCCCATGCGCAGATGACGCCATCTCGGCCGCCAGAATAACTAGATAAAACCAATTAACCCCGGGGGATTAACAGCATAAATCGAGGGACGAAAGAAAACTCACAGAATCGCATTGTCGCGATCAACAGCTAAGCCATTGACCCCTAGTCGATGACCACCAGGAGAAGAGTTGGGCGCCTCGAGAACTACCACATCACAGTAATGTCAACAACAAATTCCGAACCCTCCATAAATAAGCTGTCACATCCCCCATCTAATGCAAGGGGCTCATTTCCGAGACAAGGAACGCGATTCCATGGAACGCGCTGCAAGTCCACGTGCGGGGTTTCCAGCAAAGCCAAGAGGCCAGGAACCAAGAACAGCAGGAAAACGATGAGAAAAGACGAACCATAACTGATTCGCTGGCGCGCCTTCTTGGCCATGGTCAATGTGCGCCGTGGGGCTATAAGATGACCATGTAAAAGCTCTACGTGAGCGAGACGCTGTGCTGGATATCGAAATTCCCGTGTAATGGTGCACCGTCAGGCACGCAGTCAGGAGTAACGGTATCGTGAGACGTCTGACCCGCCGAGCTTCTTCGTTGTTCCGGAAGAGTGGAAAGTGGGGTCATGAATATTAGTGCTGAGTCGCTATCTGAAGTCGGCTCCCAATAATCCGATAATGATATATAAAGCGAAAAAAAAGAGAAAAAAACAAGTAAAGAACAGATGAAGAAGGAGCAAAGCTGTTGAGATCCCCGAAGCTTGGGGGTCCAGGATGCAGGAGCTGCAAGCAAGCTGCTGCAGAAGCCCGAAAACTGACCACACAGCGCCGTTGGAAGTTGGAAGGTGCCAGGGATCTGCTAGAATGTGACGCTGCAATTCTTGGCGCGTGGCATCCACATGCTCGACCCAAATAGGAGCGGGGCAAGGTTCTTGTGGGGCTATTTAATTCGCGGGGTTGACAGGCCGGAGCTCTGACCTCTCTGACCCACAAACGACGACGTCTGCTCTGGATTCAACACAAAACAACTCCAGAGCAAGTCAACGGCCTTGTCCGCGTCCCGATGATAGCCTTCTTCAGACCTTACTCTCACTAAATAGATGATCCTTATTGTTTTAGAATCCGACTCTTGGTGCTCGCAATCGTACTGTAGTGTCTTGACTAAACGCAACACGATGGAGGTGAAAGAAAATAAAATTTACAAATCACAAGTTTTAAACATTTGAGCTACTCTTACATATCACAGACGCCGTTCTTATCTCAACATGGCCCATCAACCGGAATCACCCGCCGATGAACATTACCAACCCCACCGAGAACTTCGCTTGTGTCCTCCTTTCCCTTTCTGTCCTCCCCCTATTTCTTCTCCTCTTTCTCCTCTTCCTTCTCCTCCCCATAATACGACGACGACCGATTCATTCCACCATTTCCACCCTTACCCGCACCGCCCTCATCACCCCCCTGAACCGGCGGCATATCAAACCCGCAATCAATAAAAATCGTGTTCCGCACATGTCTAGCCGCCTCCACGGCCGCAGCCGCTTGCTCAGCCGACATCAAGTCATGGTCCAAGGCCGGAAACATCCGGGCCGCCGACATGGAGGCAGGCGTGGGAATCGCCGTAGACGTGGATGTTGGCGTGGGCGTGGACGTCTGGGTAGATGCCGACTGCGGGGTCGGAGCGAATGTCGACCTGAGTGTGGACATCGACGAGACGGTGGAGATGGTGGACGTCGAGGAGCCCGTGGCTGTCACAGCGGTGGTGGGACGGGATGTGGCGGTTGATTCTGAAGAGGCGGTGGTGGTAGTGCCGCGGGCGGGGTCTGGGAGGGTGGTCACCGTTTGGTACACGCCTGAGGGAGTACCGCCAGATCCTGGGGAGGGTAAAAAGTGAGGTTAGCCGGGATGGAAAGCACTGAAGGATGAGAAGAGAGAAGGACGTACCAATCGCCGCTTCGGCCTCGTACGGGCTCATCACCGGGTAGTAGGTGAACTGGCCCGTCTGAAAGGCAGTCGAGTCTCGGGCCGATGTGGTAGTCATGGGCTGCCGAAAAGCAGCGCGGGTGGCAGTGTTAATGGCCTCGGGGAACAGAACGGGGATTGTCGGCTCCGGAAAGGCACCCGCAGTCAGAGAATCACGGCCCTGGGGAACCGTCTGAGTGGTCTGACCCTGCTGAGGTCTCGGCTGAGGCCGAGGTCGAGAACCGACCGGCCGACCGGTGTACCCCGCATGGTGCGATGTAGCCGGGTTGACAGCACCACGGGCGCGGGCACGGTTGGGGGTGTCCCAGTTGTGGCCTTGCTTGGTTAGTTGAGGATCTGGTAACCGCGGAGAGGAGTTGTGATACTCACGAAACGCAGGCGGAGGTGGAATAGTCGAAGCATCTGGGATGAGGTCGCTTGATTGGACTAAACCTCATGGTCAGCTAAAATCCAACGGGTTGGAAAATGGGGAAAGGTAAATCGAAAAATAAACTTACTCGGACGCGGAAGCTCTCCCCCAGCAACATAGCTCGACGACGAGGCCCGGCTCACATCCGAAGCCGCCATGGACACTCCCGACACCTGACGCATGCGCGCCGGGTTGCGATCTGGGATGGCCGGCGGCTTGGGCGAAGCCCGCGGCGAAGGCGACGACGACATGATCTTCGCTGGGTCTCGATTTCCCAGTTTCGGAAAGAGCGAGTACTTTGGAGTCGGCTTGGGAGGTGCCGACGCGGAGGGGGGGCGACGAGTGACGATAGGCGCCGCAGTGGTGGTTTCGACTGGCTGATGCGAATTTTCGTCGCCGACTTCGTGCCGCAATTCCTGCGGAGGGTACCACGGAGTTGTATGCGGAGGGGGTACCGGTGGTGGTGACCAAGTCGGCATGGGCGGGATTAGAAGGTCAAAATCGTTTCCCTCCTGCCGATTTCCCTGGTCACGGTCCTCGTCGAACAAGAGATTCTTGCACCCCGCATTCCACTCGTGGTCGTCGGTCGTATGCTCCGGGGCACTCGCACCACGCACTCTGGGAAGGGGCAACGAGGTTCCGCTCTCAAAGACGGGGATCTGGCGGAGCAGCTTGTGTTTTGGGGGTACCGGGGGCGGGCCGGTCGGTTGAGTGTCATCCTTGGACGACGACGAGCCCCGCCGTTTCCGGGCCATCGGGTAGTCGGTGCCTCCTAGACATCGATCAGGTCAGTCAGTGAAGTGTCTTATTGAATCTCCCCTATCAGCATTGAATGTAGGGCGGGTCAAACTCACGGCCAACATCTCCCAGCGCATCCTCAATCTCTTCAATCGCCTGCGAGGTGATCATAGGTTGCAGCGGCGGCTCGCCCGCTGGCTGTGTGTCAGTCGCTTCATTAATTATTAACAAAGGCTCCGTCAGTATGGGTAGTTATGAACTCGGTCACTCACGCTTCTTTGACATGCCGCCCGTCATGGCGCGCAGCAAGTCCCTCGGCATCGTGATCAGACAAACCGATAGGACGGAAAACCAAACGCAGAGAATTATCCAATTCAAAGAAGAATTGTTTCAAAGCAGGGCAAAGAAGAAAAGAAGAGACCAAGCCGAACCCACCCGCTGATCAAAACGATGGACCGAGAAGGGCGGGGTTGGTTGGAAAAAATCAGGACTATTGGGATTGGAGGTGGCAGAAGATGAGAGGAAGAAGGTTCAAAAAGGGGACGCGCTCTCGAAATATTGATCAGTTCCCAGTCACGTCTTCGGGGTGCACGCGTCCAGTTAAGACGAAAACCCGTGGGCTACCATACTCGCCTGAACTTCACAGCAGGTACGGAGTTCTGGTGATTCCCCCTTATCGGCCAGAACAACAGACCGATAACAGCCATGGTTCCCAGTTGAAAGGTCTACTTGGGGCGGGGCAGTTGAAAGCCAGGGGAAGGAACGGGATATGGTATCTGATGGATGGTCCAGCTCTTGTTTCTCTCCATCGGGTTCAGCTAGTAGGATCTAACTATCCCTATGCTCTTCTGGCTTATTAGATCATTGTGGTTAAGCCAAAGGCTGCGGGGATGTAAACAACCCCTGGATCATAAACGTGATTCTAACCATTTAACCTCAGCCATTGTCTCTATCTATCTTTTACTATTCCCAACACGTATTGGGAACCCAGCCTAAACATGTGCACGCCACGTCTAGGTATTTGTTGTGGCATCATGTACCCTCTTATTAATACCTTGGCTAAGACCACTACAGTTCAAATGCTCCAGGAGAACGAAGAGTTGACCATGTCAACATGTGTTATATTTAATTTGAAAGTATGCTGCCTCTTTGAAGAGGTCTTGTCCTTATGTGTTTCCATGTTTAGATAAAGAAAAGAACGTGAAAAGGGAATAAAACAGCAAATCCAAGCCAAAACCAGATCGCATGCCCAAGGATATCCATAGTTATCGCAAGCCAAAATCCCATCAAATTCCAACCAAAGGGCCGTTCAGGCACAGTATTTCAAGCACGGTATCGTTCAATCCCTCCCTAGTCCATCATCACTCATCACTCATCACTGCACATCCATGCACCTCTTTCCTGGCACATCCTTCTTATCCCTCGACTTAACCACTCCCAGTCCCGTCCCCATTACCCACCATCACTCCCTCATATCATACTCCTTAGTTCGCCTCACCAATAAGAAACTCCACATCACCACTCGTACTCTTCCCCTCCACCTTTCCACCCCTACCTTTCTCCCCCTTCCGCGCCAACAGCGCCTTGTTGACACCCGGCCAGTCGCTCCCAGCCTTGATCACCTTTAGTCCGTCACCACTAACACGCAGCACGCCGGTCAGAGAAGTCAAAGCCACATCCCCTTCCCAGCTCTGAGGATACCGCAGTTTGATCGTGGCCGACGTGCTGGTGTGCGTGCCGGAGAGGTAGCGGAGCGGCGTGGGGTCTTTGTTAGGGTTACCAAGGCTGTCGCTGTCGGTGTTGGCGGAGGAAGAAGATGAGGACGAGGTCCTCTCGTTGAGGTTGACATATCCGCCGCGCCTTGTCTTCGCGGGGCCCTCTCTAAGCGCCACAATCCCAATTTCCGGTCCGGCTCCGTCGTTTTCGCCACCAACAATGACAACAGCACTGGGGTCCACCCACAGCGGCTCCAACACCTTCAAATCCGTATCACCACTTGTACTTCCGGTCGTCAGCGTTGCCTTCCTGCCTGCAACCTCCACCTCACCCGCATCCCGGATACTCTCAACCAATCCCACATCTAGGATAGGCAACAATTCCAAGCTCACCGTCCCGGACGTCGACCGGAACCCCGCCGCGCTGCTGAATGCCGCGGCCCCGTTGATATCCCCACTCGTGGTGTGGACATTCACCCGGTAGTCCCTCGGCGGCAACAGCTCCTCTGCTTTACGCGTCGCGAGTCGGCGCTGCTTGGCCGAAGTGAACGCCTGCCCAATCCGGAACGCCGCCTCCGCAGCATGGATCGGCTCGCGGAAGCTGACATCGCCTGAGAGCGAGGTGATGTTGAGCACCGCAGACTTGGTGAAGTGGTCCGGGTCGGCCGGCTGCGGGACAACAGCAGTATGGATGTCGCCTGAAGTAGATTTCAGGCCGAGGTAGTCGAACAGCGGCCAAGAACCGGAGATGTCGCCGGACGTGGTGTGGACGTCGATGATGCGGGAGTTGAAGTTGAACGAGGATGGAAGGCTGGGCTGATCGAATAGGGCTTCGTTCTCGGCTGCAGAGCTACCCGCGGCCGAGACGATGGTGCCGATAGTGCTAGATAGCCGAGTGCCCTTGGCGATGGAGAGAGAAAGATTGTCGAGGAGCCGTACGTTGAGGTGGACGACGTCGGCGTGGAGGAGGCTGAGGTCACTGTTCTCAGGGACCCAGACGGTGGCTTTGATGTTGACGCATGCCCTGGGTCGTTCCTGTGCCCATTCGAGGTGGCGAGGGACGGTGATGTTGAGGGTTCCGGTGTCGGCGTCCCAGGTGATGAAGACATTGAGCCGGTCGTCGGTGACCGTGGTCTCTACGGTGATCTGCGGGTCCGGATGCTCTGGCGTAGTCCGGCGGAAGATAGCGTCACCTTGGACGTGGACGCCATGCCAGTCGCGGTGGTTGTCGTCATCAGCAATACGTTGGATGAGGTAGAGCTCCTTCTTGGCTCCAAAGTCAAGGTCATAGAGCTGGGTGTGTCGCTGGATTTGAGCCTCGGCGCAGAAGTTCGAAGGGTCCCAAGTGACTCCGTCATCTACCTCAGGGTACTCCATGTCGGGCGGGTAAGGTCGAGTGTGAGGATTGTGGCGTCCAGGCTACGATGACAGTCAGTGGTTGTTGACAAGACGAGGTAAAAAAAACATGGTGAGGGTGAGGTATGAGTAAGGGGTTATATATCATAAGGAAAGCCTGAGGAAGCCAAGACATTGTAATCCAACCCCAACCCCGCAGTAGAGATGATGAAAGACGCGTCACACTTACACGACCTCCTGTACCATCAATGACGCTGCTCAAAAACCCACCCGTCAGGAAAAGAAGCACCACTGCGATGAGCACCATCTTGAATGCCCTGATCTTAGCGTGCCGTGGAGCACGCCTCAACCTGCTCCTCCACGTAGGAGAAGCCTCACCACCAGTACCATTAACGCCGTTACCCCATAGAACACGCCTCAACCGGCTCCTCCATGTAGGAGACGCCTCACCACCACTACCATTGACAACATGATCCCGCATGCTTTCCGGCTCGGGGTGAGCCAACAAAGTCTGGGACTCATCAACGCGGCCCATGTTGACAGTTGCGTCGCCAGGTTGTGAGAAGGTCCTATAATTTCTGTGATCGTCAAGGCCCTGTGTCCCGGTCGGGGAGGTGGGCGAAGGGGTATACGCTGGCGGGGCCTCGGCCGGTATGAATTGGTAACGCTCACCACCACCGCGGTACACTGACGGTTGGGCCGAATAGGTTGTATATGAGGTGGGCGTTACACTCGGGGGAACGCGGCTCGAGGATGACGGAGCGTAGTACGTGGCCCCTGAGTCCGAGCTCGGGGCGAAATGCTGTTGGTGAGTGGTGGTTCCAGTGTACGTCGACGATGAGCCGCCCCGGGGAATTGTGGACGTGTACCGCTCTTGGTGCGAACCGCTGAAGTCGCCGGCGTCCGGCCGTTCCTGGCCTAGCCTCTCCTGTTCGGCCTCTTTGGCCTTTCCGTCGGGAGAGTCCCGATGCAGAGATGGGTCCTCGACCAATACGTTGGGTACGTATGGTACATTGGACGACGTCGGGACTACCGGACTAGGCGACTCCTGCGTGCCCGTCCCGAAGTACCCATCTGTGGGTGAGAGCAGTTGTGGATCCTCGTTGTCGCCAGCATCGTAGTCCGCATCGGTATCCGCCAAGCCGGTGTTGGGGTTGACGTCTACCCAGGGAGACTGGCGAGTCACACTGGACCCTTGACCCCCATCTTGAGTCGGCGAGGTATCACCAATTATCTCCAGAGCTTCATCGTCCAGCGCCGAGTATAGGTCGTCAGAATACGGCGGCATCTTCCAAGCCGGCCAACCGCGGTACTCCTAGGGGCCGCAGGCCAGGTGCCCGGCGAGGTAATACAAAAAGCTTCTTTCAATGTCCAGCCAACTCTACTGGGGGAAACCGTTCACACACTATCCAGAATGAACACGTAAAAAGGCAAACCAAAAAGCGTAGAAGGGTGGAGAAACGCGTGTTGGAGTTGGATTGATGTATTGAACAATCACTCTGTCAGGAAGGTGAACAGAAACTAAGAATGTGCATCAGGAAGAAACAAAAAGAGAAACAGAAGAGAGAAAAAGTTTTGAATCCTTGTCATTGTCAGCCCTTTGATCCATTCCGACCCGCGGAGAGAAAACAAGCCGCCAACCACCCATCCCGGGCAAGGAAACCGCACCGAACGCGCGGTGAGGGGTCGCATCCCGGTTCCACGGTGTGAACGCCAATGCAAGACCATCCACGGGCCTCGTCAGCACCGCTTTGAATGCTTGGAAGAAGTTCTGGCCCTCTGCCCATTGGGGGATCACTCGGGGTTCCAGTGGCTGCAAAACCTTTTCTTGACAAGCGCAAGCACCAAGCCAGGGAAGGGACGAATCTCCTTGGGCATGGCGATTTGCCTAAACAGGAAGCTGCGAAGGACCCCCTGCCCGGCGATAGGGCAGGCAAAGTGCGGGGGCATGCCCGCAGGCCGGATGACGCACTGCAATCAGGTCACGCCTTCTAAGACCTTTGTGAACAATGAGGGAATGGAAATTCTTCTTTCGATTTCAGGGCAAGAGATTGGAGATGGGCATCCACTCACAGGCGCCAATTGGCGATTGCGCAGTTCTCTTTGCATATCGCCATCCAAGGATCTAGTCTTTGCTTACGAAACCACCACCTCGGGCCACGCCAGCACGATCGGCCGGCAGTCCATCCTACATAGTAAAGAGATGGCCACAAACGCAAGGCATGACGAGTCACATGCAGGTTGAGGAAGAAAAAAATTAACGTTGCCGGCTCGTTGATCCGGCCCGCAGGTCGGCGCCAAACAAATTCATCAATGGGTTTGCCATATTCGGCCGTACATATATCTATGACTTCCTTCTCACCATGTCTCTTCCATCGCCCTGTTTTTCTGGTGTGGCGCGTGTATGCGATCCAAGGCTCCGTATTCGCAGCTCTCAAGTGACCGCTTTCTATCTGGTATCATCCATCCTGCCGTGTCCGCCCCCAAAACAAAGACGCCGTAGCCATAAAAGGCCCTCAAGAAAAGGAATATAGGGAGCAAAGTGCTGACCATCTCCCCAAAATTTACCAAAACGCCAAACGCGAAGATGCTGAAATCCGGTCAGTCCTCCACAATGTTCTGCCCCGCTGCTACTTGTAACTCGCCCAATAGGTAATAGGCGGGGTACCGACCCCGGCCTTATCCACCTAGCAGCCTCGCCTGTTGATATTCCTCCTTATTATTTCCCTCCGCCTTCGCCCCATTCAATGAAGGTTCAATAAACTCTTCATATTCTCATAACACACCCAAGTTATGCTCAGAGCGGGAGCGACCTTAAGGAGATTGGGCGTCAAGCCCTTGTAAAGACCCCGGACCCCCTCGTTTCGGAGTGTTTTGGTCGTTACGTCGACGATACCTGTGTAGGTCGGCGGGTGCATGGCGGTGCCTTGTGTCTGAAGACGAGTGCGGACGACGTTGAGCGGATACACAATGGTGGCGCCCAATGCGCCCGATGATGCGCCCAGAATTGCCGTCGCAACATTGCCGATGTGTGCGTCCTCTTCGTGAACGCCATAGTATTTCGCCATGGCCCGGGCATACGACTTCTTGAGGACTTCAAAAGTGCCGATGTCGATGGCGCTGTAAGGGAACATGCCGATCAAGCCGGCGCCGAGGCCCCGGTATGCCGCGCGGAAACCACCGTCTGCCCACATGTTCTTGGCCGTGCGGAAGAGCAACGCGTTTCCTTTCGGTCCGCCCTCCACGGTCTCGCATTGGAGCCTAAACTTGAGGGTGTCGATCGGGTAAACGCAGAATTGTGCAGTCATGCCGCCAATACCACCTGCCACAAATTTCGAGACCGTACTAATCTTCGTGGGGTCATTGTGGCCTTCGTAAGCGGCAAGGAAGCGCTTGGATGCTTCGTACGAGCCGAACTACTTGGTGGTCAGTACGGCCAGCTCTCGAAGCAACGGAACGGAACAGCAATTACCCGAATGGCGGACTCCGGCATAATCTTGACGACGTTGAGACCGTTGCCTTGTTGCGGTTAGCAAGGACCAACGCTAGCAGAAGCAACCTAATGGGATGCGGCTATCCTACCTGCGAAGAAAGTGCGGAGCCCCCCCGTCTTCCACAAGTTGACAACGGCGTCAACAATTGGTCCACCGGCGTTCCGCAGGGCCGTCAACGGCCGGCCGCTCTTAGCGGCAGCGGCGGCTACATTGGCCTTGGTATTCGTGTTGACGAGGAGGAAGACTTTTAGGCGGTCTAAGGGCGCAGTAGCAGTCCGCGACACACCACCTGATACGGCACCGGCGAGGAAGTATCCTGGTTCGGGTAGCAGATCTGTCAGTCTGGTTGCATTACCCTCCTCCTCCTCTGTGACTAAAATCTCCGGGGCGGCGTCAGACTGCTGCGCTCTCTCAAAATGCAAAATAGGTGCCTTAGCTGTCGCGTCGGTGAGTAATTGGGGTGTAGCGGTGATGGCGACAGCGGGGCCGTAACGGGCGGTTGCCGCAGACGTTGCCATGTCTGCTGAGACTATGGGTATCGATTGTATTGGTGATGTTTGTTGTCCTTCAATGTATTGAAAGTCGGTGGGCGATGGTGAATCATGGGCGGGTGGGGTCGTGCTTGCGATCGCGGGGGAACGATGAGAGGTAATAAGGTCCGGGTTGGCGATTCTGAGCAGGGAACCAAAAAGAGCGTGAAGAAGGAAGCCGGTCGTACCTAGACCTTGCAGTGTATCATCACTGACCACTGAATCACCCTCTGGGTTGACTGTAACAATGGATGAATAGAATGAGAGTGCAGCCTCTAACGGTGACCCATTGCCATTGTTCGGCATGAACAATAAGAAATCGCTGAACAACCACGAATTAGTGTCAAAACTTCTTCCTCTCGGCAAAAGCACGACAGGCTCCAGGGTACTTCAAAAAAGGAGAAATACAAAAAAAGCAGAAAGTAAATAAAATAAAAAAGAAAATAAAACAAATCGTGGAAAATTCCAACCCCAAGTGGGGTCGCGAATGGGGTCAACTCCCACGGCCGAAACGGGTCCAGGAACAGAAGACCAGGTCAAAACTTGAATGAACGTACCGCCATTCATCAAAAGTGATAAAGCCATCACGGTTGAGGTCAATCTCGTTAAAAAAGCCTGAGAGTCTCCGACTTGGCACGCTCATGCCGGCATGCTGAAAGGCCGTCTGGAGCTCCGCCTTGTTGACTCGCCCGTCCTTGTCGCGATCAATCGAGCGGAATAGCTCGAGCAACTCCCTCTCGGCAGTTTCGACAAAAACCCGGAATTCTGGATATCGCATTTCGGTCTCAGTTCACGGCCCGGTTGTTCCCAATTCTTCCTATTCACTGCCGTTGTGGTTCCCTAACGCACCTTCATATTGGATCTTGCCGTCGCCACTAGTGTCAACGAGCTTGATAACAGACTTGAGCATTCCATCGGCGTTTTTCAGCGCTATACGATACCGTCCATCAGCACAATGTCTTCATTGATTCTCGAGACAATACAAATGGGAGGGACGTAAAGCTCACGGTGATCAATCCGCTTCAACCCCTTTTGCAGGCCCTTGAAATCCAGCTCCCCGGTTCCTGCGGGGTCGAGCTTCCTCCAGAGCTCCTCGACGCGCTTGTCGCGCTGGTTCTGCGACTCCTCCATTGTCGCCCCGAGCTCTGAAGCAACATCAGAGACCCTCATCCCCAGCACCGTCCATCGAAGGGGTCGCAAGCACGGAAGTGGCCGTGGCCTCGGAAGTGGGAACGGGCGGCAGCTGCGGAGGTCGATGAAGATTTGGAGACGGACACGGTCTGCAAACCTCAAGGGCTGGCTCTAGCGTGGGTCGTCGAGGGGAGAATGCTAAAGCACGTCGTACCTTGGGGAACGGTCCGGCACGGCGCTTATGACGTATGAGGGAAATAGGAGCTCGGTGTTTCCTCGTGGGAGCGACTGTGGGAGCTAAAAAAAAGAACGGGAGCACCCGAATTCGTTCAAGGTCGGACAAGTAGGAGGAGCCAAAGCATCCAAAAGAAGCTCGGGAGAGAGTCGACGTTGAGTCTTTTTCACTTCTGTCGCATAGCTTCGAGGAGGGGGCCAGGTAGGCACGTTAACGGGTGGTGACCAATTGCGCGTGGGATGGCGGCTGATCGCTTGGGTTGCGGTTGCTTGCTTCAGCTTGTTGCTGCTGCGAATTCTCCGTATCAGGTCCCGCAGGGGTTGAATGTGGTGGGGTCAGGGGGTCGGAGCTCGCGGGAGTGTATGTACCTCTGTAATGAATCTCGAAAGTTAAATGATCGTTGCCTTTCACGAAACTGCTTATAATGTGAAATAGCATTGTCTCATTACTCTTATTTATCATAAAATTCACATCCTAGTTCTTCTCATTGTTTTAAAGACTTTGTCCTGCACCCCGCCACGCCACCATTTCCAAGCGGCGTTAAGCGGTACATTGTCAAACAAGCCTTGGCAGCCCCGCAATCTACTTGGCCCTGAAAGGAGAAATCGCAATTCGCGGCGCTCCCATTCGTGAGAATTTCAAGATTTCAACAACCTCACCGGCACAACCAAGAACGTGACCAATGCCAACGCCAACGTGGCTTGGCTAGGAGAAAAAACCACGCAATGGGGAGTCGTTAATACAAGAGTTTTTATGAGTCAATGGTCTAGAGCCCTCGCCTCTACCTCGTCATCCCAACCTTCAAATTATCCCCCAACGCCCTGTCAATACGCCAAGGGACTCGTTTAGTGTAGGTCCCGAACATCTTGGTCGCCGCTATGAAGTCTACTAGCAACTCAAACGATAACTATAACGACCGGTTCCTTAACATCCCCAAACCATGGGCTCGTCCCTCGTGTATGCTCATAATACTTAGCCATATCTGCTGCCCCAAAGCTGGAGAATCTCTTAGACCGACCGACAATGCCACATCTCTCAAACACTCCATCACCAACCCGTCGCTACTCACAAGTTAGCCCTTATCACAACCCCATACATCAACACAAACACTTACCAGCAACAAAGACCACTCATCATACGGCTCCTTCTCCCCCGTGGCAGGGATGCACCCAATCCTCAACAAAGAAAACTTTTCGCTCCAAAAACCCCCACCTTCCTCATGCCCCTGTGGTGGCTCATCCCAGAACACATCCCACGACTTGACTCCATTCACCGTAACAACCCACCTCTCCCTTTGCTCAGCACTCACTAACTCGCACACCGGCCCCACCTCCACCACATACCCCTTAACCTTCACCCAACCGCTCTTCACCTTACCCGTATCGTCCACCCCAGCCGGAACACACTCAGCAGCCAGCAGCTCGCAAGACCCTCCGACCAGCTCCGAGGCTACATCCCCCGAGTTGCCCATCTCCGCCGGTTGGTATATCCCCAGCCCTCCGACCTGTATCCGTTGACCGTTGGTGTATCGTACCGCATGACCTCGGGATGCCCACGACCATGTCGGGGCGAGCCATTCCGGCTCAGCACCGTTCCTCTTTTCGTCCTTCCCCATCTGCTTTTTCAGCCCAGGATTCGGTAACACCGACACCCACAGTAAGTCCCGGAAAAAGCTATCCTCCCACAGCCCCGCGAGGTATCGCGCCTTAGGCCGGACTCCGCGCATCTGCTTAGCCAGACCTGAAAATGGCGGGTAACCGATCGCTAGGGCGAGTGAGTGCCAGTGCAGAGTACTCTGTGACCATCCTGCGCCAGCGGGCCGCTGCTGCTGCTGTGGGAACCGACGCTTGCACCGATGATGATGATGATGGGGACTTGGGAGCAGGCAATCCCCCCTGAGAACCATGAGCAGCAGCTCGAAGTAAACAAGCCGCATGCTGCGCTTTCACATCCGCTCCGAATCTGTCGTGTAATCCAAGTGGCCCCTGTCCCCCAGAAGCCGCTGCTGAGCGGTCGAAGTAACCGCATTCGCAACGGAGGGATGGGACCTTGTCTTGCGGTCCCCGATCTCCCCCACCACCGCTACACTCCCACGCGAGTTCATCCGGGCCAAAGTGCACAACGCGCGGTGAGAGCAGGCGTTCCTGATAGACCCAGGCCCGGGTAAGGAGGGGGAAGGAGGTTGCGTTTGGGTGGCGTGGGAGATGGCGTGTTGCGGGGCGAGCGTAGAGAGTGTAGGGGATTGTTTTGGTGGTTGGTGAGATAGTTATGGGGGTAGATGAGCGGGGAGAAAAGAGGGACGAAGCAGAGGATGAGGCGTGGGTAGCCGCGAGGGTGAGAGTTGAGCCGGCGTATATGGATGCCATCATGGATGATTCTCGGTCCCAATCGATTGGGGAATCTTGGATGATGCAGAGCGAGTCAATCCAGAGGTACTGGTGGCCGAGACTCGCGGTAAGAGCGATAGCGTCGCGGAAGAGAGGAGGGAGGTCGTTGAGGGGGATGTTGTGCAAGTGACGACCGATGTTGGTTTTGGAGGTCTGTAGGGGGCATCTCGGGCCCCAGCAGTGGCTGAGAGTCAGATAGGGGGCAGATCGGCCCTTGGTGAGATGTAGGTTGACCCTTTGTCCGCCCTGTGAGATCTTCAAGACTCGCCGTGGCATCAAGGTGGTATTCGCAGAGCATATTCGGTGGTTGGTTGAGCAGGCGGCCATCCAGGTCTTGATCTGGGCCACGACGTGATCCTTTTTTGTTGTGTACCGCGGCGGTGGGCAAACAGGGACTAGAGGAAACGGCGTCGGCTCTGTACTCGTCAGATAAACTCTGTCCGCGGCGCTGGAAGTAAATAGAAGCTTACCGTGACTGTACACTTCCAGCTTCTCTTCTTTGAACTCCTTCCCAGTCGCACCAACACGAACCGCAGTGCACAACCTTGCCCTTCCTTGTGTTTCGAGGACGTCTATCCTTACTTTAGCATCATCCAACCCAGCCACTTCCGGCAACATCTTGTCAACAACAGTCGAGACCACAAGACACAAGAGGCATGACAACGACGACCCGCGGATATCCGATAGAAGGGGCGACCGGAAGTCTCCAAAATGTGGCCGTCGAAGATGTTGACAAGTACCAAGAGGGTATATCAACGCATTGGACAGCTCCAGCAGGCGGTCTTTCTGGTCAGTATCCATCATGCTTGATTTGAGCGCGAATGCTTGAGGGAAGATTGCCCATGAGCAAAAGCTGAACAGAACTATACCCCTAGTTCAGATGTCGAGGAATTTTGCCAGCCCCGACGGCGTCCATCTGCGGCTCACCAAACCCTCAGCTTAGTACGCCTTACAAGGCGAACTTGGCGAAAGCCACACTCTTGGTGGTTGGCCTCAGGGCGCTCCCAGCATTGAAGAAGGCATTCTTCAGCCAGTCTAAAGCATCCCCTCAGGCCATAAAACTAAAAGCAGCCAATATCGCAAGTCCGTAGGCATTTTTCGACGTAGGGGCAAGGGGTGCACCCTTTCAAAATGGATTGATACCAACGGCCATCAGAGCAGCTGATCACTAAGACGATGATGCTGTTTTGAGCGTTCGTAGACGCTTAGAGAGGAATCAATAGAACGAAGGAGTCAACCATAACCATCCCTCAGCACTGGAGAATTCCCTTCCCTGGCACCCTCGCCGGTCTATTCTATAGGATAGCACCTATTGCAAAAGAAGACCGCTTGCCCGCCGTCTCGAAGGTCGTTGAGGTTCGGATGAAATGCTCCGGGTAAAAGTGGGGCTCTTCAAATGCGTCATCCTGGCTCTTCAACGTCGAACCCCAGATTTGGTTCTGCCCAGTTTTTCTTGGCAGGTCCCATGCAGTTTTCGCAGCGACAACTCGAGGCTTCGTCTGGCGGCGGAATTTGGAAACAGGAATTGGTTTGGGGGCTTTTGGAACTCTATTATTTTGATCTTGTGAGACCCACTCAGGTAGTTATTATGTGTAATGCCCGAAGCTCCGCTGGCATTCGGTAGTCGTTGACGTCAGTGGCCTACCATTGTCAAAATCTGTGTTACACTACAGAGTACACTTGAGCGCGGAACACAAACGTTCAAGTGCTCGGAAAGTAATTAAATAGAGCCAAGAACCCAGAATTCTGCTTTCCAGTCTCTTGGACAGCCAAATTCGATAATCCATCGCCATTTCGCCTGTGAACAGCCACCTCTTCGCTCGATAACTGGGCTTCGGTAGCTGCACCACCGTTAAGCTTCTTTCTTGGCGTCGTCGATCGAGAACCCCGATACTAGTAAAGAACGAACCGTCAGAAGATGGGTTTCTTCAATCGCCATCCCCGCGGCGGGCCATCCCCAGCTACGGCCCCAGCCGCAAACGGCCACCAACACTCCGCGAGCCATCATAATGAGCCATATTCGATGGCGACTCGGCCAACCTTTGGCCAGTGGCTGAAGCATACATGGTTGGACATTCTGACCATGGCGGCCATGGGTGCCGTTGGTCTCGGTGTATGTCCGACTTGTAAAAAACCCTTTTTGAAATCAGTGAGCATAACTAACGATCGCAAAAGGTGTACATGGCTCGTCCCGCGCCGACTCGGTCGTTTGCGGTAACTTTCACCGACGGCGAGGTCGTTTACCCCCAGTTCGCATACCCCATGCGAAAAGAAATCATCCCGATTTGGCTGGCCGCCTTTCTGGCTTCCGTCATCCCGATCGTGGTAATCCTCTTCATGCAGATCCGGGTCAGGTCGTTCTGGGACGTCAACAACGGCGTTATCGGCCTGCTATACTCGCTCATCACCGCGGCCGTCTTCCAGGTCTTCGTCAAGTGGCTGATCGGCGGTCTCCGCCCCCACTTCCTCACCGTCTGCAAACCGGACCTCAGCCTGTCGAGCAACGACCCGGGCATCGTAGGCGCCGGCTACAACGCCAAGGGGTTCAAAGAGATCTACTACACCCGTGAAGTCTGTACCGGCGACGAGAAGGAAATCAACGACAGCCTCGAGTCGATGCCCAGCGGGCACACCACCGCCGCGTTCGCCGGCTTCGTCTTCCTGTACCTTTACCTCAACGCCAAACTCAAGGTGTTCTCCAACTACCACCCGGCTATGTGGAAGCTCATCGTCCTCTACGCCCCAATCCTGGGCGCGTGCCTGATCGGCGGCGCCCTCACCATCGACGAGTTCCACAACTGGTATGATGTCCTAGCCGGAGCCCTAATCGGCACCGCCATGGCCTTCTCCGCCTATCGCATGACCTATGCGGCTGTGTGGGACTGGCGCTGGAACCACATCCCCCTCAACCGCGGCGCGCCGTTTGCGTTTGGCGGGCCGGAACTGGCCAACGCGACTTTTACAAGGCGCGCGGGCTGGGGCGCTGCCGCGGCGGCTATGACTGACGGTGCTCACCATCAGAAGGGCGCGTTTGATCATGGCCATGGGCACACGGTCAATGGTAATGTCGCGGGGTTCAACCATCGGCCGGTTGCTTTTGGGGCGCGTGCCGATGACATCGTGTGAGAGTGAGGGGATTTGGTCGATCAAGTGCTGCTTTGGTTAGATGTAAGATTAATACGGTTTCGAAGAGTTTTCATACTTCCCCCGCGGACACAACACCGCGATCATGAGGCGTACACGGCGTTGGATGCTAGATTTGGGATCGATACCACAAGGAGGGCCAGGAAAAAGGCAGAATCTAGCTTAGTGAATCTTTAGTTAGCTATGCAGCACGTTCTAATCAAATAATATCAAAATGTTTGCACCTAATTAACTTGGTCCATCCTCGTCATGATATCGGAGACAAAAGGTCGCGATGAGTTGGTGAGAGCGCGATGTCGTCAAATTCCAGTGGACCGGGGTAACGACCCCTGAAAATATAGTGGGCCCACGCATGTTCAACGGCCCAATATTCCGACCACCGACCACGGATCATCCCGCTTTCATCATCAACATCCATCCATCCCATCGGGGTTACCACCCCCACCGCCCGCAAGCATGACAAATTGGGCAATCAGCTCTCCCCTCACCCTCCCCCGATGACCAGCGAGTCCAAGATAATCTCAGGGCACCCGGAAGCGGTCCGCGACGGGCGGAAGGGGCTCTAATGGCAGCCAACTACTGGGAATCCACGCAGCGCAAGCACTGGCAATTCACGAAGGACGAGCTCGCTGCTTTGCGCCAGCGCCTCGACGATGAAGACCCGGGACTCGTCCAGGTGTTTCCGCTCCCGCAGCTGCGCCATCTTAATATCTACTTTAACCAACGTATGGATACTGTCTCGTCTTTCGATATCGACGACCACTTTCAAATACCCGGCCCCTCTACCCCCAACGGCGCATAGAACCTAGCTAACAATCGGCGTTCACTCCTATCTTAGAAATCAACCGGCTCGGCAAGCGCCTCAACATCCGCCAGCAAGCCATGGCCACGGCCCAAGTCTATCTCAAGCGCTTCTACACCCGCACCCCGATCCGACAGACCAACCCCTACCTCGTCATCACGACCGCGCTGTACCTCGCCTGCAAGATGGAAGAATGCCCGCAACACATCCGGTTACTTACGCAGGAAGCGAGATCCCTGTGGCCATCAGACCTACACGGACACGACGCGGCTCGCGTCGGCGAATGCGAGTTCTCGCTCATCTCGGAAATGCAATCCCAACTCATCATCCACCAACCCTACCGCTCTCTGCTCGCCGTCCAGGACCAGTTCGCCCTCACCCACGAGGAGATGTCCCTCGCCTGGACAATCATCAATGACCACTACATGACCGACCTGCCGCTGTTGCACCCACCACACGTCGTGGCCTTCACAGCGGTGCTGCTAGCGCTTGTGCTCCGGCCAAGCCCGGGGAATGCCGCTGCCGCCGCCGCCGCTGCAGCCGCTGCAGCAGCAGGGGGTGCTAGTGGTGGAAACACAGGCAGCGCCGGAGCGGTTGCTGCCGCGGCGAATGGTTCCGGAATCGCGATGGCGGCAACGGCACTAGTCCAGGCGCAGGCCCAAGCCCAAGCCCGCGCCGCAGTCATGGGTGGTAGTGCTGGGGCGGGAGCAACATCGGGCTATGGCTCCCAAGGGTCCCAGCAGATGGGGTACTCCCAGGGGCATTCGCAAGGACACTCACAGGGGGGCGCCTCGCAATCACAGTCACAAGGCGACGTGCCCTTGGTCGAACCGAAGAAAGTGACCGACCCGCGGCTAGCCAAGGTCCAACGGTTCGCGGCCTGGCTGGCGGACAGTAACATTGACGTGGAGGCCATGGTCGACTGCACCCAGGAGCTTATATCGTTTTACGAGTGCCAGGAGCAGTACAACGATAAGCATACGCGGGAGCAGATCAGCCGGTTTGTCAAGGCGCGGAGTCTGGATAAGTGAGCGCTTGCTCTGGGGTCGAGAGAAAACTCCAACTCGCATAGATTGAGACAAAAGAGAGTCTGTTCTCTGCTAAGGGGCTGAAAACGCCCCGTAAACCCATCGCCACGCGGGGGTTCTGGTCGGGAACATACGGACACCGCGCCAATGCACCTCACCCTACACATACCGTCAGCCGAACATCCCAGGTCAGCTTCAACCCCGGGTCGCCCCAAGTGGAGGACATCGACCTGAGCAAGCCAGGAATACATACCCAAAACAAACCCCCCACCCACCCACATACACCTAAGCACCCGAGGCAACATCACAAGATGTGCACGGAAAACCCACCTACGCAGCGGATCTCAATCTAGATGAACCCAGAAGGAAAACGCAAACCAGGATAGAGCAGCTAAGGATGATGGAGCAGCTAAGGAGGATACATCAGCATAGGGAAACAGAACCTAGCAGACAGACAGACCATGGAAAGCAGAATAACCCACCAGATTTGATCAATACCAACACTCACCAGCACCAGTACCCATCATATTTCCTCACAATCACCCTTACCCAAACAACAAGCTATCCACAAAACCGACCTCCCATCCGCACATGATTATGTACCATCCCCCTCAAACAAGACACAACACCGGCAGCCTGCCCATCCGACGTGGGTTGTGCCCGTTCACGATGCGTTCCAACTACAGCTCAGTGCTGTCCTCACTGAACGGGATTCTACTTTGGGTGTATTCACGAACGAATAAAGAATGGCGCTGAAGACACTCAACAGCAGCAACTCTTTGCCTTTAGGCACAAAAATAATGTGATGAGCGGCCTTGCTCCGGTGCGTTTATGAGTACCTGTTTACGGTACCAAGGTGCATACCTACCAGACTTACCTTGCTGAAGCTAGAGGTTTAGCCACGATCAACATCCACAGAGGGGTCGCCCCATATATATTCAGGGGAAGGCAAACCCAGGGAGTTAGTTAACCAAAACATCTGAAGCACAATCCCTCAACGACTCACCCAGCCAGGCTGGAGTGGTGAATATTTCGCTGTGAATGGTGTAATTTTGGCTACATATACTACGCTTTTCGCCTCCTGTCGGGAGAATTACCCCCCTTGTTCTCTGGAAGCAATAAACCAACCAAATGCTCATCAGACGACAAGGTAACGCCTTGTTTCGGACCCAAACAGTCAACACTACTCCGACGCACCTTCTAGGGCCTTTCCAAACTTTTGAAGTCGCAAGCGGAGAAAAAAGACATCCAAGAAAGAGAACGAATCCCAACGCCAGCGAGACCGTATTCCCAAAATACAAAGAAGTGGCTGCCGAAGACATGCCCTATTACTCCCCCCCCCCTCCAGGACTAATCCATCACCTCCAACCCAGGTTCATTCACTGCGACCTCGTTTTTCGGGCTTGTGGAGGTTGGGGTATCAGGGCGAACGGCATATTTATCGACCGGCTTGGAGTACCGTTCGGGGTCATGTTTCATCGGCGGGGCCGGAAAAGGGGGCCCAGGGGGGGATGGTGGGTCATCGGGTTGTGCTAGGTTCGGGATGCCTGATGGCTTCGGGGTGGATGGCCCGGCCAAGCCAGCCGCCTCCTGCGCGTCCGCCAATGGTTTGAGGATAGTCTTCAGTTCGTTGGCTGCAAAGTGTGCCCCCTCTTTCTGCTCGGGCTCCGCGTCCTTGCGATCTCCCCGGTCTGCCGCTGGGGGTTGCTGGGGTTGGACGCTGGCCTCGCCTTTATCTTTAAATTGGTCAGGGGCGGCGGCCTGACTGATGACCTGGCTAACGGGCGTAGAGGCCGCGGGACTCTTTGGCACAGGGCGCGGGATGGAGGTGGGCTCTTCCACGGGCCTAGACTGGCCTCTCGATGAAACAGAGGCTTTCCGGGTCGGAGCCTCTGTCGGAGTCGGAACCGCTGCTGGAGTCAGGTCTGGAGTCAGAACCAAGGGTGCAGTCAGAATCGGGGCCACAGTCTGAGTAACCGCAGCCAGAGTCGGGGCTGCGGCCGGAGTTGAGACTCCCGGTTCCTGGCTTCCGGTCGTCTCCCAGAACGTCCCGGGGTTGGGTTCCGTGGGTCCAGGTGCGTTAGTCTCCGGGGCATAATCTGAGGGCTGCGAAGACGAGCGAGGGCGGGCGGCGATCCGGGCGGATCCGCGACGACGTATCGCCAGTCGCTCGTCAACGGTCGGCTTTGTGGCCGGTTTTGTGGCCGGTCTTGCTGGAGAATCAACCATGTCGAAGGTTGTGCGACAGAGCGAGGGATGATAAGAAGGCGATACTGTCGCTGGCGGTGGTTTGAGGTCGATGTGTATGTGGGATGTCGTCTAAGAAAGATAGTAAACGAGGAGAATAATGTGTGGAGGAAAAAGAATTGTACAAGGTTTGGCGGGGGGAAGTTAAGTACGGTAGATGAAGACCTTGAGAGACTGTGCTGTCACTTCCGTTGAAGAGGAGCAGAAGGGGGCATCCTTCCCAGGCTACATGACTGTCACGGCAGGCATTATGTGGACAGTAAATCCAACAAACTGCTCGAGGAAGGGACTAGAAGATAGACTCAGATTGCCCATGGAATTGAGATCTCGGAGTGTCGATGGGGGCTCCTTCCTATTCGAAATAAAGACTAGAGAATATAGCTCCGCCCTAAAACGCAGAAAGGGCGGGAAAGGGCAAAACGCAAGGCGAGTCCAAGGGCAATAAACATGCCCAGAACTAAATGCCATTCTCAACGAAGCCAGCGCCAAACGCCCAAGCCGCAAAGAGCGGTTCCGGTGATCTTGCCATATCCTCCGCCATGTAGGCATCAATGGACCATCGCTCTTCCACCGCAAGTCCTAACGCCTCCCAGACTTCCAAAAAGAATAGAATAGAATAATAGCCCCCTCTCTTCCCGTCATCCTCAGAAGAAGCCCCAAGATGATCGGTATATCCGAATAAACCCGGCTACGGGAGGAGCGAAGAGGTCGATCCGTACTCCTCGTCCTCGGTCTTGACCCCCGGCTGCTGCGGATCTATAGCCCGCTCATGGAACTCAGAGCGAGGCTTGATAGTCATGCGCGGCACGTTCTGGCCCATGGCCCAGCCGAAAGTGCCCAGCAAGTCCAGCATCTCACACCCGATGTCGCTGTTGGCCTGCAGTACCGACTTCCAGGACTTCGGGAGACCCGCGGCCGTGTGGTGCTTGCTGAACATGTGGAAGAGCATGTGGGCGGCCAGGAAGCGGCGCATCGGCGTGCCTTCGGTCGTGTTGGAGAAAAGATAGGTGACGTCGGCGATGTCGGGGGCGCGGTGGCTGTCGTTGCCCGGGCCGAAGTAGCCGTGCAAGACGTCGACGACGGCGTTGCGCACGCCGGTAATGCCGAAGGTACCGCCCATGACATAGACACCGAGACTGTAGAGGTGGGCGTATGTTGGTTAGCAAAGCAGAGATTGTCCGCGGTGGTGGGTTGACATGATGATGGCGATTGAGCTTACTAGTCACGAACGGAGTGGGTGAGACCGTCCGGAGGAAGGTATCGAAAGTTGCGAGGGCCTCCCGACGGCACAAAGGCCGTTCCGTACAGCCAGCGGATGAAAATTGCAAAGAGACGCGGGTCCTCCCGAGGGAGTCTCATCTCAGTGACGTTCTCTTGGGCGAAGTGGCTACGGAAGAACTCTGATTGGGAGACCAGAAGCTTCTCGTGGACGGTCCAGCGCTTCTCCTGGTACCCAACGATGACGGTGACAACCTCATCTGTCAGCCAGCTAAAGTGAAAGGTATCGATGTTAGCTGTTAGCGTTGTCCAGCGGCGGTTGTGACCCTCATCAGATCTCAGGCTCAAAGGCCCGAGATCCTGCAAAATGCAATGGCTTGAAAGACCCGTTTACGTACCCGTCAGTAGCCTGATTGTTGTTTCCCACGGCCTGCGAGTCCACGGGGGCCGACTGTACACGTTCGCGATAGTTGAAGTTGGTCATTTTTGCTGTAGACTGCCCAAGAAGTCAGTTACCGTGACCAACCAAATGCCCCCGCAGCGAACAAATAAATGAGAAGGGGAAGGGGTAAGCCATAGGGAGAAGAAATAGATGGATATACTACTTACGATTCTTTTAAGGTATTTTAATCGATTCAACGTGCTCTAACGATGCCAGTCAGTGAAGTTGCCGGTGATGCTGGGGTCGCGAGAGCGAATTGCAGAACTGTGGGACGGGTAGAAGGGAAAATTAGAATTGGAGGAGGGGTAGAGTAGAAATAGAAGCTTTCAATGGAGCCCTTGGAGACGGGAAGGAAGCGGTCACTTCAGATTCTCGGTATGTGTTTGCATTGTGATGGTTTGCCGGCCACGCCGGCGAGGGTATGAACATCGAAGCGGAGACAGGCCCGGACAGCGCCGAGAGACCGGGGCGAGAGTGGGAGGAAGGGACAGTGAGGAGGCTACCTCAAAGCTGATTGTTGTTGTTGTTGTTGTTGTTGTTGTATGGGACAAGATGCTAAAGAGCCACATCGTTCCCCAGAGAGCCAATCCTGAGCTCGACCACCTTGGTGTCCTTCAATAGTGTTTGCAAAACACCAGAGGCTGAGAGAGTATTCTCACAACGGTGTGATCCGAGTCACACTCACCAAATTACCCGTCAACAGAACATTGTCTTTGAAATATACCCTCATGGTATGAACCTAGAGGCCCATTCTTACCTCAGAATCAACTTGATTAAGCACTATTACACGAGACCATCTTACAGTCCAGACGGGAGGTGAAAAGCATAATATTGAGATCTTCTCCTTATTCTTGACACGGCCTTTGACATTATATTTCCATTGAATGTGGACCACAAAGCGGTGTCAGGCATACAATTGTTAGGTAGTGAAGCCTTTTGACCTCCTCATCATACTGCCTCGCATATTGACTCACACCAGGGAGGCGGTGTCCGCTAGCGAACTGATTTGTTCCATCAACTCCATGCTGGGGGCACATGAGAAAACCAAACCATAAATCACAAAAGGAAACGGGAAATGTGACATACTTCCTTTAGCTCCTAGCATAATCCCACCAGTACACGTTGTAATACAAGATACAACTCCTCATCTGACTTCTCTTAGAGTGTACCCAGAATAACACATTATAAAAACATGTCCACACATGTCTACCCCTAGGAGATCGAGTGTTGACTTGGGAAAATGTGAGGAACTGGCCCTATGGCGGAATGCAGATAGGCGTTTATTATGTTAATTGAGAAAGCTTGCAGAAAGAGAACTACTTGGGGTTGTGCCTTGCTCATGGCTCCTTATATCCTGATGTCCCTCCCCCCCCTGATGTGCGCGCTCAGGGGTCGGGCACCTCGAGCTCCACCTCCGAGCCGGGTCCGGGACAGCCCCGGCTCGCGAGTGCCTCGGGAGAGGGACGGCCCCGCCACGTCAACCCAAGGCCATCGGCCACGATCCAACACGACTGCTCATGGCCCTAGGCCTGAGCCCTTGACAGAAAACGTGAATTAAGTGTCAACTCTCGCCACCGGAGTTAGAACCACTCGAATCATAATATATTCGATAGCCAACGTCGGAAGGTATATTCAAGAAATGGACGAAAAATACACGAAGACTTCAGTGAATACTAAATATATGACAAGTGGTGTGTTTAATATACTCAGCAAATTAGATTTGCCAAGGTAGCAAGTACATGGTTTATTACAATAAACACGGCACAATTTGATCAAAACAAACTCTCTCCTAAACCATTCCCCTTCCGTAGTTGTTTCATAAATACTGCACAATAGCTACAGGACAGGTAGCCCAATATCAAGACAGAAAAACAACATCCATATGTCCATATATAGAGCCCTGAAAACATGAATTTATGAATCAAGAGGCTGTGTAGGAGCGCATGTTTCATTCCGGATCTACTCGTCACACAGACGCACACACACACTGCAGGGACGGCTATGAGTTGAAATTGTTTTGCTTTGTTTGCTTGCTTGCTTCGATATCGTGGCATACAAAAACACCCGCCCCGCTGCCGCCCTCAGACAGACAGAAGGGTAGGGAGCTAAAAACGGGGAGAATGAGGCTCGTAGGAGAAGCGTAGTGGGAGGAGTCTCATCTCCCGCCACCACGCAACCCGCCGAACCTCATCTCCCAAACCGGCAACCCAGGAATTTGCGCCGAGTAATAATGTTGCTTGTAGAAAAACACCACAGCCCAGTCCAATCAACCAGCTAACCGGCCATCTGATGGCCCCAGAACAAACCGAACCGAACCGAACCGAACCCCAACAGACCTGACTGGTGAGTGTGGTAAGACTCCAACAACAAGCAACGCACTGTAACGCGGCAACGCTTCCCCGAATGTCCCAAATGCTTTGCCCAACCGAGCCCCAAACATAAAAGATAAACGGCTGTGTACGCGCGATAAAGGAAGCCTCCAAGAGCAGCAAACACCTTGGAACCCCAAGCAAGAAATGCGAACGCGTCCACTCCCCTGCCACCAGTTTCCGCCGTAAACCATATCCGAGATGCAGCCCCCTAGAAAATCCTGACAGAAAATAAAAGGGATATAAAAGCAGGAGGCGGGCCTCCGACCCGCCTCTCCAACAAACCCATGATACAGTGAAGCCAGATGGAACATTGGACAAGAGAAGAAAAAAAAACACAAGGGAGATATCAACCAACTCCTCAACCAGCCGCCAGCAACCGTCCGCAGAACCAATCCGGAAATACCAGCACTCTGAACCCGGACAACAAAACGCAACAATGTCTTTGGCAGTCCGCCCCTATATGCCGGAAAATATTGGCCCATGTAGTAGCCCCCAAGAAGATCGAGAACACCAAGGTTGCAACAAACAAACACCGCCCCCGACCGTTCCTATCCACCGACAAGTCGCTCTATATGTCCATCCTCTTTTTCTTTGCCTTTGCTGAAGTCATGGAACCGTGACCCATAAGACTTTTGCATCGTTGAAATAGGAAAGTCGCCGTTTCCGTAATAATGATGAGAGAAGAGCACACGCAGAACACCAAGTTATGGTATCGCAAGGAAACAGGAAAAGCAAACCCGCCAAAAAAAAACTCCGCCGTGAGACGCCGATGCAAAAAAGCTGGCTTCATGAGGATGCAAAACCACCGTGGAAAACGCCCATTGCGCAATAGTCGATAATAGATCGCAGCTCTCAATCTTTCGAGACCGAGGCACCGCTTCCGAAGATCATGTTGTTTTTTGTTGTTTTAGACACAGGTATCGATTAGTCTTTTATCGCCGCCGAGGAAATCCAAAATCTTTGTCGTGGTGAAAAGAATGTTCAATATGTCGGTCAAGGGGATATTTTGTACAGGTGGGTGGGTATCGTGGAGTTGACAAGAAAGTCGAGGATCCAGTCGACCTTGAGGGAGAAGTTATGTTGTCGCCCGCGCCTGCCAGAGGGAGGTAGGTGGTAAAAAAAGAGAATCGATGCCTGCTACTTCGGGGATGTCGGTGCCCGCCAAGATGAACAGCTGTAGAATGAGCGAAAGCACACGGTGATCATACACTCCTGATCACATCGGTGACGGCGGCTCTAGGTAAGCTAATCTCGTCGCGCCGCGGGAGCGAGATGTCAGCCACCTTACCACCGCCGGCCGACGGGCTGTTGCATCCTGGCGGGTGACACCGAGGGAGGCGGGCTAGACATGGAAACACCGGTAGCAGGGTTGACGATGGGAATGGCGTTGCGAGCGCGGGTCGCAGAAGGCTGGTGTAGTTTCAGGCCGGCGTGTTGGCTTTGATACGAAGGCGGGATGAAGGCAGGCGACGAGGAGTGCAACGTAAAGCCCGACGCGACCTGGGTGGGCTGTTGAGTGGGAGAACCTTGCGGCGAGTTGCTCGCCAATGAGGACCGCTCGGACGAGGAGCTGTGAATCGAGACAAGCTTTTGGGGGCGCAAATGTCAGTTCTGATGTGGACCAATCAAAGTAGTGCCGGTCCCTCGAGGACTGCGAAGAGACTCACATCGCTCTCGGTCAGCAAGCCCGGGCAAAACTCCATGTCGTCCTCGAGATCAAACGAACGGCCAGCCTCAAAGCGCACGCGGAAAGCGGAGAGATTGGCGGTCTCGGTCAACTCCTTCATACTCCTAACACCCCGAAATTGTTTTTGCGGATTTTGAGCCACTGATAGCCTGGGTGCGCGGCGATTCCGGCCCCCATGGTGGTTGTGGGATACGGCCGCAGCCGTGGCCGGCGTTGGGTGTTGTTGGTGGGCGCCGAAGTGATAAAATGCAGACATTATGATTGGCAAACCGACAGTGCGATGCAGCGAGATGTTGAAGCCGTCTTGAAAACGGTTGGGGTTTGTAACAAGGAAGTGTGGCGCGGCTTCAGTGTTTGATCGGACCAGTCGGAAGGGTAAACAAACGGGGAAAAAGCTTTTGGTTGAACGGAGAAGCAACGGCGTTGAGCTGTGTTGATTGTGAAAGGGGAGCTAGTTTGTCAAAGATGCGTCGGTGGTCGTGGTGTGGTCGCCTCGTGGTTTTGGAGAGGGAAAGCAATTTTGTGGTGGTATTTTGGTGGGACGTGGGGATGGGGAAGGTGAAGGTAAAAGTAGGAGAGAGGCGAGGGAAAGAGGGACAAGTCGGAGCGGGCGAAGGGTTGGACAAACGAAGGTGGTGGGGGGGCACGACTAGGGTCACGCTAATGCAAGAGAGAGGCAGGACCCCGGGCGAACACAACACTCACCTGCTCCTCGCACTGGCCACTCTGGGTGTGGGCTGGGTGGCAAGGCCGGACGCAAAAGCGGGCCCGGACCGGGCTCTATTGGATGGCCGATCCTAAGCTAGGCCAGAAACGGGCTAAGGCGCTGGACCTGCTGTCGTGTAATTTTGGGCCTGGCAAATTCACCAGCAACCAGTGCTCGAAACGGCGTGGAGGGTGCTGGTTCACTGGTTTCTGGTTGGGAGCTGCAGGTGCTGTTGAGGCGCTGTTCCTGCAAAGCCGACAGGAGGCCATGCAGCGACGGAAGCTCCACTGCCCACTCCCTAACCACAATTGTCACCCGACGTGGCCCGAGAGGATGATGGCGGCGCCGCTCGTGAAGACCTCCATTCGCGGGATTGATGTGAGAACCGGTGCGATTTTTACGTATCTTGTTCATCAATGCTCAATCTTGCGAGTGCTCGTCGTCCGATTTCTATCGCTACCCTCATTTTACTATGGACCTCGTCCGATTTCATCGCACGGTGGTTGCACTCAAAGATCGATCATTACCTAGCTCGAGGCGCAGTTCAATCGCTCAGGAGAACATCCATAGTTGTATCGGGTTCCTCCTAACTACCCTCCACTACACATACACGTAGTATAGATTCGACGGGAGCCCAGGCGTGGAGGAATGCTTGCCCTAGTTCGCCTGGGTCTCGTGGGCGGCAGTGAATGCACTCAGGCGCCGGGAATGATGAAACTGACGCTCTCCCGGCCAATTGGCCAGACGGTGGTTCGAGATGCATGATCGCGTCCAGCCGTGTGGCTTGCAGAGAGGGGCCCGAGGGCCTTGAAGATCAGTCGGGTCCAGCCTTGTGGCGGGACTGCCGCCCGAGAGACCATGACTGGCTGGAACTCAAACATGTTGAGACCTTGAGGACCGAAAATAACGGCCAGCGGGCGGTAATGGGCAGGAATGGGGTACCTGTGTGAACGGTTACGACCCATTACCTGTATCGAAATACGCGGAATGTTACATCAGTCCTCCGAACAAGGCCAGGCGTGTGGCTCGGCGGTGACTCCACAAATAAACCTTGGTTTGGGCATCCCGTTTTGTCCGAAAAGAGAGCTTGCGCATCCCGCCGATCCCAGGGACAAGCTCCGGGCCCTCAATTGAGGGGACTGGTGATGACAGAGCCGGCCACAGTCAGTGGGGGATGGGCTCTTCCGAGCGTCATAGTCTCTCGACCTCGACTGATTTCGAGACTCGCGATGGCTTCGTATCCAAGGATGAGTGACGGTCCGCTCCGACGCGGTAACATTGTACTGTGTAATCTCCCCCTGCGTCAGCATACAGGCTCGGCGCTCGGTTGGCGGGTCGCAAGCGTCTAGATTAGATTGAAAGCCGCCTGGGACGATGCGTCATTGGCCTTTCTCATCGGCCTCCTTGAGCAACTGGGAATGCGGTGGCAGCGCAGTCAGCTCCTCAGTCGGCTTCGCTCGCCATGCGGACGAGCCGTCGGGTTCGACTCAAGAACTCTACCGCGGCTTCGAGAACCTTAATAACCTTAACTCTGATAAGCTACAGATATCAAATAAACGGGATCTAGTTACCTTATGATCTTTTCTGTTTGTCTCGCGACCCTCTTCTAGAGAACATTCCAGCAAGATCAATTTGTGCGCCTTTTTTGAGGTTGAGAGCCGCGTCAGGAAGGAACCTGAGCAGGAAAATACCTTCTGATTAGTAGTGGCTCAGCTGACAGGCCTGGAAGGGGGCAAAACTCAAGCTTGAGATCGCAGGAAAGATTCCTACGTGGTGGCTAATCGTGTTCTTCAATATCAGAAAGAGGGCGGGCGTCGTATCTTGGATAAAAGTGGGTATCAAGAGAAGTGGTCGACGCAAGTATCCCCGGAATGAATCGAAAATCTCCACTTTATCGCTGTTTGAGGGTGGAATATCATAGTAGTGTATTGTGTTTCTGGTTGTGTAACATCTGTTGGGCGCAAGTGTGATTAGGTGAGCGCAGTGAGGTAGGTCTTCTTGGTGTTTCTATTGAAGGGGTCGGATGACAAAGTCACGTTCTCAATCTTGCACCAGCAGCTCCATTTCAAGAAGAGGTCAGAGACGTGTATAGGTAATTTTAGCCTGGAGACACGTCAGAGACGCTCTTGAGCAGCATCGAGGTAAACGACCATTTTGCCCACGGATCTGAGCCTGGTGAACAAGAGCAGCAGCTGAGTCCTCCCGCACAGCCCATGTGAACATTTCCCCGTCTGATTCATGGCGGCCCCAAGCACGCTAAACCTAAACCGGCCAGGTACTGGGGTACCTCCCTCCCCATTCAGTCATCGGGCCAGCCCCGCCTCCACCAACCGCCCAAGCGTTTATCAAGGCTCCAGCCTACGCAACCTCCGCCCGACGTCAACCTCTTCCCCAACAACCATAAACCCACCAGCTTCCTCTTCAAAGACGGTACGCTCACCATCCATCACCTTGCTTGCGAGCGCCGCCGCGCCGATGGCATTTCAATACACATACTCTGAATGAATGAGTCTCCGCCGCTGACACGCAGCCCCTCCCTTGTTTGCAGGCATCATCGAGAATACAGCGCTCCGCATCGCATTTCTTAGTCCACCAGCACGATAACCCTTCACAACCGTCAAAATGCGCAGCAAGTTTAAGGACGAGCACCCCTTCGAGAAGCGCAAGGCTGAGGCCGAACGCATCCGCCAGAAGTACTCCGACCGCATTCCTGTAAGTCGACTGAGTTGTATAAGGGCGGTGAGGACAGGCCGTCGGCAGCGGCCCCGGCGAACCCCGCCGTGCCGCCCACCCGGTTGTTTGCCTTCATGCCTCGTCCACCCAAGCCATCAAGATATTCTAGTCAGCAGCGCTAACGCATATATGTGCCCTCCAGGTCATCTGCGAGAAAGTCGAGAAGAGTGACATTGCGACCATCGATAAGAAGAAGTACCTTGTCCCGGCAGATCTCACCGTGGGCCAGTTCGTTTACGTGATCCGTAAGCGAATCAAGCTCTCCCCGGAGAAGGCCATCTTCATCTTCGTTGACGAGGTCCTGCCGCCTACTGCCGCCCTCATGAGCAGCATTTACGAGGAGCACAAGGATGAAGACGGGTGAGTACTTTCCCCAGGGATTCTGCGGAATCTACCCTCTCACGCGGCAAAGTGTTGTTGTGCACAAGACCGACTAACACGACCATTCTTTTACGCAGGTTCCTTTACATTACTTACTCGGGCGAGAACACTTTCGGGCAACTTCAAGAGTGTGCCGAGTGACGGATTTTCCAATATTCTTGCATTTTCTCGATGAGTTCGCGGCGTTTTCGGCTAGGGATCTGGGACAACACTCAAATGAAGGAAGAAAGCAGGTCTACCGACCTACATATAAGCAAACGACCCCCGAATGGGACGCTTTCTCAGTGCTATGGCCCAACGGAACACAATTACCTCTACGTAGTGCTTAGTCAACCCTTTATTTAAATTCCTTCGGGTTAATACCTGGTATTCATTATTGTACAATGGAATATCCAACCTTCGACGTTGATAATATTGAGACCGTGCACACTTAGGTCTTGGCCACCTGTTAGCCCGGCAGTTGGATCGTCAATGCGAGCTAGCAGATGGATAACGGTGATCTGGAGACCGACAGGACGGAGCAGATAATCGTGGTAGATTTAGACGTCCCCCGGAGTGTCCAGGAGGCTAGAGGATGGCAGCAGTTATACTTCGTACGGATATACATAGTACCTTGTGCTTCGGTGGGGCGTGCATTGCAAGGCTGACCATGACATGCTCAAGACCGCCTATAACCCGGCCATCACGGCGATCCTGCCGTGGGGCCCCTTGGGCCTTCAAGGCGTCTTGTCACGTAAAAGTATGAAATCTTGCTGCGGTTGAACAAAAAGAGCCTGTATATGCTTCTTTAATGATATTTCGGGTCCGCCTGGGCGTATCTTGAGTGGTGCAGCTGGCATGCCAATATTGTGTTACGTGCTTGTTTCCTCAAACGATCACGATCTCGAAAGGGGATGGCCCTGGTACTGTTACCAGCAGTAGTATTGCTAGTGCCTTATCTGATCGGCTACTCTACACTAAACAAAACAAACAGCAGGGAGTCTCCGATACACTACATCGTATCCCGGGGTCGCCTTGTCGATGCGGATCGAAGCTGTCACCAAAACGGGAAAACCGGAACAACCCCCACTCTTCCGAGACAGGTGCTTGAGTGAGGTGGGATGACGATGGAATGCAGAGTGTTACCATCGTGGCTCGCTCGGCAGTCCACCATCGCGTCCTCCCGCCCGTCATCCGATGCAAAATCCATGCCGTCGGAGACCCGCCGACGGTTCTGCATACCAATCAAACCTTCCTTTGTAGCTCTTTTCCGAAGGGCAAGGCCGAAAAGGGAGTCGGAGGAGGTTGTCAACAACTCCGGGTAGTGTATGCCTTCATGCCTGAAGTGGGGCCAGTACTTCGTCTACTTGACTAAAATAGCTCGGTCAACAGCGGGATTGGCACAAATAACCAGTCGCTTGGGGAGAGCCTCGATGGAACGGGGCCATCATCTTAACCGAATCTGGGCTTCGCTAGTCAGGTCGTCCCGCGGATGCTGCAGGGGAACCAGAAGGACAGGAGAGAGGGGCTGTTTTCGAGGGGTTGAAACGTTGACACCCGGCACGCCTTGCCCTGGAAATCTGCCTGCTTCCCCAAGAGCTGGAACCGAGTGTTTCGAGAAGAGGGGGAAATACACTTCACGGCGCGCCAGGTAGTTTTGAAAACCACAAGACCGTCCCAGATCAATGCACGTTGGCAAGAAACCCGAGACACCTCGCATTGGGCGGTTCAGAACCGATCACCACTGTCAAAAGTACCGAGATGCAGCCAACAATCAATCCCCCAACACACTTACAGGCGCCGGCCCTCTGACGGCTGTCAACCTATCTTCAGGTGACAGTCACCTTCTGAAGACAAACGATCCACAAGTGCCACAACGATGTTCCCGGCTGAAGCGAAAACTGTGCCTTTTTCGCTTGATAGCACCGAGTCATGGGAGCCATGCAGTCATTGGTCAGGTGGTTAGCCAAGCAGGCAGCTCGAGGCAGCGCAACAATTGAAGTCACGGCCTCGTCTCATCGAAAGTTGCACATTCCCACAGTGCGGAAGAGCACCGCTGAGGCCGTGAATCTACTACACGTGGTAGGATCTCGCGATTGAATTTTATCGTCGCATTCCTTTTGCCACTGCTCATCCATAAGCTCATATCTTCGAGTCCCGTGATTGCCGGACGCCACCAGTTGGTAGAACTCGGAGTGACGAGGTGGCCACTGTCTTGGTTCAATTTCTGTGCGTTGGGATGCCTACCGAGGGTGGTTTATCGAGGATAGATTCTAGCTTGGTTTACATGTCAAGATACCATTTTCCAGAGTTCAACTCCCAAACCTTCGGGTTGCCGTGGAGTCCCCCCCCCAAAAAAAACCCCCAAAAAGGAAAAATACCAGCCGATCTTCCATTTTCTTCCTCCCATTCTTCTCCTCCTCCCATCCTCCTTTATTTTCGTCTTTTTTTCTTCCCGTTAGTCTTCACGTCATTTTCAGGAAGAAACCTTCTGGCCAATACCTTGAGAGTTACTTGGTCCCATCATGCATGAGCCATATGGTAGCCACTGCATCACTCTGTGCGGGAGCAACTCTTCGTAGCCAATGAGATCCGACGGAAGTGGGAAGAGATGGAATGCGGCGGGAGAGGGAGGTCACACTCCCACACACACCGCTCTTTGAACAGAGAGCGAACAAGTGTGTGCGAACAAAGTCGGCTTCCGCTAGGTGCGCCCAATGTGAACAATTGAATCCCAAATATCCTCATTCTACGCCTCAAGGCAACACCCACTCACAGCTCAACTCCGGGTTGGAAGAGAAGTGGGGAGGTTTTCATGGCGATTCGCCCCAAGGTCTACTGGTCTGCTGAACGAGCTAGGTTTTCTTCTTCCCTCAGCCTCCTCTTCAACGCCACCAAGATGCATGGAGCCTCATCAAGCTCTTCTCCCCTGCTGCCTTTTTTGCTTCTTCCCCAGATGACTGCAAGAGCTTCGCCGAGTCAGTGCGGCGGGCGCATCGTCATGCCGCCCCAGTTCGACGAACAGGGCCGAAAAGGCGGGGGAAGGAAGAGAAGGGGCTGCAACAAGATGACGGAGACCCTGGTCGATGAGCGGTTCAGCTGCCGGAGGCCGCAGGCAAGGCGAAACTGCCGGCTGACCCTTCAGGGTGGCCTTGGCCGTCAACAACCCCCCTGGCTTTTTCGAAAGCTCCGTATCGTTCTCGAAGTCTCGGCGTGTAATTACATACAATTCCGGAAGCAAATGACGGGTGGGGTCGGTGGCCTCTTCGGTGTTTCCGGCTTTCGAATCCAAACTGTCGCCGGACCTTTCGGAGATTCTCGGCGGACATTTTCTAAAATGAGCGGAATTTGCGCCGACGACGAAGAGAGATGAGCTTGACGCGCAATTTTACAACCGCCCCTCCAAACCCCGTGAAAAGTGCCCGAGCTCGGCATTTCGCCTGTGAAACCTGGCTCCCTCCCCTAAATGCCCCGCAAATAACTCAACCGCGCTTGCCTCGGAGATATCACAGTTGCCAGGCTCAATGTTGCGGCCAACTCGGGTCGAAATTTACATGAACTCGCAGTACCTAATTGGATGACTGGATTAGAGAGTCCAAATATTAGCACGGAGTGGTACGGATAGAGAGGCACGCTTGCTCTCGTCTCGTAACCACTTGACTCGCTCTCCAAGCGGGGATCTGCTCGTTTGTTCAACTCGAGTTCCGTCAGGCCCAAAGGTGTAACCAAGCTTGCCAAGCTACCTCATGGCAGATGTTCGAGAGATGAAGCCGCTGGAATGGAACAGAACCTGACAAAATTGACTCCCCTCTACATTTCTCGCTGCGACGCTCATCCACCGCGTTTGCTGGTAACCGAGGCGACCCGCAGAAGTGCGTCGTCTGCAACAGTGACGTCATCATCCGTTCCGACCTGGTGTCAACCCCTCCACTTGACAGAAAAGTTGCCATAATATCTTGCTTCCATTGACAATGACAACTTAAGAATTTTATATCCTACTCGGGCCTGTAGAAGTCAAACTTTCCAATCCATCAATTGACAAAAATACTGCCAATTGGGATCTAAACCACCACCGCCACTAACAAACCAACATCCATCACTACTATACCTCCTTTCTCAATACCACGAACAAAAACAACTTCTTCGACAACCACACAATGTCTGCCCGCTCACTCCTCAACTCCGCCTCCAAGGCCCTCCGCCCCTCCATCCTCACCCAAACCGCCACGCGCAGAACCATCTCCCAAACCCCCCGTCTCCTCCTCAAAGAATCCGCCTCCTGTACGCCCCCTCCCCCTTTTTTTTTCCCTCCTCCCTCCCCCAAACCACACCAATAACTAACCCCCAACCCACAGCCGACCCCAACGCCTCAAACTACGAGCACCATAAACAAGACTCCCTCTCCAAGCAGAAAAAGGGCCAAGGCCATTGGAAGCCCGAGCTGGCGTCGGTGAGCGAGGAGAGCGTGAAGGCGGACCGAATGGCGCCTGAGGAGGCGAGCGAGGCGGCTATGAAGAGGCTGCAGGAGCAGACGAAGGGACGGGCGGAGGAGACGAGTAAGAAGGGGACGAGTATGCGGGATGGGTTGTAAGAAGGGGGGGTTATCATTGGGCTAGTTGCTGGGTTGTAAGACTGGGCTTTTTTTGTTGTCATCGGAAAAAAACTGCCTCGAGGCACGAGGCTTTGGGAGGTGGGGGACGCATTGTATATATTAGTTGTGGACCTGAGACGACCGTCTGTCTGATGGGTTCATTGTGTCATTTCGTCGGTAGTTAAATACAGGCAGGAATGCAGACAAAGGGCGTTACAGAAACTTATCAATTGGTAGCCAACAGACATGGCGATTGCTATCGGGGTGTACTCAGCACGGTTCCCGTTGCCACCGCCCGGTTGTTAAACCCTAGAAGTTTGTAAATCAAGACTAACAGATGAGCCGAGCTAAAGGGGCCTTGCAAATCCATGGGAGATGCTCAAACTCTCTCCTTCAATACCTTACACTACCGTACTCCGGTCGCAAAATGGATATCAATAAATCAACGCCCACTCATAGGTGAACCAAATCATGCTCCCCTACCCCGGCCGCGGCCCCGACCTCTGCCTCTGCCTCTACCACGCCCAATCGTAGCTCCCCTTCCGCTCGTCAGACCCCCGCGTCCCCGCATGCCCGACCCCCGGCCTCGACTCGCCACACTGGGCCGGGTAGCAGGTATATCATCATCACTGTCCGAGCCCGAGTCGGAATCACTGGGCTCTACCGCACCTGTCAAACCTCCGCCGATACCACCCTCGCTATGCTCACTGGCGTCATTGTTATCCCCGTCTTCGTTGTCATATCCCACGGACTCGGACGGAGAAGCACTCCCCGCGTCACTGGCAAAATCGTGATACTCCTCGTCCTCGTCGGAGTCAAGGAGCCTAACAATCGTCGGACCGGCGGGAGCACGCGGCGGCGACGGGGGAGGCGAGGGCTCGGGAGATGGCGAGGGTTCTAGGGCCTGCGAAGCTGCGGATGTAAAGTCGGGCTCGGCTTCTGGGGAAGGCGAGGGTGAGGGTTCAGCGGGGGCTGAGGGCTCGACTGGTGGAGGTTCGGCGGGTGGCGAAGGCTCAGAGTTTGCAGGAAGCTCTGGCTCCGCTTCAGCTTCTGGCGCTGTGACGGGAGATGGCGAGCGAGCCTTATCCTGAGCCGGAGACGGAGCTGCTGGTGGATTCGGCGGCAAATCTGCCATCTCTGTATCCGGAGCTGGTTGATGCTCTTCATCCATTGCAGCAATTGGAGTGCCTTCGTCCATTACAGCAAATGGAGCGGGAGGAGCGGGCGCTGGCGAGGGGCTTCGAGCGCCCTCCGACACAGCTTCTTCCTCCGCGGTCGGGTCGAATTCTTTGTCTTCTTCGTTGTTAATCTCCTCGGGAGCAGCGGATCGTCTCGGCCGGCCTCGTCCTCTCTTTGCCGGTTGTTGGGCGCTCGTCTCCGTTTGCGCTAAGGGGGTTTGGGCAGCAGATCCGTCTTCCACCGCACTAGCCTCGCCCGCACTTTCACCAGCGCGAGTTGGAGTTGCGGGCTTAACGGCACCTGAACTGTTGCGCTGACCAATCCGGAACTTCTTGTCCTTGCGCCGCATCTTTTCGGTCATGGACAAAAGAGGCTGGGAAGGTAACTCCACGGCCGCATTTGTTGTCGCGGTCTCGGGCTGTCGGTTGCGAGGCGGACGGCCGCGTCGCTTAGGGGCAGCCGGCGGTGCCTGGGCATCGCGTGAATCTGACTCGTTGTCAATAGCCTCACCCTCTTCATTGGAACCGTCGAGTTGCCGAGCGAGCTGGGCATCCAGATCGGCATCTTCTTCTTCGCTGTCCTCACTCTCTTTCCTCAGTCGGCCCGGGGGGCGGCCCCGTGGTCTTCCGCGCGACGGCCGTCCCCGCGTTGGCTTGCCTCGGGGCCGCCCTGGGCCTCTCTTGAGATTATCTGAAACCGGCTTCGGGCTCGCACTCTCAGCTTCGGCAACCTCCGATCGCCGCGGCCGGCCTCGCTTCCGAGTGGGTTCTGCCGGTGGGCTGGATTCTTCGGCTGCGTCTGCGGAGCCTCCCGTTGCTGTTGTTGTTGAGAAGATAGCAGCAGAAGCGAGGTCGAGCGGGTCTTGGTTGGCGTCCTCAGTGTTGTGTTGGGTAATGTTTTGGGGAGGCTGAGGAGGCTCAAGGGGCAGCGAGGCGCGTTTAACGACGATGTCGTTGAACTCCTCTTCGCCGTTCTCGTCAATCACGCACGAAACCCTAGGTCGCGCGTGACGCAGAGCCGGACGATTCGGTGAGTACTCACGTTGCCCCCGTTGCTCCCCGTCCTCCGGTGGCTCAGTAGGATTTGCGTCGGAGGCTTCAGCTGTTGGTTGCGTCTCATCCGTTTCGGGTTGAACAGCACCAGCAGCGCCTTCAGCGGGACCATTGGTCATGGTCTCGTCGCCGCCAAACAAGGCAGGGTCCATATTGGACAATGCAACTTCTTGTGCGTCATGCTGAGTAGCTGGGTTTGGTTTAGACCTCTTGCGATGACGAGGCCCTCGGAAATCGGGGTCATCGTCGTCTTCCCGGCGAGCTCTTCGCTTCGCAATCCGGAGTTGTTTCTTGAGATACTCCGACATCTCGGGCTCATCATCCAACACCGGCACGGTATCGACTGAGGGCATTTGATAGGGGTCGAAGAGAATCTTGTCCGGCGTGTCGTCTTGCTCGTAATAGCCCATGCCGAGCATGCGTTCGCGACCAAGACCGGACGGATCTGGATATGATGACTGATCTTCGGCGCCGGGCGGTAACACGCTGTGCGTCTCCACCGGAGCCGCCCGGTCGCCGTTCTGGTGATCGCCGTTGGCTTCGTTCGGCGGCACGACATATTCTCCCATCGGCGCTGCCCCAGGGCCAGCTGGACCATTCCCCCGATCCTGCTGGGCATATCCATTAGTAGATTCTTGCACGGTGGCCTGGAGCGATTCTGCCAGTTGGCTATCGGGCAGGACGGGAACCTGGTCGGCAAGTCCTGACTCCTTGGCCTTCTCCGCCTCAGCTGCTTGTTGGAGTCGCTGCATCCGTTTGCTCGACAAGCTTCGACTCTCGTCGCCAACGCTCTTGAGCCACGTCAGATTGTGGACTCGGAAATCGACTAAGCTCTCAACGCTGCGGTCGTCGGCGATACGACGAGTATCGTGCCCCAGGAGCGTGTTTTTGGGGATATAAGGGACCCCGTTCCCGGCTCGGCGACAGGCCGCGCAGTTGCAAATCTTGAGACATTTGGGGCACAGCCAATGTTCATTTTGCATCACGACCTGGGGCATCATGTCGAAGGCTCGGTAGAGCACACCGTAGCAATACGCATCGTTGCAGCCGGGGTTTGTGCAGAACGCCAACTTGTAGTGGTAGTCCTTGTGCGAACAGACGTGGCACCGGTGGACGTCGCCCTTCTTCGCCTTTCTCTTCCGCTTCTTTTTCACTGGGTGGCCGTTGTCATCAACCTCGACATCGGACTCCACGGGTTCGGGTGCCGGTTTTACCTGGGCAATGTCATTCCATGGGCGCTTACGGAGTTGCTCCTGGCAGATCTGCGCGACCGGCTTTTTACCAAACTTCCTTCTGGCCAGCTCCAACGGAAGAGGAGAGGTATCAAAGTTGATGAACCCGTCGTTCTTGATGATCAGCGCCCGCCAGGTCTCGTAGCGGTCAACGAGCTCCGACCAACGCCATTGCTCGCACCAGCTGAGGTTCGAGACACAGAAACAAGAGCGGCCCATGGCGTAACATTCCATGCAAATGTCATACGTATCCTCATCCCCACCGACCAACTGGCGGACGCAGTGCTTGCAGGTAAGAAAGCGGTTGAAAATGTTCGCTCGGCAGTACGAGCAGGTGACGTTGGACTCGAACTCGATGTAGTCGACCTCCTTCTCCTTTGTCGCAAACATTTCGTCCACGAGCACTTTGGTGAACAACAGGAAAAGTGACTTGAAATCAGCTGCCATCTGCTTCATTCGGGTGGAGTTCTTGGGCGAGTCCTGCCCGAACCCGAGGAAACCAATATCGACCGTCTTCTCCATGCCCGCCATCTCTTTGTAGTACTTGTCAAGGGTGTAAAAAATAATCGCCTTGTTCTTGTACTGCTCGTCACGGCAGACGAGCCTGGCCTTTGGGAGGGCTTCTTGCAATGCCATCCCAAGGGTCTCGACCGTTGTCCGATTCCACGCAACCTTGATTGTCCGAGTGCCACGGTTCCAGACTTGATGAGGGGCTAGTGGTGGAACGAGGATGAAATCCCCGACCTTCTGCTCCACAACGTACACCGGGAACGTCGCCTTCTTCCAGGCGTTGACCTGAGCAAAGTGCTTCTCGATCTCTATGTCGTGGCCGAGCATGGACAAAAAGTATTCCCTAACCACTTCACGGTCCTTGGTCTCGGTCATGAACCAGATCGAGCTTCCCGGGAGCTCCCCGTTTTTTGAACCAGACGCATCCACCATGATGTTCTGACCCAAACTAGCGCACATTTCTCGATGCGCCGGAGTGTAGGTTCCCTCATGACCGATGTAGCACATCAGGTTCTGTGCGCGCATCTCCTCGGGAAGGCTGCTCATCAAATCGCCAGCGGGGGCCGCCGAGTGTCCTTCCTGGAACATATCCTCATCACCGCCTCCTTTGCTCAATCGTTCGTCGATGTTGCCGTTCATGTAAAACAAATTCGGAGGGATGACCTTTTGGAGGTATGTCTGCCATTCCGCGGGACAGTCGATGTCTTTCATGTAAAGGCGCTGGCGTCGTTCATCGCGGAAGTTGTACGGCGTCCATCGGTCTCCGAGCGTTTTCATCGATCGGAGGTAGTGGCCCAAGGTCATCGGAATGTCGGTTTGGCCGACAATGTCGCGAACATTCTCACCTGATCATCATTAGTCAGACAGATGCACAACTTTCAGGACGAGGAGAATGCGCACGTTTTTTGTTGTAGGTGGATTCCAACCACGTTGCGCTGAAGAGCGACTTGGGCAACTGGTCGTTCCATTTCTCGATGACGAGGGGCTTGCCTCCGTGGATGACATGGAGGAAAACTAGTCGTTCGAATTCCTGCGGTCCGATGTTGCGAATCTGAGCCGCTGAGATGCGCAAAACCCAATGGAAATTCGGTGTCCTTTCCACTAGCGAGTGTAGGTCCAGATCTGGAGGAATCGGATCAAATTTGGCTTGGGGGTGCTGCGCTGCCGGCATTTTGGCGGTCGCGGACTCGGATGATTATTAAGGTTTTCGGGAGTTCGAGGACAAAACGGACACCGTTAGGTGTCGGGATGGAATGCTATGGTGTGAGCAACATTGTTGCATGTTGTGAGGTTGCGATGCGAAGATCTAAGCGTGTGCGAGAAACGCGATACACTAGTTTAAGAGTGGAAGAAGCGCGTCTCGCTCAACCTGGCGGGGAATTGGCCAAAGTGACTGCATGCATGCACAGCTTGAACAAGGCTAGCCAATGGGATGCGAAGAATATGTGAGCTGTAGGAAATTTTGTGGGCCCAACCTTGACTTCTTGTATGAGGCTGATTTTCTTCACTGCTAGGAACATGTGAATTCGTCTTGCAGCGGAAACACCCCTACCACCTCGGATAACGATTCTATCCCGTCAATTTGGTTTCTTTGGATTAAGTATTGGCTTTTGACCTTGTAGGATTTGTGTTCTATCACAATTGGTTTCCATTCCCACATATTAGCAGGTGTCAGAAAATTACAAACTAAACTAGACTTGAGGTTAGTTTTGCATCGCAAATGGTTTGTGGTTTTATTAGTTTTTTTTTATTTTTGTTGTTCCTTAGTCACTCAAAAGGTCACTCAAAAGGTCACTCAAAAGACTAGATAGAAATCAATTTTACACTCACCTTAACTAACACATGCATTAGCATATCCCCATAATGAGCTGTCGAATATTTCCGAGGTTGCCGCTTCGACGCGGCCTCAGTCAACTTGCGAGATCCCACAAACCATGGATGAACTTAGGACCGTCGACTCGCACATGTCAAGGTCTTTCAGAACCCCGACATCTTGCGCTGGGTCCTTACACCCCATCCCAACGTACTCTCATCGCCTACCACACCACCTCCAAACTCCTTTCCGTGGCTACCACAACACCATCACCAACGCCAACCCCAGTGCCGGTCACACCACCACCCTACACCCCTCCGCAGACCGGCCTCCTCTCTATACTCCCGGCCTCATGGGTACCCTACGCCGAACTCATCCGCCTAGACAAACCAACGGGGTCCTACTACCTCTTCTTCCCCTGCATCTTCTCCACCCTCCTCGCGGCACCCCTCGCGACCCCTGTGACCTCGCCCCTCACCGTGCTCGGCACCTCACTGCTCTTCCTCGCTGGCGCCGTCGTTATGCGCGGAGCGGGCTGCACGATCAACGACCTCTGGGACCGCAACCTTGACCCACACGTGGCACGCACACGACTGCGGCCCATCGCGCGGGGCGCCGTGACGCCGTTCCAGGGGCTTGTGTTCACGGGCGCGCAGCTGCTGACGGGGCTGGCCATCTTGCTGCAGTTCCCGACTTCGTGCTTCTTCTATGCGACGCCGAGTTTGCTGTTTGTTGCGTCGTACCCGCTGGCGAAGCGGGTCACGTACTACCCGCAGTTTGTGCTGGGGTTGACATTTTCGTGGGGCGCGATCATGGGATTCCCTGCGTTGGGGATTGATTTGTTGAGCAATGGGGCTGCGCAAGCGGCGGCTGCACTGTTGTACACGTCGAATGTGGCGTGGACGGTGTTGTATGATATGATCTATGCGCACATGGACATAAAAGACGACGTCAAGGCTGGTATTAAGAGCATTGCGCTCAAGCACGATAAGGAAACGAAGCAGGTGCTCACTGGGCTGGCACTTACACAGGTGGCACTGCTGGCTGGGGCCGGGATCGCGACTGGCGCTGGGCCGGCATTCTTCATTGGAAGCTGCGGCGGTGCGCTAGTGACGTTGGTGGTGATGATCAAGAGGGTCAATCTCAAGAGTGTCAAGGACTGTTGGTGGTGGTTCGTCAACGGGTGCTGGATCACAGGTGGTGTCATTACCATGGGGTTGACGGCTGATTATCTTGTACAGTCCGCTCAGTCGGAAAAGGACGATATAGAAGAGTCGGCGTGAGGTACTATTGCGGGGGAGCTGTCTGGGAGGCTTTGTGGGATAGACTCGATGTATCATAAAAACTTGTTCCAGTTCGAAGCCGGTCCCGGGCCAAAGGCCAGCGCCTAAGAAATCATCATTACATGACGCCATTCCCCGAACATGCGGGGCCTGCTGTTGTTTCGGCTTGATGATCTCTTTGATTTTTCAGACCATGTCTACCGTAGGTGCCCAGATTCCCCAACCTGGTGGAATGCCAATGTAAAAAGCCCGCAAAGACTCCTCATGCCGAACCGATGCCATTTTCCACACGCCCAATATTTATGATCTCGGCTTCTCCTTCTTCTCCTTCCATAGAGCGAGGAGACCGACACCGGAAACCTTGACGACTGGGGGGCGGTCAGTGAACGTTCAGGGGACAATAAGAGGGACAATGGTACTAACCCTTGAAACGCACACCGGGAATATCACCCTTCGCCTTGCCCTTGCGACCGAAACCGGCGAGGAGGACCTCGTCGTTCTCGTCGACGAAGTTCAGGCAACCATCGTTGGGAACTAGAAAATCGTAATTAGCGTCTGCCTCATTTGACCAAGACCCAACAGCCTATTCTAAGATTCGCCGTCGCGATTTGCGGGGAGGGCGGGGGTTCGTACCGAAAGCAGTGACCTTCTTGCCGTTCTTGATAAGCTGAACCCTCACACACTTGCGAATAGCCTGTATTCCCACCAGTTAGTCATTGTATCGTTGGGAGATTCGAGAGGCGAGATCCAAGCGTGGATTCGAGCGGGATTTTCGACGTACGGAGTTGGGCTGCTTGGCTTCGACGCCGACCTTCTCGAGGACGATGCCCTTGGCGTGGGACGAACCACCGAAGGGGCTACACCAATGTCAGCACTATTGTCGTCTTTCCAACCATCCACCCCAACGTCATTTTCGTCGGTTATTGCGCACCTGGACTTGAAAGCAGTGCCGAGAGCACGCTTCTTGTACGCAAGATCGGCCCACCGCTGCTCACGGCGGTTGTTGCGCAGCTTGCGGGCCGCGTTGAGACCACGAGGCTTTCCACCGGACATTTTGGCTGTTGAATGACGACGTTAGAGAGATGACTGGTCGAAGGGGTTGACGTCGATCCAGATCGTGAATTCCGTCGTGATATCAGGGAGCGTGGGGTGCTACGTACCGACTTGTTGATGATCGCGGGTTCTGGGTGCGGTTCGTGATCTGGAAGTTCGCTTCGCAGAATCCCGATTTTTCGGCGGGCAGCGAGTTTCGCAGTAGGGCGAGAAAACCCTAGCCTCCCAATTGGGCAAGATGGCCCACATCTGTGGCGCAGCTGAGGCTTTGATTGGGTCCCGATCACACCCGCTTAAGGAATTATGCAACTCTTTTAATGCATATCCACTTCAACATATCCAATCGATCTCGAAGTTACGATTCTATCCGTATAACAGCCGCTTAAAATGCGGGCAGTGATTAATTTAGACCGTTTGTGTGCCGAATTGACCAGCTAGGAAGCCAGGAGGCTAGGTAATCATCAAGCACAGTGCACGATCCCTTTACCGCCGCCATGAGGTAATACGGGCGTTGTATTTTTGGTCGTGGTAATGTATGTCGTTCCGTTTGTTGTTCTAACTCTCTCGGGTTAGGGTTAGCTAAGCACCTCTTAGTTCCACCACCTTCATCCCTCCTCAGCTCATCAAATCATCACATCGATTAACCACAAACAATGGTCTAAATATGTCCAACGGAATAAAAGGGAAAGGCAAACTCGGCGATCCGCCGCAAACGCTGTTTAGTCCACTCTTCGCCTCAAATGGCTCCCCCCAAGCTGGCCGTCCTAGCAGCCGCGCCCACCAACTCACCGCGACCACCGCCGGTGGTTCATCCACATCCGCATTCGCTTCACCCGCCACATATAGCTCTTTGACGAGTCCCACTCCCAACGCCGCGCCCGACCACAGCAGCACCACAAGTCCCCTCAACATCCACCTCCCACCTCTTTCCGGTCTTGGGCCCCATGGCACTCACCCGCCTTCCTTCCGCAGCCGTGAATCCACACGCACGACGGACCGCACCGATGCGTTGTGGGCGGAGATGCAAGCGACGCTAGAGGCGGTGGAGTTAACTGCGAACGGTACCGGCAGTAACAGCAAGAACAACTCTGGGAGCGCCGGAGGCGGAGCCACCACGACGGTCAACAGCGTGTTCAGCCCGGATCACGAACGCAAGCTGGACGAGCTGCGGGCGGCGCAGATTGCGCTGGCACAGGCGTGGGCGCGGAGTGAAGCGGATGAGGCGATGGAGACTACGGGGAACGGCGGGGGTGATGGTCTTGGGTTTGGTCTTGGTGCTGGTGCTGGGGGGATCTCGGAAGGGAAAAGCGTGGCCACGGATGCCGGGGCGGGTGGGATGGGGAAGAGCACGGCTGGGACAGGGAGTGCAAGGCCTGGGAGCAGTGGGCTTGCAACCGCTGGTGCTGGCGGCCAGGGGAAGAATATGGAAGAGGAAACTGAGGTGGACCTCCTGCTAGCGAGAAAGAGGCGGGAGGCAAATGATCGATATTTTCAGAGGGTAAACCAAGGCGTACTGGATGTGGTTGCAAAGCTGGAGGATGTGGCGATTGCCATGCGGGCGGTCGAGCAGGAAAGCAAGGAGCTTTGGGGGGATGAGACCGAGAGTGTTCCGGGAACCGTCAAGTCTTGAATTAGGTGTTTTAGGGTGTTATTGGGGTTTAATGTCGTCTGAGTATCGTTATGGCGTTCTTCTTAAAGGGTTCAGCACAGGGATACGGGCTTGCATAGCAGGGTTTCGCGTTCCGATGGCGTTAATATAATACATTGTTTATCCTGCCAAACCGTCTTGGATGGGAACCTCGAAAACCATTTTGCTTTCACGTTTTATTGGCCTTCTCAAAGATGTTGAGGCAACTGTAAGCGAGGCAAGATGGGTATATTCTTCGAACGTTATCCGTTTTGGAAACCAAAGGACGGATAGGGATGTAATTACACCAGCAGTATTACAACAACCAAGTTAATTAACGTAGAGCTCGGGCCTGCGACGCTCCGACTTACACCGAACAACAAATCTTACTACGTACTTCAACAACATAGCTAGGCGACCGGACCAAAGAACAAGCGACATGTTGCAAAACAACGAGCGACAGGGCCGACCGCCGGATGTTGTGGATACGAGAGTCCAGACAAGCGGCCAATTCATCCGATTTGCCGCTCGGCTTTGGGGAGCTTCTTGATTCGTGGCGTTGACGGGCGACGGGAAGCTGCAATGGAAGGTGGGTCCGCATTGAACTGTGCCTGTGTGGGATGCAGTTCTGGAAAGCGGGAGGTGCAATGCAGGCCGTGCAGAAGCAGGGACTTGGCTTTAGGAGTTCATCTGATGCTGAATATTCGGATGGTTCAATGGGTTCCGGGGAACTGGCTAGTATTCGAAGAAGCAAGTTGAAATGTGATAGGAATGGCCTCGAAAAGACATTCTCTCGGGAACTTGTGCTTGGAAGAAACCGGGCGGGTGGCGGAACCGAATGCCCACTGCACCTCGGCGCTTTTCCCCCCACTAGTGGCGTCTGGTAAGCTGTAAGGTACGTACCGAAACCGCCCGATCCCATCAAAATTTGGGGGGTCCTGCCTGGAACGGGAACCTCTTTCGTCGGCTTCTCTTGCAGCACAACGTGACAACCTCTTCTCTCCACTCCCTAGCGGACGTGTGGTCAATTGCGCGCTCCACCCTTCTCGGTCCAGCTCCGCCCCGTCTTCTCGCGACGTCGACTTTCGTCCTGTTTCCTTTTCCCTCATCCCGCATCACGCAACAGCTCTCGAGTTCTAGCCGATACCGGACAAGATGGGCTACCTCGACGACGAGATCAAGCGCCTCGAGGGCATCATCTCGACCCTCGACGGTCGGGTGCGGGCGCTGGAGACCAGGCAGGTCGGCGGCAGCCAGAAGAAGACGGCCGAGGAGATTCGCATGATTCTCATCGGCCCTCCCGGTGCTGGTATGTCAAAGTGTTGAGCCCCACGGGGAAAAGGCGCACATTTTTGGTTACACTCGCTCACAGACGCCAGGCAAGGGGACACAGGCCCCCAAAATCAAGGAGAAGTTCAACTGCTGTCACCTGGTATGTCAATTGGCCTGCCGGCCTTCTGGTCACATGAGATATTGCCGAAAAAAAGAAAAACAAAAGGGTGTCAGCTGCTAACGCCCTATGCTTGCGACAACTAGGCCACCGGTGACATGCTGCGCTCCCAGGTCGCCAAGAAGACCACGCTCGGCCGGGAAGCTAAGAAGATCATGGAGGCAGGCGGCCTTGTCAGTGATGACATTGTCATTGGCATGATTAAGGAGGAGCTAGATAACAACAAGGAATGCAAGGGCGGGTATGTTTGCTGCTTCTCAACAATTGACGTGCTACAATGGCTCGCCTATGACATGCGCTAACACGTGTCAACCACCCCGCCATACAGCTTCATCCTTGATGGCTTCCCTCGCACCGTTCCGCAGGCCGAGGGCCTTGACAAGATGCTGCGCGAGCGAAACCAGCAGCTGCAGCACGCCGTCGAGTTGAAGATCGATGATCAACTGCTCGTCTCCCGCATTACCGGCCGTCTCGTCCACCCGGCCAGTGGCCGTAGCTACCACACCACCTTCAACCCGCCCAAGAAGGCCATGACCGACGACATCACCGGCGAGCCGCTCATTCAGCGCAGCGACGACAACGCCGAGGCCCTCAAGAAGCGCCTGGCCACTTACCACAAGCAAACCGCCCCCGTTGTCGACTACTACCGCAAGACCGGCATCTGGCAGGCCATTGACGCCGCCCAGGCTCCCGGGCAGGTCTGGAAGAGCCTCCAGACCATCTTTGACAACGACAAGGCCAAGGCCAAGTCGGCTGGCGCTGGCCTCTTGAACAAGCTCTCGCCCCGCTCGTAGATATGAAGCGTGTGGGCACAACGGCCGGGCTAGGGATGGCGGGGTGGTGGAACAAGAATACGAGTATTTCGGGCCCTAAGAGCCCGATATGCTATTCTCGTACCGCCACGGTTAAGGAGGGGAGGGCGAAGAGCGTACTTAGATGTGCATTTTGCGTTCCTCTCTTTCCTCATCAACCTTCAGCAGACCTCTGAAGTGAGGAGGAAACGGTTGGGATTCCCTTGGAAACAGGAAACCAGCACCGCCACGACCTGCCTAGCACCAACTGATGGAACGAACTTCTTGCAAGTGTGTTAGTATCATTGGAAGGAGTTACGGAAAATCGAGTTTATACCCAAGAGCCTACCGAGTGGCAGGTTCCGGGTTGAGAAATTTGCTATGAGCGTGGCGCGATTCCATGATAGAAGCCCTTGTACACAAAAATGTAGAAAAGCTTTAACGTTCATCTTGCCAGTCCCTTGTCTGCGTTTATCCGTGTAGTCATGTCTGTTTTACAGTTTAGTGCCTTTGAACGACACTCATGGACCCCTATCTTCTACTCATTCCGGCACATCACCGCCACAATCCCATGAGTAGCCAACAGTAAGGAAGCAACGGTATCTATTCAAGGGGTATATCTAAAGCGAAGAATGTACTGTGCACTGTATGGGAGCCGTTTCAATGCACCCAAATAATAACCCGAGCATGAGCCCCTTCCCTCTTGTCTGCGGACGGTGCTTCGAACCAGCATCCTCTCTCTCTCCATGTCGACCGCCAGAAACTGACCCTTCTTCGCCCTTGCTATCTAAGTATTCCAGAAAAAGAAGAAAACGGGGGTATTCCCAGATGCAACCCAACCCAATAGCCCACTCACGGTACGTGCCTATCTCCAGCCCCCATGCCAGACCAAACCGAGCCCTGATTCTCGGTCGAACTGAAAAGGGGCTCGAAGACACAGCAACAAGCACGCTCTCAGACAACAACCGAAACCCATGTCCACGCAATGCTCAACAAATCCCAAACCACGCCATCACCGCCATCACCTCTACCGGCTCCTTTCCAACCTTCTCCAACCACTCCTCCTCGAGCAACACTGGCCCATTCCCCTATTCCCATCTCCATGTTGTGACCACTACTATTACCAGCAGCAGCAGCAGCAGCAGCTGTACCAAGGCCGTCCGCCTACGACGAGACAAGATAAAGCACCATCAAGACGCTGCGCTGCTGCCAGGACTGCTGTCGCGTGCGCCGAGGGAGAAGACGCGGGAGAGTGCGTTGGACATGCGAGCGCAGACGCACATTCCGCTTATGCTGCTGTGGGGTTTGGTGTGTTTGTTGTTGTGGTGGTGGCTGTTGTGGGGGAGAACAAAGAAGCTGCTGCTAACACTCCTGGAGCCACTACCTCCTCGGTGTTGATGTAGCTACTCGAGCAGAGACAATAATCATTAGCACGGGGGGTTTCCAACGTCACTGAAAGGAATGGATAGGAAGGATGCTAGAATAGAAGGGGTGCTCACCATTGACCATTTGTCGCTGTTTACCCAACCAGCTCTTAGGCGCGTCGTGGCGGCGCTGTAGGACGACGTGGTTGCTCTGCAGGCGGCTAGTGATATCGTACCAAGCGGTGGTAATCATGGCGTTCTCGTGTCGTAGATTCTTAATGATCTGGTCGGTGGCAGCCTAGAGTGTGCAAGTTAGATACATATGTTAAGCGTGCCTCGGGCAAGGCATGTAACAGAGCAAAAACGTACCTTGTGGGCCGCGAGTGCGCCACCGTTTTCTGCGAGCTTGAGCCGCCGTTGCAAATCGTACTTTTCCTGCTCCGACTTCTCGAGTTGCTACGTTACCTTGTTAACGAGCACACACACAACACACAACAACGTTCGAGTTGGTTGATGGGGTCGGCTTACCTCAATCTTCTGCTTCAGCGCCGTCTTCAGCTTCTCAATCTTCTCTGCATCTTCCTTCTTCCCTTTCGTCTGAGCCCCAGAAGAAGCAGAGTCCTCGCCCGCCGACCCCTGCCCCGCACCAGGAGCCGCCAGTGCATCGTCTAAGCGCCGTTGAACTTTGTCCTTCGACACGAGCACGCCCATGAATTGCTCCTTCATCTCGTCAAGCTCGAACAGCTTCTGCGCGAGCTGCTTGCGCGTGGCCTCGAGCTCGGTGCGCAGGGAATCCGAGATGAGCTCGTCGGACGACTTGAGCGCGGCCAGCGCCTCGGTCTGTTCCTGGCCAATGGCGTCGACTAGAAGAACACAGCAGTTAGTAAAGGTTCGTGGGGCGAAGGAGGGTGAGCTGCTGGGGGCCAGTGTGATGTCCACATACGGTCTGCCTTGAAACGGATGAGATCGCGTTCGCGGTCGGCGGCGTCCCTCTCGAGCCCCTGAAGATGCTTGCGAGCCTGTTCCAGATCCCGCGTAGTGTCGATCAGGTTCCGGCGCATGTTGATAAACGCACGATCCCTAGATAGCAAGCATTAGTAAACCTGTGGCTGGATTTATTACAGAGTGGAAACGAGGGAACTAACGCTTCGCCTGTGGCATGGTCGACCAGGGCATTGAGCTGCTCCTGAGCCACGGCCTGCTTCTCCATCGCCTCGGTGCATTGGAGGCGGTAGTGCTCGACCTTTTGGTTAGCGCTGTCGAGCCCGTTGCGGAGCCGCTCGTTCTCAGACGCCACGGCCATGTTATTCCGGAGCATGCTGTTTTCCGCCTTGAGGCGCTGGACCTCGAGCCGGAGGGCCACCGTCGGATCGGCTGTGGTCTCCAGCTCCTGTTCGAGGCTGAACTTCGCGCCCGAAGCGCCCGGGCTTTCGGAGCCTGGCTCGGGCAAGTCGCCTAGCTGGAGCTGTTCCTGGAGCTCTCGAATGGTGCCTTCGTCGAGCTGTCGTCTTGACTCGAGGTACTCGACCCTCCTCTTAAGCTCTTCGTTGGCATCTTGCAAGACATTCTTGGACTGGAGTGTGTAGATGATCTCCTGCTCGTTGCTAGTCAAGACCCTGATTTTCTCGTCGACTTCCTTCTGCAGCTTCCTATTCTGCGCCTTCACCTCGTCGAAACTCCTGAGGTCCTGTTCGAGTTGGAGGATCTGTTCGTCCAAGGCACGGTTCCGCTGCTGGATCACGGTAAGGTCTTGGGCTTTCTTCTTGTAATTTTCCAGACTTTTGATCAGCTGCTGCTGTTGCTTCGTCTCATGCTCCAACACGGTGACTTTGTCCTCGAGATCTTTCAACCGCTCTGCCTTGCCGCGTAGTGCCTCATTCTCCTTTTCATATCTTGTCGACCGATGGGTCTCTTTCTCGAGCAGATCCTCCAGGCGGTCAATCTCGGTCATCTTTTCGCGGATCTCGTTCCGGAGGTCCTTGATCGCGGAGGAGGCATCGGAGCCCCTAGCCCGCTTAAGCGTCGTGAGTTCGTCTTGGGCCAGCCGTAGGTCGGTGAGCATAGCCTCACGCGTGCCGAGGAGCTTATCTAGGCGCGACTGCAGGTCGGCATTTTGTTTCTTGACCACATCAACCTTGTTTTTCATCTGTTCTAGCTCCTCGGCCATCAGCTCCGGGTCCCGGAACGCATGGATATCGACGTCGGTGTCCACATCGCCCGGTTGCGGCTCTGCCTCGGCCTTCTCCTCTCTCCCCTGGCGTAGCTCCGTCTTCTGGTTGATGATTTTGGCAATCTCCCCTTGAGTCTGGCTGTCGAGGGTGAGGATCTTAGGGACGTAGGTCCTCGAGAGCGAGCCCATGCACGCGGCGGTGAGGAAAGCGGAGAGGAACTCGCACAGGGCATTATCGGTCGGGTTTTCGGCGATGGCACGGAACTCGGATGGTGACGGGGCAAGAAGGGGGTTGTCGGAGCGCAGGAAACGGGCGAGGCCGCGGTAGACCGTCTCGAGGTTTTGGCGGTGATCATGTTCGGATTGCGGGGTGAGGACGAGACTGGAGGAGTGGAACTCGGGGGAAAGCATCTGTTCGAGAATCTGACCGAGGATGATGCCGTCGCGCAGGTCCTGTAGCGTCTCGGCCTTGTGGCGCGTGTCAAACGTGTTGGCCCATTTTAAGAGCGCTGCCTGCGTGAGGGCACTATATTGCGCCATGGTCGGTCTACTTGGGGTGGTGGGAATGAGATCGTTTATCCGGGATTTGGGGTAGATTCGGCTCGGTGGCCGTGCGGTTCGCTATACGAGTGCTTGAAGAGTGCTAGTTCGAAAACACCGGGGGGATATGGACTCGAGAGGTGGTGTCTATTAGATCGGAAGATGTGAGAAGCTGGAGAAGCTGGAGAACCCTGAGGGAAAGTGAACCCCAAGGTATTCGTACAAGTGGAATGATGTGAAACCGGTAACGTGGGCAGCTGCGGGGTGATTTTATTCGACAAAACCCATTGCGCGGGCTCAAAACGTCAACGAAGACTCCAAAGCGATATTCTGGAAATCTTGCCTCAGCCTGGGTTCCCGTGTTTCATCATTGTGCTGGCCTGTCCATTCTCGAGAAAGGCATTGTTGAGGATGGTTTTCAGTGATTCTGGGGGCGTTTGCTGGGGTCCCACAGGGTGCATGGGCAACCCCTGCGGGAGCTCCACGGCCGTTCGATTGGCTCGGGAGTGGGCAAGGGCTTGGTGCAAAGCCGCGCCGTCATGCATAAATGAGAGCCGCCCGCCTTGAGACGGGCTAGGGCGCTGTACACGACGAGATCTCTGTGTCGGTAGCTGTATGGAAGCAGCCTAGAAGCTACTAACTTAATCTCGATGCTGAAATTTCGGGGGTGGCGGATAGGTCGAAACCTTCGTGCCGCAGCCTCGAGCTTACACAACCAAAGCCTTTCCCCCAAGACAACACACGCTAACGTTCATAACCAACCGACCATCATCAAGCGACGTGATCATCGCCCATAATATAACCACTCCATAACGCCAAGGCACCAATCTTCAACCGCGCAAGTAACGGCCAAGTAACAAGTCAACCCCCCATCCAAAATCATCCCGCGCGCATCCCGTAGACCGTTCCATCCTCATAACCACCGGCGAAGGCTGGAGCTGCCGTTTGTCGTCATATTCATTGCATTCGGGGGCTTAATCCCGTCATCAGAGCTGGCGCGGCGCACATCTATGCGATGTGAACCTCCTGGTCCTCCTCAACGAGCACCTTGTATTGCTCCCCCATCGCTGAAACGGTCCCGATGGCTTTGTCACCAACCTTGGCCGCAAAACCCCTAGTTCAAATCGTTAGCACGTGATGAGACGCAGACCGAAAAAGCTGGTAGGCGTACTTGATCAGGGTATACTCGTGGGTGATGAGACCGCCGGCTTCCTCGATGGCCTTCTTGGCTTGGTCCACAACCCAGTCGGGTGTCTCGCGAGGGTAGGTGAAGAGGACGGACTTCTGGATGCCGACGGCGCTGACGCCAGCGGCGAGTGTGAGCGCGGCAATGACGAACGAAAATACCTTCATGGTTGCGGGGGTCGGCGGTGAGCTGAACGATGTCGTTTATTGAAGTTGGTAGTGTCGTGACGTTGTTGGTTTTCTTTTGAGAGGATAGATGAGAAAGCGATGATGCGCGGCTTGAATGGATGTTGGGTGGCAAAAGGATTCGATTCATTCTTGTACCGGTTTGCGCCAGCGGCCACCCCTCGTTTTACAGGGACCTGGTCCGCCCAGAACCACTGCCGCAGGCACTGCGGGAAGCATGCAGGAGTGCCGAAACAGGCAGCTCACCACGGCCGATTGGCTGCAGTCGACCTTCTGAAAGCAGCAGGTCAGAGCCGCAGAGTTCCTCAAGAAAGTGGTCCAAGCGCCTCAGTGCTTGGTTTTGCAGGGAGCTCGCCCGACAGCCAGCCTTGTGCCAAGCACCCCACCAGCGAGCGGCCCAACACCTTGACAATCCCGAGCTAGCCTGATTGGGTACTGACCTTGAACTGGCGAGGCAGCGAACTGCGTGACGACGACCAGCCGCAAGCAAGCACCAGCGCCAAACACAGCTCCCAAAAAAACACACGATTCCGGACCGCATAACCACAACCCACGACGAATATTTCCGACGACCCCGACGATCCCGACTATTTGATACTCCTTCTCGCAAGATATCGGTTTTTTTCGCCATGCCAGCCACAACCGCAGAGACGCTGTCGCTCGTACAGCGCAACGTCTCGGTTGCCCCGCTAGTGCTGCTTTCCGTTGTCGACCACTACAACCGCACAGAAGCCTACAAGAGCAAAACCAAGCGCGTAGTAGGCGTACTATTAGGGTCAAATGATGGCACAAATGTGCGGGTGTCCAACAGCTTTGCAGGTACGCTAGATTACAACTCATGCTAAGGGAACTTCCAGTAAATGGTCGCCTTGCTGACCAGAGCTCCTCTACCGCACAGTACCCTTCGAGGAGGACGACAAGGACCCGTCAGTCTGGTTCTTGGACCACAACTATGTCGAGTCGATGAACGACATGTTCAAGAAGGTCAATGCACGCGAGAAGTTAATAGGATGGTACCACTCCGGCCCAAAGCTGCGGGCTTCCGATCTCGAGATCAACGAGCTTCTCAAGCGCTACACACCGAACCCGCTGCTAGTCATCATTGACGTTCAACCGAAAGAGTCAGGCGTGCCAACAGATGCATATTTTGCCGTGGAGGAAATTAAGGACGTATGTGCTCGCGGGGATTTGAGCTGCTATGCCGTGGGCGAACCCCGCTAACTCGAACGTTTGAAATAGGACGGAACTACTACTTCCAAGACCTTTGTCCACACCCCAACGATTATCGAAGCCGAAGAGGCCGAGGAGATCGGTGTTGAGCACCTCCTGCGCGACATCCGCGACGTAGCAGTCGGCACCCTCTCGACCCGTGTCACCAACCAACTCCAATCCCTACAGGGCCTCCACCTGCGCCTCCGCGACATCCAAACATACCTGCAAAAGGTCCTCGACGGGCAGCTCCCGGTGAACCACGCGATCTTGGGTAATCTCCAGGACGTGTTCAACCTTCTCCCGAACCTCTCAACACCGAAACCCGGCGCCGCGACGACTGGCGGTAAGAATGACACGGAACTCAACTACGCGATGAGCGTCAAGACCAACGACCAGCTCATGGCTATTTACCTGAGCAGTCTGATCCGGGCGATCACTGCGTTCCACGACCTTATTGAGAACAAGATCCAGAATCGGCAGCAGCAAGAGGAGAAGGAGGCGGCCAAGAAGGAGATTGAGAACGGTGGCAAGGAAGGAGACAAGAAGGAGGGGAGTCCCGCGGTCAACGGCGACTCCAAGGAAGGGGGTGGTGACAAAGAGAAGGAGGGGTCTAAGGATAAGAAGAAATAGGGCTAGATAGAGGACGGATGGGGCTACTCAAGCATACACGATTGTATGAGATATGTCTCTGCCAGGGCAGCAAAAATGTCTCGATGCTATGCCATTGTCCATTGCCGCTGTTAGAGTGAACCCGCCCTCTTACACATCTGCAACAATTCCCGCCACCTCTTCCCTTCTCATCTTCCGCTCAACCACGTACTTCCCCAACGCTTCTCTCCACCTGTCCGCCAGTACACACGCGAGCAGATGCTTACATACCGAAACACCATTTCCCAGCCCAGGCTCTAGCCCATCCAAACTTAGTCCCCCAAACGACCATTTCCCTTGTGATCTCTCAGCACCCGCAGGCTTAGGCTCATCAACTTCCCCAAACCCTTTACCTTTGCCCTGTTCATCTTGCTCCTCCTCATCCCATTCCCCCCCATCTTGAACCGAAGAGAATGCAAAAGCAGCACACGTGCAATGCCACGCCTCCAGCCGGACAATATACACCTTCGCTTCCGTCGTCCCCATCGCCCCGTTTGTTTCTTCCCCATCTCCCTCATCCGCACCACCCCCGCCAGCTCCACCTCCACCTCCTCCGTACCGTCGTCGTCGCCATCTTTCGCGTGCGGCCTCGGCTGCTGCGGCCGATTGGACGAGGTAGAAGGAGGGAGGTGTTATGGCGTTACTCTCCCTGGTCGGGTTAGGCTTCACCTTTGGCTTCGTCGTGGCCGGGGTTGGGACCTCGGCTTCGGCTGACCTAACATCGTCTCCGTTACCATCCCCATCCCCATCTCCCCCATCCTCATCCTCATTCCCCTTCCCATCCCTCCCATCGCGCTCTCCAGCCTCACCCCCGTCCTTCGTCCTACCAACTCCCACCCCACTCCTCAAGCCACTAGCGCCCTCCTCAACATCAACACTAACCCGCGCCACAAATCCCCTCTCCAACAAACCCAGCGCCGGCAGCACCAATCCCGGGAATAGAACATGTAATGTGGTGATAAGTGGGCGAGAGGCGGGTGGGACGCGGTGGAGGGGGTTGTTGTTGTTGTTGTTGTTGTTGTTGCTGGAGGATTGTTCTTTTTCGGAGTTTAATGGTCTTTGCTGGTTGGGGTTGGGCTTTGGTTTTGGGGGGAGGGTGGATGGGATTGGTGGGGGGGTTGATGAGGGTGGTGATGGCGATGATGCTGGTTGTGGTGGGTGAAGTTGTGGGTCGGATGCGGGCGTTAAGGGGATGGCGGAGATGGCGTTGATGAGGGAGGTGAGGAATGTACGTGGGGTTGGGAGAGGATCTGTTTCGGAAGCCGGTTGCATGGTGTTGGTGTTGTGGGGGGTAATTATTTGGTCTGAGTTGTTTGTGTATGTTTTTGTTGTTTTAGGAAGAGAAGGATGAATAACTATGCGCAATTCGTGGGATGGTAGTTGTCGTTGTCCCGCGGCACTTACCCTCAGAAAATAAAGTCACAACACCCCTCGAGCCTATCATGAATTGTGTTCGATTTTGAAGCATTTGTTGTCCATGGCTACGTTACACATTTTGTCATATTTACAGTTCGTTTCGCCCCGTCTATACCCACTCCTTCGGATTTTGCAACACTTCCACAAGCCTCGACTCTCTGCTTTTCGGCTCCGGCTCATACATATATTTCCAACTCGCTGTCAATGGCAAGCTCATCAGAATGCTCTCCACCCTTGCACCCGGTGTATTCAACCCAAATGCCGTCCCCCGGTCGTGCACGAGGTTGAACTCAACATACTTCCCCCTGCGAATCTGCTGCCACTCCTTCTCCTTCTCCGTAAACGGCATATCTTTCCGCTTTTCCACGATCGGGAGATACGTCGGAACAAACGACTTGAGCGAGTCCTGAACGAACGCGAACAGGTTCTCACGATCCGAGACCGTCTCGTCAAGATCGTCGAAGAAGATACCGCCGACGCCACGGGTCTCACCGCGGTGCTTGTTGTAAAAGTACTCGTCGCACCACTTCTTAAACCTCGGGTAGTATCCCTTGTCGTGCTTGTCGCACACGTCCTTCAACGACCGGTGGAACTGGACCGCGTCCTCGTCGAACAGGTAACTAGGCGTCAGATCGCAGCCCCCACCAAACCACCACGCGCCGGACGACCCGTCAGGGTTAGCTGTCTCAAAGTACCGGTAATTGAGATGCACGGTCGGCGCCATGGGGTTCTTGGGGTGAACGATCAGGCTCACCCCAGCAGCGAAGAACTCCAAGCTGTCCGGGATCTGGTCCTCGGCCGCGATGTTCTTGTGGTTGGCACGCATCTTCAAAATAGCCGGCTTCGGCAAGGTGCCGTAGACTACACTAACGCCGACGCCGGCCTTTTCAAAGACCTTGCCGTCTTGCAGAACGCATGTGATGCCGCCCCCTCCTTCCTTGCGCTGCCACTCGTCGACCCGGAACCGTGTGCCGTCCGCCTCTTCCAGGGCCTTTACGATGGCTTTTTGTTGCTCCTTGACGAATTTCTCCATGCGGAGGCGCATCGGCGACGTATCGGATACTCCTTGTTCGGTCTTTAATTGCTGGTCGCGTTGGGCAAGGGTCGGGCTGTCCATCTTGAGGGGTTCATCGATCGCCTGGAGAGCTTCTCGTTAGCGGCCCAGATCGCATTTGAAAGCCAGCAGCATGTAGCAGGTCCGGAGAAGGCGTACCATCTTGTAAGTTAGCGGCGCCGCCACCGCGAGACCCAAGGCAGCCCAGCCTAAGATCCGTAGCGGCGCGGAAGTCCGACTGGAAGCATCGGCCCCGGGGAAGGTCGAAGCAGCCCTTCGGGGCGCTGTATTGGCCCTGAGGGGCCGTGGACCGCTCAATTGGCCCCGTGACTTGCATTGGCCGAGAAGGCGAAAGGCTGGCCGCCGGAAAGCCATTGTGGTTGTCTCAAGTTGGGGTGAAATCGTGGCCCGTGAAGGTCGAGGTGGTGCGAGGAAACGCGCAGCGCAAGCTGGCCTCCGAGCTTCGGGCTGAGTTTCTTCGAGCTCTGCAAGAACTCGACGGGCTCCCCAGCTTATCCTTCGGCAATCCACACGACCCGCTCATGGAAGGGCCGATTGCGTCAAGTGTTAACACAGAGCCGAAGGGGAATCTTGAAAGTCAAAATCACAAAGCTCCGGGACAGGAGCCGGGAAGCGGAAACGGAAGCATCAAAAAGGTCCGTCTGACCGGGATTCGTCGGTCTTGGCTCGGCAAGGGACCGCCGTGAGATCCCGCGGGGCGTTCCTTGCAGATGATCTTCTGTGCTGCAGGGGCCCAGCAGGCAAAATCGAGCAACAGCATCTGGTTAGACAATAAGGCTGGGAGAAAGACAGAAAAGGCCTAATCATTAAATGGCGGAGGAAAAAAGAGAAGCTTGCTAGTCAAGATGTGTCGTTAAAGTTCTCAGTTACACGGATGGCAGGTTTGCAAGTTATTGAGCAGCGAATTTATAATAAAAAGATTATCAGGTAACCTGACTACCTGAGAGTTGCACGTAGCGTCACATGGTACTTGGTATTCCAGACGACAATACCGCTAACTGGAATACTCTCTCACAAACTACAACTCACGATATTAGAGGAACCCACAGGTTAAGGTACCATGGCTGTCACGATCTTGGGTATGTGTACCTGATATGGAAACTGACACCCCCAAAATACAAATGCCGACAAAGTACATGGAAATACACCGAGAAAACCCCAGAACTCAAAAGAGACGATGTCAATCGAGCAGAAATATAATATAAACATTGTCTGTGTGTGTGCCATCTTCGCTAACACGCGAGAGCAACTGAAGACGCCTTAGTTTTTAGAACATCCCCCCCCCCTACCCCCTTCCCCCCAGTGCTCTCTCTCTTCACTCCAACAATGAAACAACTAACAACCAAAAAAACTAAAAACAACCAAGTATCACATATTCTCCGAGTCAATGTCCGAAACAATAACAACAAAAAAAACACGTTCCAAAGCCACACACGGTATTAGAGTTCCCTGGTTCCCAACGCCACAATGGAGAGAAGAAAAAACAGCGACGACGAGAACATAAAAAGGGGTGCGCGCGCATAAACCAACACCTTCCCTCCCTCCCTTCCCCCAAAACAAAAAATAATAGTATACCACAGGCCAATCAAACAGTGTACGTGCAATCCGGTAGCGTCCCTATGCGATGGACTTGAGGATGCTCCAAAACCATATGGTATGTACCCAAAAGACAGACATGGTGCGCGTTGCGTAGGTCGTTGTCCCGTTGAAACCCTCGCCGGCTGGCCGAGGGAACTTTCTACCATCTCTCTCTCTCTCTCCCCAATTTTCAGTCAATACACACATTCACATATCACGCCAATGAGAACGGAAAAAATCGCCCAGTGACGACGACGGCGCCATAAAAAGCGGCGCATGTCCCCGGCGAGCCCAAAGCGGTTCACCCCAGCCTTCTTACCCGGGGTTGTTTCCGGCCTTGTGCCGCTTTGGCATGCGTGGGGTGGCCGGTTTGCCCTTAATCTGCACGCCGTTCAGCTGCGGAGTGCCGATAGGTACCGGGGTCGGCGCAGATGCCGGTGTATCCTCTTCCGCTTTCACCGTCGATGGCCGTCGCCGTTTGTTGCTGTTCTGTGCCGGTGAGGTGTTGGCACTCGGCCCGCTGGAGTTGGTACCCTGCTGGCTGGCCTGAAGCTGCATCATGGGGGCCGTCATCTGCACGGGGACCGGGCTGCCGACGATGTGAGGAGAGCCCGGGAGCATGGAGTTGGCCATGGCGGGGCTGGCGCCGACCGGGAACTGGCCGAAACTGGGTGTCCTTGGCCCGCCTTGCGGCATGGGCTGACCGTTCATGACCTGTGCTTGCGCCGAGGCGTTGACTTGGCTGAGGTATTGGTCGAGTGCGTTGTAGGGTGCTAGCCCGGGATGGGTGTGATAGAATCCAAACAACGGGTTCATCTGACCCATGATTTCAACCATCTACGCGAAATTAGTAAATTTATGTCCCACAAAAGGTGGCTTTTCCGCGGCGGGTGTTACCTCAAGGAACTGATACACAGCTTCCGTGATGCCCATGCCGCTTTTCACAACCGAATGAGGAAGCTCAATGTCGGGAGGTGGGCCGGAAGGTGCCTTGGCCATTTTCGTCTTGGTCTTCTTGCTCATCTCTGGGGACTGTTTGGGATCCTGCCCGTTGAGATTGCGCCATTCCTTGACCCAGTTGTGGGAGGGTCTGGCAGCTTGGATGACCAGCTTTCTCGAGACATACTCTTCGTGGCCAGTGGTTTCAAACTCGAATATGTCAAACTTCTGCTCACTGTCAAAGTAAACACGGAGATTGCCCGTCGCGACCAACTGCATACGTTGTTAGCAAATAGCCCACCGCAGCTTTTGAAAGGCAGAGAACTCACGTGTGCACCGTCTTCAAACCAGTAAACTAAGCTAGCCTTGTCGTTCCAGATCATGTGGCAGTCATTGGGCATCGTCTTGTCGGTGGTGCCCTTGTCCATGATCAGTTGCATCGACTTGACGCCACTGTCAAAATGCGTGTGGAAGTACCGCGCAATCGCGGGGTACGCAATCTCGTAGCTCTTGTGCTGGGTCTGTTCATCACCATCCCGGACCAGAATCGAGTGCTTAAAGACACCCTTCTGGGAGAAGAATTTCTGGACAAAATCGTTCCAGTATGCCAGGTCATCCCGGCCCTTCGAACCCTACAAACAAGATTAGCCAAAGGGAGGAGGGAGGAAAGCGTGCGGATATAGGGGGGACTGTGAACCTACCGAAAACCCGTTGAGATGCTCGCCGAATTGCATCAGCTTCAGCAGATAAATCCCCTTCAGGTTCATCGAGTTGTTCCTTTGCTGTGCGAGATTTGCCATGTTGGCCGCGTGCTGCTGCTGCGCGTGCGCTTGCATCTGAGCGACCAACTGCGCTTGTTGTGGCTGCGTAACCTGGGGAGTTTGCGGGGGCGGAGCCTGGGGTTGCTGCTGGGGGTTGGGCTGAGGTGTGTGGCCAGGAGGACCCGGTGTTGGTGCTGGTGTCGACGCACCCCCGCTAGGCTGTCCGGGCTGCGACCCGGGTGGCTGTTGCGGTTGTTGTTGGCCTTGCTGGGGCTGTTGTTGCTGTTGTGGTTGCGGTTGCGGCTGGGGTTGTTGCTGCTGTTGCGGTGGCTGTTGCTGTGGTTGAGGTTGAGGTTGTTGCTGGGGCGTCTGTTGCTGGGGTTGCCCCGAGGCTTGTTGTTGTTGCTGCTGGGCCTGTTGAGCCTGCGCAGCTTGTTGGGCGGCTTGTTGCTGGGCCTGTTGCTGCTGCTGTGCTTGCTGCTGGGCCTGTATCGCGGCCATTTGCGCGTGTTGAAGGCTCATGTGCTGCGGATTCATCGGGTGTTGGTTGGGGTTCCCTCCTTGCTGTCCCATCTGAATCTGTTGCTGCTGTTGCATCGCGATCTGGTGAGCCAGCATGTTGGTCTACAGAAGAAAAAAACGGTTCGTTAGCACAAACGCCCACCAGTTGATACCTACAGGTTTTCATCGCAGACCAAAAAAGGTCTCTACACAAAAATCAATCAGGTTGTCTTACGTTCATAGGTTGACCCTGTTGCTGTTGAGCTAGATGTGCTTGTTGGAGGTGAAGAGGGGAAGCTACCGGCATCCTCCTGCCCATAGCCGCCATCTGAGCAGCCTGGGCAGGGGTCATCTGGTTTATTGGGAGACCCATGGGGTTTTGGCCCATGTTTGGGTATCCAACGCCATGTCCGGCCATTAGAGCAGAGCGTGTTTGCTGCTGGTGTTGCAATTGCTGCAGCCTTTGCTGTTGGAGCTGTTGATTATTTGCGGCGTCTAGATAGGTATCATGGTCAGCGTCCCACCTAGAAATCGGGATAGTGAAACACAGTCGAGCCATCACACTAGAACTTACACATTTGGCCCATCTGCGGGTGGTGAAACATCTGCTGAACCTGCGCAGGGTTTAGGTGCTGCATGGCGGCCACATGTGCGTTCGGGTTCCCCGGCCCCATGCTTCCCATGAGAGCGCCCGCGTTCATTTGAGGGCCCGGCCCAGAGACGCCCATATGTCCCACGAGCTGGTGAGGCATGCTTCCCGGCGCGGTGCCGGGCTGGCTCGGGTTGTGCGCCATGCCTTGGGCCATGGGATGGCCCGGGGGCGCGCCCGGGTGCTGCTGCATCCCGCCCGGATGCGGCGAAAAGCCTGGACCCATACTTGCCATCATCTCCAAAGCTCCCGATTTTCCACCGGGTGGATATGGATCCCAACGTCGTCTGGTCTACCGCATACAAGTGCGGACGGAGAAGTGGTGCAACAGTGCGATGCGAGGTTTAGCCGTGTGTTGGGATGCGGGAAATGCGCGATCCAAAAAATAAGGGTCGCGTAATCGCCCGGGAGCGTCGGATGCCCACAATCTTCGAAGCGAAAGATGATTGTGGTTGTGGCGTTTGCTTGTTGTTCAGAGGGTTGTGTATGGGACAAAGTCGCGAGACGTGAGGGTGCAGATGACCAGTCGCGGGTAATGCGACGGTCCCAACGGGACGGGACGGACAACAAAAACTTTGGCGACGTCAGCGGCAGCCGTGGCGGAGCGAAAAGCGATGCGCGATAGGTGTAGGCGACCGTGTAGCGTGTGAAGAGTTGGGCGGTCGTTGGGGCGAGATCGACGGGTGCGGCAACGACGTGTCGCGGTGGGAGGTGGGTTGTGGAGTTTTGGCGGACGGGGGGTTGGGATTGGCAAGATTAAGGTACCGGAGGCACCACGCAAAAAGAGCGAGGAGGGACTGGCTTTTGGCGGTTCCAGCGTGCTCGCCCGAATGAAAATTGGGGTCGCTCACCCCGGCAAGAAGTGTTAAAGCTTTAAAGCCCCGTGCAGTGGCCCACTGAAAACTCAGAGCGCTGGTTTGTCGCAAGAGAAGAAAATAAAAAAGCGGATGAAAGTCACGTCGGGTATTCGTGTCGTTTATGGAGATTTCCCCTTCCTCGCTCTTTTTTTACACGATTTCCTGACGAAGACCCGTCACGGGATGAGAGGGACGAGGAGCCGGATGAGGCGTCGAATGCTCGTCGATGGGCTTGGCAGGGAATGGCTCGTCTGGGCCTGGGGGGAACGGGATCGGAGCGGTTTTGAGAATGAGCAGATGGAGGGTCTGCGGGCTGATTAGGAAAGCTCCTCAGGTCCGTGCCACCTTCAGGACTGGTTCTGCAAAACTCGGGTTGCTTCCCCAAACGCGAAGCTAGCAGCTGGGCCCGGGCCGCGACAAACGCATCGTATTGAAATACAGGAGTAGCGTTTGGAGAGTTGACTCTTCATCGTTATTTCCTTCGCATGTTCCCTCTGCGCCGATTGATCGCGAGGAAGCCGCGGGGATTGTCGCTCTCCCGTCGGTTCGGGAGTTCGAACGGGAGGTAGCCAATAGGATAGCGCGAAGTTTGAAGACGGTCACATTCAACGTTGCTGGTTGGTGGAAGCAGCACAATCTGCCCCGCTGCTGCGGGTCTCGTGGGCCCCGCTTCCTAATCGGCACGTTACTCGTCACGTGGCGGTCCCGCCGAAATTTTCTTATCGCTATCACCGCGCCAAAGTATTTCAACGCGATGCAGCAAGCCGACGAGAATTTCTTCTTCCTCACCACCGCCTCCTCAACCATTTCGACGAACGCTTCCTCCCTCGGCAAATTTTTGCATGCGACTGCGAAGTTTGTGGCTCGCCGCCAAATCCTGCATTCTCCCAATGCTTTTTTTCTCTTCTGCCGAGGGAGAGAGTGCATCGTGAAAGGTCGGTTTGGCGTTCCGGCTGCAGGAACAAAGCAACACAAACTGCCAAACGAAGGTAGGCCAACTTTTTTTTCTTTTCTCTATTTTTCAACTCCCGTTCTTCTCCATCGGCCACGCCTCGGGCCATCGAATGATGACAACTTCAATCATGTCTTCTTTTCTCCTGCTGAATCGACCATGAGCGAGAAATCATTGTCTCGGGCTTCCCTCCTCCGGGAGGGGCCTGTTACTTGCCAGTATTTTTGTCTGACAACACGGCAGAAGACGTCTCGATGTCTTCCTTGCCTGTGATGGAGATGAAGGATCTCTTCCATTTGTCTCCCTCGCTCGGGGGTTCAGAAACATCAGCCGCTAACCCGCCAACAGTGGAAAAATCTTCTCTTCGCAAGCGGTTCCAGGCGCCTGCCTGGCCACTGGACCATGTGCATCTCTTTTTTATGTTGTCTACTAACCCTTTAGCAAGCATCACAACAGTAAGCACCAGGTTAGTCCACGATTTTTCTTTTCCTGCCCTCCCCCTCCTCCGGATGATGAAAATTTTCCCTACATTCGCAGTTTCCACTCGAGTCCCTAAAGAGCCTTTCTGGGATAAATGAGAGCGAATCCTTCCTTGGATGTCTGACGGACCTTCAACTACTCTTGTGTTCTTTCATGATGAGTGTCTGGAACCAATGGCTAACATTCTGGTTCAGTAGTAGCGTAACAAAGTTAGACTTGACATCCTGGATGGGTTTATCGAGATGGTAGTCAGTTTAGCAAACTTGAATATAATTTTTCAATCTTCGCATCTACGCTCTGCTCTCGCTTCGCGTCCTCTGTCATGTGTAACATCTCTATTGCCCAGAGCCCCCGAATGATGGTTTGGTGCGCTTCTATCAACATCGTAGCCTGCCAAATCACGGGTGGTTTGCCGCCTTTGTTTCTGGCGGACACCGTTTCGGGAGGTCTTGCCCTCTTCATTCCTCATCTCATAAGTCTCGCCATCCACAATCGAGTCGTTCGTAACACCAGGTCATATACCACATCCAAAGTGCAAACAGTTCAACACCTCATCGTTGCCAATCTGTTTTGTGACATGTATACTTCAATTTTGGCTATAATATCTCAGACATGCCTCCACATCCTACGCGTAGGCTACAGTAAAAATATACCCAACGCAAAGCAGACCGACCTCGTCATTTACCAACGCCTTCCTTAACCCCCCATCCGTCCCCCTTGACCCCTCTACCCAATTTCACGGCATACCACAAGTCACTGCCACTTCATGTCGTCTGCCCCCGTCCCGTCTACACCACCAACCCAGCATTGGATACCAAACCAGTCCCAAACCGAACCAACACAGTTGAAAACACCCAACCTTGAAATACCCATCCCCCCCAACACCAAAGGTAAAATAAAATAACAGCACGCCCCAAAACAAGAACCCATCTCTCCCTCTGTCTGCCCACCCGATCCAGCATCACAACCCACCCCAAAACACCAAACAACGCCACCATTTTTATAGACCCAATAAAATCACACCACCATCCCCTCCTCCATCACACTCCTAATCCCCCCACTCAAACTCCCCGACGCGCCCGGCCCCGACGCGCCCGACCCCGAAGACCCCGGCACAGGCGGTGGTGGAAGCGAAGGCGGCCTCATCATGGACGACGACGCCAACCCCCCAATCACACTCCCACTCCCACTTCCACTGCCCAATCCGTGTCCAAACCCGCCGCGTTTATTCATTCCTCCCACCGCATTGCTATTGTTATTGTTATTCGCCCTCGCACCGACCAGACCCCTCCTGTTTCTCCCCGTCCGCCCACGGCCCAGCCAGTTGAGTTTGAGGAGTTTATTCAGCTCCTCTACCATCCTGTTGCCTTCTTCTTCGTCACAACCGCCGCCGCCGCCGCCGAGTGAGGGTGTGCTAGTAAGATCGCCAACGCTGCTGTTGGGGTTGGGGGTGCCGGTGTTGGTGTTGCCGGGGGTCGGTGTAGTCGCGTCAGCGGAGGAGGAACAAGAAGACGAACCGGCTACGCCGACGGAGGCAAGCACGCTCATGCATTGCAGCATGCGGCCGACCATGTCGGTGACTTGCTTGGAGTCCTCGACGTTTTGGTCGCGGTCGCGGAAGCTGCTACCGGCATAGCTCGTGGCGGTGTTGTTTGTGTTATTGGAGATGGTGGTGGTTAGAGCGAGGTTGAGGGCGGAGGTAGCGGCTGTGGTGTTGTGGTGTTGTTGCTGGAAGAAGCCTGTGTTGCTGTTGCTGCTTCCTGGGGCGAAGGGCCGCAGGGCCTGGTGCGCGGCGCTATCGCTGCCGAAGGAGACGTTGCTGATGGCGCGGCTGCGGTTGCCGCTGCCGGAGCTGTCGCCACCGAGGAGGGTGCTGCCGGTGCTGTTGTAGCTGGCGACAGAGGGGTCGATGGAGGCGGCGGTTCCGGGGCGGTACTGACCAAACGCGGAGGGTAGGCTGGTGGACGTGTAGTGATCAGAGGGCGAGCCGGAGAGTTGCTGGTTGATGTTTTGATTGTGGTAGCCGGGAGAAGGGATCGGGAGGGGCGGAGACCCGAGTGCCATGGACGCGAGGGACTGAGGGAGGAACTCGAGCGAGAGGCGCGAGAACATGGTCTTAAGAGTGTCGTAGCGCGGGAGGATAACGATGTCACGGAACGCGAGAAGGACGAAACGGCGCACTTCAAGGATGGAGGCTGCTGGCGAGACAGTCACGCTGTAGCTGCGGCCTGGTCTCTGTGTGGTCGAGGTGGAATGATCTGATTTAGTGGAGGTCGTCGCAGGAATACCGCCCCAAAAGTCACGAGCCTGTTCCGAGGTCATGAGGGGCCCGTGGCCGGAGAACTCCAAGTCCAGAGGCAAGAATACGGCCTGCATGTATGGAAGGATACTCGTGAACGTGAAGATCCACAGCTCTACCAGCGCCGGAATCAGCCTATCTTCCGGCGTTTTGCGAAGGGTGTGGTCGAGACTGGAAAAGCCGGTGGATAGCAGCTCCCTTAGATCGTCGAGAATGATATTGGGGCTGCGCCGAGCGAGGCAGTATTGAATGTGCATGGTGACCACGCGGTTCAAGTCCTCCACCGGTAAACGTAGATCCTCAGCCTCAAAGACCACGAGCAGTTTGGCCTTCAAAAATGGCCAGGCGTCATCGTGAGTCATGTTGTTTAAGCCGTACTTGTGGCCGTCGAAAGGTTCGTTAAGATATAGCGTCGAGGCCATGGTGTTAGACCCCGACGTCACGCTGCTCGAGCCCGGCCACTCGCTGGCGGCAACCGTACTCGCCGCTTCGTCGAACGACTTTTCTTCCTTCCTTTTCTCACGGAACGCTCGGCCACCATGCCGCAAGTCAAGCGCGGACTTGAAGCTCGTGGTGCTAGGACCCGGGCTCTGTGGTAGGTTGAAACTGTAGAGGCTGTTTGGGGCACTCGGGTCGGTTGGCCGCGAGTTGCTCATGGCGGAAGAAAGCGGGAGATGGCGGTCATCCTTAAGCTTGTGCTTTTGCCTCGACAAAAAGTGATGCCGCTTCTCCTTCTCTTTCCCCTCCTTGCCCTCCTTTTCCGCCGGCATATCAGCAGGTCGTATCGTCGCGGCCGACGAGTTAGGTAGCGTGTAGAACGATGCCTGAGCGGTAGAGTCGAGGCTTGTCGTGCTGAAGTTTCCTCGTTGTAGGTTGGCGAAGGCATGGCCGACCTTTCCCGGGCTGGGAAGCGGTTTGTCTTTATTGCTGTCGTTTTTGCTGCTACCAATCTTGACTTGTCGTGAGAAGAGCTTAACCTTGGATTTCTCCGGTTTGGTGGGCTTCTCGGACGCGGGGGGCGGAGGGGGTGGCTGCGGGCTGAACGCTTGCGGGGGGACCGCGGGAGATGCTTGCGCAGACCTTGGGAAGACCATATTGGCGGCGGCCGTTGCGGCCAATGTGTGGTTCCCAACGAGACCGTTATGATATGTTTGGCCCCCAAAGGCATTGTCTCGGGGCACGCTGGCCTCTGTCAGGCTCAACATCGGCGGGTTCAAGGGCATCGAAGTTCCACTGTTCCGTTTGTTCGGCGGCGGATCCTCCCCAGGAGGCCCCGGCGCAGTCTGTGACCGTTGTCGCGCATGCTGCGCATGTTGTGCTTGTTGCGCCTGCTGTTGCGCCTGCTGCTGCTGCTGCTGCTGCTGCTGCTGCTGCTGCTGATTTTGATGCTGCATCACGGCGGCTTGCGCAGCGATCTGGCTCGCTGACATCTCTCGGTGGGCAGCCGGCATACGTTTCGGGGAGTGGTTCGGAAGGCCGACGTGCGACAGGTTGGACGTGCTTGTGGACGGTAGAGTGGGCTCGAACAGGCCGGCGTTCTGCGAGTGCTTGCGCGAGTGGCTGACCCCACGGGCGGAGGAATAGGTTGGTGTCACCGGAGACGAGTGCGCGGGAGGGAGCGTGAGAGGCGACGGGCCGTTGCGTGGGAGCCCGTCCGTGGGTGATTGTGCGCCCGCGACGGACCGAGCGGCCGATACCGCAGTCGAGACAGTTGGTCGCGAGAAATTCTGTAGGCTAGCAGTACTGCTGCTGGCGTTGGTGTTTGTGCCCGAGGTAAAGCTAGCGTAGATGGGCGTCGGCGATGGCGCAGCGGGATTGCGCGTCTTGACAATGTTCAAGGGCGCGGGCTCGTCGCTCGACAGCGAGTCTTGCCGAGTCTGTCTCCCCGTTGTGCGCGAAAGATCGGTGGCACTTGCCGAGGTCTGATTGTGGGTGTTATTGTTGTTGCTAGCAGGCAGGGGCGAGAAGCTCCCTGGCGCCCTCGGCGTGGGTCTTGTGGGCTGCATCGGGCCGTGTTCAGGTCGATGATCGGAACGAGGGGGGAGGTGTATCACATCGTGGCTCGGCGGACCGCATTCGGGGGTGTTGCAGGGAACAGCAGAGCATCGGTTAAGACGCCATGCTGTCGGGTGCTAGGGTAAGGAGAGTCGTGGAGCAATGAGAAGCAAAGTCGTCAAGCGAGGGATGCGGGAAGCTGATAGAAATCTGCAAAAAATATGTATATCTGATATCTTGAAGGTTGGAGGTTCAATCTGCAAACGCACCAAACCTGGAAGTGTTGGACGACGTGCCTCTGGGTGGGTTGCTTGGCCCCCAAGAGTGTTGCAGCCGCTGCGCCCTCCACTGTTTGTTGGCGTGGGCCCCACTGGAAGGAAATGCTCCAGCATCCGCCAATCGACAGGGGTGAGGGGCAATTGAAGCTCACAACCCCGCAGTCCACCAAATTCCGCTCTGCGGGGCACTCGGCTCTCACACGACCCGATCGTAGGTGAGCGTCTTTGTTGTAATGAGACGCATTGCGAGTGGCCAACCAACCACACAAGCTCAGCTGGGTTGGATCTGGATTCTGAAACCAGAACAATGTCCTCCCAGATTTCCTCTGCGCACGATCTTCACTCAACCTCCGTCAAGCGCGTACATACAATGTCCGGTTTATTCCAACTCGGTCAGGTGTTGCGGGGCAGTGCTGGTCAATGTGTGATCACAAAGCAGCTGCAAAATATAGTGTGCCTTGCAACGTAGGTTGTTTCGCCGTCAGATGCTGATCTCGAGCGCCGCCGATGGGTAATATATTAGGAACCACGCGCAGGAACTCGTGGTGATCAAGAGCGTCAAAGGTCACTTCAGAGTGACCAACGAGCGGGATGTTCTCCGTCGCTTCAACGGCCAATCCCCTTACATCCGGCCGTTGCTGGACGAGATCGTTGAGCTGCCCGAACCAACGACAATTGTTTTGCGACATTTGGAAAGCCACCTCTGGCAAGCATCTGGCGAAAAGACTCTGAACCGAAAGGAATTGAAGTACGTGTCGAGGAGGGTGTTGGAGGCCTTGCAGGTTATGCATAACGACGGGTTTGTCCATGCAGGCATGATGTGATACGAAACCATCCCAAGGAAGCATTCTCAGTCGCTAATCACGGTATTCGGCGACAGATGTCAAGCCAGACAATGTCCTGGTCAACTACCGCTCTGATGACAGCGAAAACCGCTTCACGGACGTCCAGTTGGCAGACATGGGCAGCTCGTACCCAGAGGACCACAAATACGCGCGAGAAGGTGCTCCCATTGGGGCAGCTATCTGGTGCAGCCCTGGGATACGAAGACGGACATCTGGTCGTTTGGCACGATGGTAATAGCGCACTTCCTCTTTCATTCAGTACCCGTTGACGTTACGAAGCCCATCAGCCTGATTTACGGCGATTATTTCAACATCTTCGACCCCCCAGGTGTTCCTTTCAAGTTTGACGATCCCGAATACGAATTCGAGGTTCTAAAGCGGCAAGTTCAGTTCTTTGGGCCTTTCCCGGTCAAGTATGCCGAAATCGCGGATCAAGACACAATCGAAGTGGTGATGTGGTTGATGGAGAATCTCGTGAATAGCAGGAAACCGTTCCACCTGCTTTCTGAGAGGGAGATCTGCAAAAACGACAAAGACTTCATCGGCTGGTTCATGAAGTTGGACCCCCGGGACAGACCGAGTGCTGACGAGATTCTTGCGCATGACTGGTGGCGGGAGCCGGATGATAGTTGAAGGAAGTGGGAGCTGACCAGCATGCGGGAGCAGATTTGGAAAGGGGGCCTTCTTAGTTCGAACGATTTGCCTTGGGTTGCATGAAGATCTCAAATCTCAAGGGCCGGCGACGTTGTGTGATCGCTTGGAGGGACCTCAGTGCTATTGCTTGCCGAGGCTGAGGCGCCCTTATATCATCTGCCTATTTGGAATGTGAGGGTGAGTTGGCGTTGGTATGGGACCGGCAGTTCCAGATTACACTAGTAGTTGTCAAACTGATCTGCAATCACACGCTCATGGAACGACTCGGGATTTCTGTCCCCCTTTTTTTCCTTCCTGTTTTCCTTCCTTCAGGTTCCTACACACCGCAATTGGAGTCTTTAACACGTGTACGCTAGACAAAACTCGTGGGCAGAAATAATGTAAAGGGGAAAGCCCAGACACTCCGCGCTATGCCTGCTGAGGACGACGTCGAGATGCCGGATGTTCGAGCGTCGCCAACCGAGAACGAGATGGGTGAGGCGGTGACTGTCGGTGGAAGTAAGAAGGGCCCGCAAAAGCCCCTTAAACTTGTGAGAGAATCAAGCCAATGTTTAGACTGCCGTGAGAGCATCCAATCTGTGGGCCTGCGACAGATGAAATCGGCGGTGGGGCGCCTGCCGAAGGTTGAGCACCAGGGCCGGGCGGGGTCTGCTCACGGCCGGACCGCAGTTCGAGCCGGTGGATCTTGGCGCTAGTGCTAAAGGCGGAGAAGAGGGGCAACAAGAGAATCACCATAGTAAAGGGAGAGTAATATGGTAAATCTTTCTCTGCAAGCAAATAGGCGGGATTCTACAGTACCAGCCTTGGCTCGCTCTTGATTACAACTACATGCTTCCTTGACCTTCATTGCCTCCAGTCGCCCGTTGGTATATAGATTAGGTGAGTGATATGAACGAGCGGCTCAGACCGTCCTCATGGCTGTAATCTGGACTGGCATTTTTCGCTGCTATCTAACCTCCCGACATAGATAGTGTAGCTCCCAGAGTTACACTCCATATATTTTGAGACGAGTGGAAAGATTAGCGGCCAATTAGAACTGGTATAGGCTCAATACACGAAGCCACAGCGACACGGGAATTCTAGCTCTCGGCAATATCACCACCATCCCGATATAGCATCAAACGCAACCGAACCATAGCCACAATTCCATGAAACGACGACTCTCACCACCCCACGACGACAACCCTCCACTCAACAACTCAGCCACTTGTTCAACCCTCCCTGAAACGAACCCCACCAAAATCCCCAAAATGTCCTCCCAACAACAACAACAGCCACCACAACCGACCCAACCCACCCTCCAAGCCACCTACACAAACCAAACCACCACCAGCGCGCCATTTACCCTGACCACTCCGCTCTCCCCACCTACATCCTCCGACCAAGCCCAAAAAACCGCCTACCTCTCACGACTCCGAGGCGCCGTTGTCTCGCTCCAGGACCAAATCAACCATGAACTGACGGCGCGCATGGAAGAGGATAAGGCGCGGGAGGCGGCTGAGGCAGCGGCGGCAGATAATGGGAGTGGAGGTGGTGGAAGCGGGAAAGGGAAGGGGAAGAAGGGGGGGAAGAAGGCTGTGGTTGTGGATGAGGAGAAGGAGGAGGAGAACTATGGGGAGGAGGTTCAGGAGGAGGATGATTAATGGGATGTGGCTGATGGGGCAATACATGAACAGCGAGCGAGTAAAAGGTGGGAAGAATAGGCATTGGGTTGGAAGCGATGGGTATGCATCTCGATTCAAGACGCCCTTGTCAAAGTCTTAAACACGCTCCCACGAACGCCGACCGATCCGCAGAAATGCGATATACATTGCGCCAAAAGGGCAAACAACAAAAGCAACGACCCAGTCGCCGATCGATCAATTACCCACCAGTTCGCCCCCAATGCCCGAATCCCAACCGCATACTCTCCGCCGACGGCGACAATGCTCCCACCCCTTTCGCATTCCCACCCGACCGCCCCAAACATCCATAATGCACCACCACATTATCCGGCAACACCGCCACCACACTGCCCCCGATCCGCTTATGGCACACCCCACACACTCTCTCTTCCCCGATCACCACCCGTCGATTCCTACCCCCTTGCCCGCCTGGAATCCCATCGCCTAGGTGCAGCAACGCCTGGCTTGCAAACAACGCCGTCTCCCGCAGTCCTGCGAGCACACGTGTCTCGTTGACGGCGCTGTTGGCGCTGCGCATGCGTCCGCGGAAGTACGACTCGAGCTCGGAAACTGGGAGTGAATCCGGGACTAGGGAGAGGGTGGAGGTGGCAGGCAGACGAGAGCCGTGTTTGGAGAGGAGGTCGAGGGCTGGAGCTAGATTGGGGGTGTGGTTGGGAGGTGGCGTGAGATAGAGGGAGAGGAGGGTGTGGTAGATGGAAAGAGTCTCTTCGCCCTGGGACTTGGCATCTTGAGCGGGAGTGGCTTCCTCAAGCTGTTGAGTTTTGTGAATGCGGTTGCAGTATCTAGACGAAGGGTTAGTGTGGGACGGGGGTAATGTGAATCAATGCGAGCCGGGAGACATACTCTTCGGCTTTGGCATAGTCTTGCATCTTGAAGACATAGATCATGAGTGCCTGTCTGTGCTGGCCCATGTTGCTCAGCACGACGGCCTGTGCCTCGTAGAAGGGAGGGTCTAACACAGTCAGGTTATTAGTTTGCCATCTCACCCGTAAGGGCAGAGGAACCGGACCCATAGCTTACCGTCCTTTGGAATCAATCCCCTCGCCTTGCCCAAACCATACTGCTTACTCTCTTTCAAGAACCGCACGAGACGCCCCATCAGCGCTTCCCACTCCTCGTTCCGTTCGCCCTCCTTGTCCGTTAGTTGCTTAATAAAAAGCTCCACTAACCGATCGTGGAAATCCGGCGTCATGTCATCCAACTCGTTGATGATATGCTCCAGGTACTGAATCTCTAGCCCAATATCGATCTTGTCGAGGAAAGCCAGCACCTTGTCCCTCGGCAGCGTTTCGGCGTTCTCCGAGTCTGCCAGGAACACTTCCATCCCCAACTTCGGATCCTTCTTAAGCGTCCACTCTGAGAACTCCAGAATCACATCGATAAGGTCCGGAGGCAGGCCCTGAAGATACATCACCGTCCGCTGTGGACCATGCAAGCCCGGGGCCGCCTCATCTGGTCCGTCCGGGCTTCCAAAGCGGCGGAGCAGTGTTAGTGCCTGGTGGTGCAGCTTCTTGCCATAAAAGAAGTCAACTAGCTCATTGAAGCGGTTGTGCTCGACTAGCCGCTCGTTAACGACGTCTGGATCACAGAAATTGGGGATCCGGAAGAGCGAGCTGGCGAGTTTCGGCCGCGAGTACATAAAGGCACGAAAGAGGGTTGTGTCGACAGCGCGGAAGGTGTGCTGTAAGTCCCGCTCCAGCTGTTCGTCGCCCTCGTCTGCCGACGAGAGGAGTAGCCTCTTGAAGGCTTCTTCCGTCGAGCCGGACTGAGACTTGCGCTGTTTGAGTTTGCCTGTTGACGGGTCGATGACGCGTTGCAGTCGTGTTCTAGCGCCGGCGAGGTAGTTGTTTAAACTGAGCACTGCGGCCATCAGGTCCTTTTCAGTCTGGGCCTGATCGTCTTGCGGTTTTGCCTTGATGCTGGCCGCGTCGTCGTCCGATCCCTTCTTGGACGACGCGATGGATGCTGTTTCGGGGTTGGGTTTCCGGCCGCCGCCCATAAGGTACTTAGCAAACCCACTACCAGCACTTGCTTTGGTGGGTGAGGAAACCTCTGGGAGATCAGGTTTCGCTTCCTGCTCACTACTCTCCTTTCTGTCGGATCCTTCCTGGTCTGACTCGTCTTCCTTTTCCTCATCGACGCCAAGTTCACCTGCGATAATCTTGGGGAATAATTTGAGAACTCGTTCTGGCGGCGCGCCGACGTCCTCTTCGTTGAAGAGGTCCATCGAATCTCGGTACTTTTTCTGCCGAAATAGCGACTCGGCCTTTTGCATTTTGACCTCCCGCAAGGTCTCGGCTTTGTTCTTGAGTAAAGCATCTTCCAGCATGTTCAGAACACTGATCGCCTCATCGAGCCTATCGCTCTTGACGAGCTCATCCACCTGCGAATCGTAGTCCGTGGCGTCCACTTTCCATACCGCCCTATCGCTCAACACATGGAATCCTTTGGCATATGCCAAGCTGACGGTTGGTGGTAGAAAATGGAGGGATGATGCTCCCGGGAGACTGATCGTCTGTAATAAGCTGAGTGTATCCGGGTTTCTCACTTCAAGGCTGCCCTTAGCAGGCGCTTGAAGGGCCAGGATGTACGGGTAGCTGTATCCAATGGACTCCGGTGCTGCTTGCCACGGGATTTGCTTCTTCTCAATGGCCTTCCCTGCGTCGTTGATAAACAGAGTGTTGATGTCTTTGGCCAGCAATAGCTCGCCCTCCGCCAACTTCGCAGACAATGGTTTGGGCATGTAGCCGCCGAGACCCATGTATCCCATCCCAGCAGCACTGACCGCCCCAAACCTCCCTTGCGCACCTGTCGTGCCACCGATGGCCCCGGGGCCTACGATATCCTCAACCTCGCTCGTCTCCACATCGACCAAGACATAACCACTGTTCATACCACACACAAGCTTCGTCGCATTCGCCCAAGTGATCGACCGGATGGACTCAGCCAGCACAATCTCGGTCACATCAGGCGACAGCTCGCTCTCGTGCCATGACCACAGCAGCAAGCGGCGCTTGACGGACACGGCCAGACGTGAGATGATCTCGGGTATCCCAGTGGCAGGGTCGTTGACGATGTTGCTCGTCACGGCAAAAGTAGAGGCGGATTTGGTGCGCGACAACGGCGCCTCGATGGGCTCAAATGTCTGGAGGTCGTGGAAGGAGACGGCGGAGTTGGAGAGCGATACGAGTGTGCTGGCTTCTTTGATTATGGCCAGCTGCTCGATAGCGCGGGTCGAGAACTTCTCTACTTCCCGCAAGAGGTCGGTCGGCTTTGCGGCGGGTGTCGCGGGCAGCTGGCCATCTTGGGAAGTACTGGGCGTGGACTCGGTGGTTTCAGTAACAGCCTGGGCATCGACGGGACGGTTGTGTGTGGATTTTGGATCGGACGGCGTCGGGGGGTCGTTGACTCGGTAAATGCGCAGAGCCCCGGTATTCAGACCGACAAAGACACGGTCGCCTAAGGAATGAGCTGTCAGTTAGGTGCCACCAAGAACCCGTCCGTATTCCCACCCCACCCAAACCTAGAAACATACCGTAGGCGAGGATGCACTCGATCTTCGACTTGTCCCGTTGTTTGAGCTCGATGATGGGTCGAGCTGTGAATGCGGAGAGCATAGCGGGCGACCAGCTCGTTGGTCATGCGCAGGGCGCAGCTATCGGTACATTAGGGGCTGGAGAGATGGCGGTGGCCGTCGTGTCGAAGCTCGGCCAGAAGACGGTGTTTGGTGGAAATGGAGTGATTCGGTGTTTGGTTGTGAGTGCCGACGCATGACGGCATTGGGGCCTGTTGTCGAGCATGGGGTCGAGGGTTAGGGTTGCTAGCCCGTCGTTCTCAGGTTGGGACGCCGACTCATCACACTTCGTGTTTCTGGGTGCATCACACTGTTGAGTTGGAATGTCCGTTTCCTCTACGGGTTTTGGCTTCCCAGTTTGGACGAAGAGTCCCAAGCCGTTCTTTTCTGACAGCAGGCACAGGTATTAGTCGTGGAAGGAGTCTGCTCTATTGTCTGAAAGCCATGTCTGGTGTCTATGTTTTGTTCGGTTTCCTATCTCTTCCAACAACTGCAGTATCTTGGTATGTGTCTTCTTTTAAGCTGTCTTCTGAATCAAGGCCGGGTTGGTTCTTCCTAACAGGGCGAAGCCGTGTTGAAGATCGTACACCCCAATTCCTCAAAACACTCACGTGAAATCTCTTGGTTACGCGTTCGCCCTACGTCCGCACCACGCAACGTACACTACACGTGTATGTCGGAATTCCATCCACAGCCAGGGTTAAGCACACCATCATATTAGTTAGGTAAAGATGGATCGTTCTCATCCTCTCAGGCGGTCAAGTCCAGTGAAAGCAAAGCGGAGGAACAGGGGACGTTGGTGCTTGGACAGAACGGTCGACCGAGAATAAATGCGTGTAATGTGATTGGGTTGACACCCGGAACCCCCAACCCTCAAGTCTCAGCGGTCAGGGCCAAGCCGTTCCAGGCTCTGCTTTAGGGAGGAACCAAGCCTGTGAGTCGCCCAACGAACGTGGCACAGAAGTGGAGTCTTATCGATTGACATGATCACCGGCGCACGAACGGCCCCTGCAAGCACAGCTGCGGCCGGCACAGTGGGTTCCAGGTTCCCACGTTTCGAGGACGGAAATTCGGAAACCAGTTGACGACCGGCCTACCTACTAAACCTCTCCACCATCGTCAACCTGCCGGCGTCCACCTCTTCCTATTGAGTCACACTAGATGCCCTGGAGGCATAATTCTTGAAAATTTCACCCCCACCCGCGCCCGCCGTCTCCTCTCCTACCCGCCGCGCCCCAATCAGACAAATAATCACAGGCCGCCATCACCTCGACAGTAGGGGAGGGAGCTCGGATAACTCGACGCCGTTGTCGCCGTCACGAACCACCAACGACCCGTCCGACGGTCTGTCTAGCGACCAGATCGAGCTGCAGGACTTGTCGGCGCCGACGGCAACAAGAGCGGCAACAGCAGAAGAAGCAGCAGCAGCCGAGGCGCAGGAAAAGCTTGACGTCAAGCGGGCTGCGAAGCGCCGCTGGCTCGAAGAACAGGACGAGATGAAGTTCTCCCATAGCATCCAGTTTAATGCAGTCCCGGACTGGAGCAACCACTACATTGCCTACAGCAATCTCAAGAAGCTGTAAGATTTCCAGATTAGGGGGCGGGGCGATCACGAAGGCCATGAAGCTGACTCGCATCCTAGCATATACCAACTCGAGAAGGCCGTCCACCAGCCCTCAGGGGATGCCGAGTCCCGGCCTCTAATACAAAACGACGACCCTGAACTGGTCTTTATCCATGCCCTAGACGTCGAACTCGAAAAGATTACATCCTTCTACGTTCTAAAGGAGAACGAGCTGTTCGATGAAGTCGACCTCGTTCTAAAAGATGCCGAGGAGTTCGGAGACGAAGCGGGGGTTGAGGAACCCCGGCCACCGACCCGGGCGAGCGAGAGGGGGGCAGTGGAAAGGAGCCGGTCGGCGTTGGCACGTAGGAGCAGCACGCGCAGCCAAGTGTCAACTGAGGACGGCCTCGACGATAGCGATGATGAAGAGGGGGACGAAGAGACGGGCCTGACAACGGCGAGGAGGGTACGGAGCGCGGGGAGCGCCACGGGCCGGAGGAACCTGCGCAACTCGATGATGGCTTCCACCGACCTGACCGCGTCGACCGAATTTGGACGGTCCTCACGACGACTCAGCATAAGCTACGACGATTACGCCGAGCAGGCCGCCCTGTTCTCTTCGGGCATCATGCTGAAGAAACGGATGATCAACCTCTACGTCCAGCTCTGCGAACTCAAATCCTACATCCAGCTCAACCGGACGGGATTCAGCAAGGTCCTAAAGAAGTTTGACAAGATTATCGACCGCCGGCTGCGCGCCAAGTACATGGACAATTTCGTCACGAGCGCCTACCCTTTCCGTTCCGACACCACCCAGGGCTTGGAAGAGCGGATCTCTCAAATGGTCGGAGCCTACAGCTCCATCATCACCAATGGCGATGAGGAATCCGCGATCCGCGATCTCAGGTCGCATCTGAGAGAGCACGTCGTGTGGGAGCGGAATACCGTCTGGCGAGACCTGATCGGACTGGAGCGTCGTGCTGAGGCTGCAAGCCTGGGACACACGCTTCTAGGGATAGACGCCGATCCACAGCGCACACGGCTACAAGGAGATGACGAGATCATCCTTCCCACGAAAGCAATCGCGACACCGCTCGGCCGCGTCCTGTACCCGGCTTGGCTGTTCACCTCGACCACTCTGACCCTGATCGTCATCGTCGCCATTTTCTTCTCGCTCCTCTACGTCCCCATCATGGAGAAGCCCGAGCAGCAGAACTGCCTGGCCATGCTAGTACTCGTCAGTCTACTTTGGGCCACTGAGTCGCTCCCCCTGTTTGTGACCTCTCTCATCATCCCCTTCCTGTGCGTGATCCTTCGTGTCTTCCGGGATGCCGATAAACCGCACAAGAGGCTAGACTCCAAGGCGACCACTGCTGCTGTCTTCGCCGCCATGTGGACGCCCGTCATCATGCTTCTGCTCGGTGGTTTCACGCTCGCGGCCGCGCTCTCCAAGTGCGGCATCGACAAGCGCATCGCGACTTTCGTCCTCAGCAAGGCTGGCACGCGGCCCAAGACGGTACTCATCGCCAACATGGGCGTGGCCGCCGTGGCCAGCATGCTCATCAGCAACGTCGCGGCCCCCGTGCTCTGCTTCGGCATCATCGAGCCCATGCTGCGCAACCTGCCCGCTGGCTCGGCCATGTCTAAGGCCGTCATCATCGGCATCGCGCTCGCCTCCAACATCGGCGGCATGCTCTCGCCCATCGCCTCGCCGCAAAACGTCGTCGCCATCGGCATCATGCAGCCAGCCCCGACCTGGGGCCAATGGTTCTTCATCGCCATCCCCGTCGGCCTCATCTCCCTCCTCCTCATTTGGCTTCTCCTCCTCGTCGCCTTCCACCCAGGCCGCGGCACCACCATCGTGCCCGTCCGCCCCGTGCGCGACCCTTTCACCGGGCTGCAGTGGTTCGTCTCGGCCGTCACCGTAGCCACCATCGCGCTGTGGTGCGCATCGCACTCGCTCGAGGCCGTCTTCGGCGACATGGGCGTCATCGCCATCATCCCCATCGTCCTCTTCTTCGGCGTCGGCGTGCTCACCAAGGAGGACTTCAACAACTTCCCCTGGACCATCATCATCCTGGCCGCCGGCGGGCTGTCGCTCGGCAAAGCTGTCAACTCCTCCGGCCTGCTCCACACCGCCGCCCGCGCTATTACCGCGAGGGTGGAGGACTTCAGCCTCTATGGCATCCTCGTCGTCTTCTCGGCGCTGATCCTAGTGATTGCCACTTTCATCAGCCATACCGTCGCTGCGCTGATTATTCTCCCGTTGGTATATGATGTCGGCAAGGGTCTGGAGGAACCGCATCCAAACCTGCTCGTCATGGCCGGCGTGCTGATGTGCAGTGCTGCTATGGCCTTGCCCACGAGTGGGTTCCCTAACATGAGTAAGTCTTCCTCCCCCCTCTCTTCCAAACCGCCCCCCGCCCCCTTAAACCATTCCATTTCCAGATCATGGACCCATCCATACTAACTTTACATAACAGCCGCCATCATGAAAGAAGACCCCGCCGGTCAGCGCTATCTGCAAGTCAAGCACTTTATCCGTGTCGGTGTGCCTAGTAGTCTGATTGCGTTGGTGGTGACGGTTACTGTGGGATATCTCGCCATGCGCGTGACGGGAATGTGAAATACCCCCCTTCCCCTTGTTTCCGTTTCTCCTTAGTACATTTCAGTGTTGTTGTTGTTTTTTCTTTTGCATAGGAAGGAGAGCAAGGTCGAAGATGGGATGGATATAATGCAATGCGGCGTGGTGCGATTCGTCCTGTGACGAATCTATTTCCTTTTTTTCAAGTAAGGGCAAGCGTGGGACGCTAGGAAGACAGATTACTGCGGCGCGTGAGATGGGTGCGGAGCTTTGCTAGTTGTTTTGGATACCATAGGGAGAAAGAAGGAAATATATCTATCATGTCATCCATGTCTTGATGTATGCTTCCCCCTCAAGCAATTCTAAGCTCTCACGACAGGGAAGCGCCTCAGTTTTGAAGTTCTCTCCCCCAACGCCCACAAAACAGGCAAATATCACCATGCCACCATCTCGCAAATCCGACGCCGATAATCATACACCATACAAGTAATAAGTGGCCTTGATGTCCAAAACGATCTCACCCGTAATAAGTGACCATCCTTCTCTTACAGTTGACAATAACTCGAAGTTCGCGCAGCGTTGGAAGCCGTACTTGGTTGAAACGAGCTAACCAACAAGATAAAACATATCTCAGAGGCTTATACATCGTACCCACGACATTCAACATTTGCTAGCAATCGCGAGCACTTCAAGATTTCTTTACGTCCTCATAACCCTGAAACCCCCTCGCACGGTCCGCACGGTCGAAATAATGTTGCCTTGGGCAGTTTAGGTTTTATCAGACTTCTTCAGCATATTGTCGGCAACACACAACACAGCAAGCAGTCTCCAAGGAGCTCAAATGCCTCAATGAATATTCGCCTGCTGATATATTCATTCCCGCACCCGTGTCATATAGCACATGATTGAGTTGATCATCCACAGCTCCCATGGTACATACAGTACACTTTCCCCTCCTCTTGACCACCCTTCTCTGATTTGTACTTCATCCATAATGTACCCGCCCCTTTCCCCCCATCTCCTATTATCATTTCATACTCACAAATGGGCAAGGAAAAGCAAAACAAACCGGGGTATCAAAACGACATGCGATATGTTTCCCCTCCGACCAACGTTAAGCCACCCGAAACCGAAAGCAAGACAGACTGCAGGAAACAGAATCATAGAGCCCGGATCGCTCATGAGCATCTGGACTCATCCCGACCCAAATTGGGCCCAGCTCAACTAGCAGCGGTAATCTCCTTCGCCGGAGCCGGATTCGTTGGCGAAACCGACTGGGCCACAGTCTCATTTCCCCCACCCGCCTGCTGCGTGCCCGCCGGCGGCTGACCGTGTTGCCCTAGCGAAAACACCTTCCGCAGACTCCTTCGCAGCGCGCCACCCGACCCGGCTCCCTCATCTGAGTGAGATTGCGAATGTGAGCCAGCGGCGTTCTCTTTGATTTCCTTATCTTTGACCTCCTGCGCCGTAGCTGACGCACCTGTCGTTTTACTCCCCCCTCCTGAACCAAACAGGCCCACCAAACTCAGCCTCCGTCCTGAAGTGGCTGTCGCGTTTGACGCAGTGCTCTTGTGGCGCTGCTGCTGGGCCTTTCGCTGGCGAAGGGAGAGCGCCTCTGCGTGCGGGATGATAGCGGGCAGGGGCGCTGGTACGGGATACACGGATCGTGGGGGCCACTCGCCGTCACGCTTCCAACCAACGACACAGGCGCCTAGCATGTCGCTGAGGTTGATCGGGCAAGAAGGCTGTAGGCTTTGAACGACGACCTTGTCGTAGAGGGAGCTGTACATAGAAGGTTGGATCGAGGCGCGCATGGGGTTTTGTGGCGGGAGTAGAGGGGCCCCAACTGGTACGACGGTGTGAATGGGATAAAGAATGACGGGGGCGTTCGACTCCTGAGAGGTGGTCCTCTGAACTCCGGCGGAGTCGGAATCGGAAGTTGTGGTGGTAGATGACCGCGGCGCTGTCGACGAGACCGGAGAAGCGGCGCTGGATGGTGAGCTCGCCATCAGCACAGCAGAATGAGAGCCAGTCGACTGCGTCCTGTGCTGCCGCCAAAACAGGCGGCGCCCCGTCGTTGGCGAGACCGGGGTCGGTGGTTTCGGTTTTACCCGAACCGTCTTTGCGCCGGTCCAGGCGTTGCGGCGAGCTTCGAAACACGCCAGCCCGGTGTTCCATTGCACCTCCTCCCTTACGGCTCTCCTTCGCTGCGCTCGCTTGGCCTCAATGGTGTTGTGCACCGCTTCCCCCACGGCTTCAGGGCTGTCGAAGCGAAAGGGGGAAGCTGAGGGAGGGGCCACTTCATCGTCTGAGAGATCTGACGTCCACTCTGCCCGGGGCCGGAAGCTGGTGGGATCATCTGACAAGGTGCTGTACACCGATTCGGCGTCTGATTCCGAATCTGCCTCCTCTCCCGCGTCTCTTAAAGCGTTGTCGGCGTCCGCTCCGGCTACGAGCGCTACCGGTGCAGTCTGTTCTTGTGCGCCATTCTCTGTTGTTGCCTGGGCGGGATCCTCTGGCACAGACGGAGCAGATTCCACCGGTGGCCAGGTAAAGACCCAATCGTTGCGCACCTTTTCGGCGAGATACTTCCTCACGGCCTCCTTACTCTTAGCCTTGTCTCGGATTACAAGATCGGCGTTGAGATCCTGTGGTGGTGGGACGCCATGTGGGAGGGAGTTGCGGAATTTAGAGAATGTCGTCCGGGGCGATCTGACTAGATCCGAGAAGATCATTGTGGACGACGACGGTTGAGAGCCAGGGTTACGGGTAGTGGTACTGCGTAGCAGGTGGTCGCCAGCAGCGGTCGCGCGTGACCCCTCTGGGGCGGCCGCTTTTATAGGAGTTCCTCCTGCTGCTTCCGCTGTTGCTGTTGCTGCAACAGCGGGGGTTGATGCACCGCAGGGCGGGGCGGCCAGCAGCGGTGCCGTGCAAGTGGTGAGTGGGATGTTGGTCTCGCTAACCAAGCTCGGCCTACGTCGACCTTGACCTGCTTCCTCAGGGTGCAGCAAGCGTTAGTGATCTGCGCATTGACTCGCGCCTTGCACATGCAACCAGCAAACACCGCGCAGCCTCACATGCTTGGCCCGGTGGCCCGTTGTTGTGTCTTCACCACAACACCCAATACAGGACGTGCGCGAGTGGAGTTGTGCTCTGCGTAAGGGTCCTGACTGTCTTCCGCCCGGGATGCTGCAGGAAGGGTGATGAAGCGGCCCGTGTGTTTTATTTCTGCCCCGTTAAGACGGGGAGGACTCGGCAATTGCGGAATGGGATGAACGGACAAGGAGAACCCAGAAAAGACTCGGGATTGAGAGCTAGACTTCCAGAAATCGAGGATTGGGAGGAGAGAGAAAAAAAGGCTTCTTAGGCCAACAAAAGGGAAGGAAGGAGCCGGGGGAGAAGCGGTGGCAAAGGTGCCTAGCCAAAAACAGTTTGACGGAAAGAAGGTGTCTCCAGCGGGACAGGTGACTTACCGGGTTCGATTCGCCTGAGGCCCTGGCCGTCGCCGGCCTGCGAGCTCGGACTGCAGGTGATGCCCTGGTCCTCGTTCGGCCGAATTGAGCGAGCGCCGAAAAAGTTATGCTCAAGGTTGTGCGGGTGATTCTCGTCGCCACTGTCGTCCTGGTCGTCCTTGTTGAGTTTGTTGACTCCAACTTCGTTCTCCCTCCTCGTGCTCTCTTCATCACGTTCCGTACCCATTGACACAGAAAGGAACCACGAAAGGGTCGGGGATCGGCACAATGTCACCGTCTGCTGGGGGCGTCCCCGATGAGATCAGCGGCCGGCTGTGATGGGCGTGCAACCCCTCAACCGACCCTCAACCGCCGACCACCTTCAGCTTCTTGCGTTTTTACTGCGCTCGGATTGGCCTGTTCAGGGACTCAAAGTCTGGGGAATGGACGGCAGGATCCGACGCCACTTGGCTGCGCTTCCAGGTTCCCAGCCGAGCCAGTCGTGCCTTGTAACGGCCCTGTCAATTTTTCGGACCGGCTGGCTTTTCCTCCCCCAAGAGGCTTGTTCTGTTTCCGTTTGTTCCCCGCTCCCCGTTTATTGTTGAGTGGTTTTTACTTCACTATCGTTCGTTATCTGGGTTTGTGTACCGACAACTCAGAGCGTCTTGACCAATAAACCGAGAGAAAAATATGTTGTGAATGTTCAAATATCGGACGAGTTGCATTGACGTGAGAGTGAAAAAATGAAAATGGCGATGGCGGGTAGGTGGTCACCCACTTGACGGTGGAGTGGAGATGCCGCCTGGCAGTTCTTGACTTCTGCAGCGACTTGCAGTTCAAGGTTTGGCTCTGCGGGGCCGTTCCCGTTCTGGGCGATCGTGTGACTGGGGTTGGAGGTTCTTGGCGTTGCACGCGATCCCCTCCCTGAGTCTCTGAACTATTGTCTCCAACACCACCAATCAATTTGCCTTCACATGACACCCCCTAAACTGCGCAGCGGTTTGTCTTGAGCGCCCTCATTCGGGCTTGTCGAAGTCCTGGGGTGAATGCGGTGTTTTACTATGCTGTCTATTTCCGTTCAAGTGGCAACACTAGAAACATTGGAAGTCGATTGGGGGTCTCATCTTTGATTCTCTGTCTCGGCACTCAGGCCGGGCTGACAACAAGGTTTGGAGAAAACGATCGAGGATTTGTCTAAGAAAGGCCTAGCCCATGTGGGGTAATTCTGCAATCCCACCACATCTGCTTCCTTGTTTGGCGCTCCTGCGACTTGAGCTTCGGAACCTCCACTCTCCAAAAGACCTAGCAAGTGAGCTTTGAGGTGTTGAGAATCGAAACTTAATGATATGCGGTGAGCGGATCAGTGGTGGGGGTACATGGAAGATGGCGGGATATAATGGGATATAATATGAGTGGTCCAAGCTGACCGCACAGTCCGGTGGAAGTAATATCGAAACCCGCCGGAGACCCTGTACGACAAGAGCCGCAACGGGAGAGGTACGTGCGAAAGAGGCCGAGTTCGCGGCTAGGTCGTCATCCACAATGTTGCACAGACGTCCTGACCGGTACGTATGCCCGCTGAGATGAAAAACAACAACAAAAAACAAAATCCAATTGAAACAACATCACCATTCCTACTACACAGGGGTGATGCTAGGAATCTTGTGTCTCCCGAGTTGGCTCCCAACTACCGCCAACAACAAGCTGACTTCGGTCATTCGCACATATTACCTCAGAGCTTTGTTTTTGTGGTCGTCCATGACCCGGGAATACTTCCCAGCTAATTAGAACCTCCTGCAAGGCATGTCTCTGTCTCACCACCGTGGCATTGGCTAGTTACCATTCGAGCCATTGTCGACTTACAACTGAGATCCAATGACCATATTTTCGCGCATACGGAATACATATGACCCAATGCAGTATCTGAGACATACCTACTGAAAGCCGACGTCTAACCGCCCGCGTCGCGCAGATTCCGATGCATGAGTACCGTACTGCTCCACCAGAGAAGTATTGCCAGTTACGGCAGGTGGGCAGATCCAGTTTGCCGGACGGCTCGCGGGGCAGCGCAGCGGCTTCCTTCCGCCAGCAGGGTCGGTAGGGGAACAGACCAGATCGCATTGCGGGTCAGATGCAAAGAACGGGCCTCCAACTCGCGATCCGGGGCTCACAGATACGCACAGATGGGGTAAATGTTATGGGCATAATCCGTCATTTAAATTAGAACCCTGTAACCCAACCCTCGCGTGATTACGCCTTCTCAAGTCGAATCATCAAGAATAATAAACAACCATCGTCATCCTCCTTGTCTCACTGTACTAGTCGGGAAACTCCTCGTGCTCAACAACACGCCCTTCACCCGCCTGATATTCTCCTTCGCCTTGCGAATTTCATCTTCCGGCTCATTGCGGCTTGCCGCGCCGTAGAGCGAATATCCGCCCGAAAAATCGGTCGCCGCCGCCGCCGCACTGAGCTTCTCCACATCCTGCTGTAGCACATCCATCACCGTGTGTACGTCGCCCAGCGTCTCAGTCTGGTCGGTCAGCGTCTCGTTGAAGTTCTTGAGTGTCGCCGTGAGCCGAATGAGGCGGGCGGTTTGGTAGGCAGTCGGGTTGGTTTCTTTGTTAGTTTCCGGATTCGAGGCCGGTGTTGGTTGAGACTGGAGTTGGGGAGAGGTTTGCACGCCGATATCACGGTGGAAGAGTTCGGTCGGGTCGTCGCAGCTGCTAGCTGTGTCGTCATCGCCGGTGGCATGTGCAGGGAGCGTCTTGAGGTCTTTGGGCTTGGGTGGCGGGATCTCGGAGACGACGGTCTCGAGTTTGGAGACGAGCTTGGCGACGTCGTCGTTGGCTTTGTTGTGGAGAGAGATGCGGGCCTCGGTAAGGGTGTTGACCATCGGTTCGACGATGAACTTGCTCGCGCCGTAGACGACGGTGGACAGACCACCGAAAGCGTAGAGAGTGTTGAGGAACCCATTGACAGTCACCAACGGTGGCGGACGCGTCGGTTTGGTGAGGAACTCGGGGTATGTTACGATGGGCGGTCGGTCTTCTTTCTTTGCGAGTGGTGGTTCTATCCTCTCCGCCTCATCCTGAATACCGGGCACGGTAAGTTAGGTGCACAACGGGCACACAAAACAAACAGACATACCGAGGCCTGTGTTTCTGTCTCTAGCCGCCCATCTTGGGCCTCCCCGCTTAACAACTCATCAATGTCGCTGCTTGATAACCCCTTGCTCTGGAGAAATTCGACTTTGCGCTCTCTTGTCGTGTCTTGCACCTTGGTATCCTGTAAAAACTTCCTCGCCTGCGCGAGCTTCTCTTCGCGCGACACGCTCGCCTCGGGTACAGACTCGGTGGTGGTTTCGTTCGGCGTCGCAACAAGGCGCTGCTGCTCGCTTGGTTTCCCGTTATCATCCATTTTTGGGATTGTGTTGACGCGACCAGAATACAATATTAAACGATAAGTAATGAAAATGGTAGAGGATGGGAGTTGGATTGCGAAAGGTTCGATGATGGAGTGTTTGCGATGGAACTCGGGACTTGTGACGGGGCGGCTTTGGCGATTGCCGAGGCACCGACTTGCCAGCCGGCAACCAGGGCATTCCTGGCCCAAGCCACTCAGCAGAGGGTGCCCCACTAAACCCAGCTGAGAGATGTTCACAGCGCGAGGCAAGTCCACCACCAATACGGTCTTTGTGAAGTGAGATTCAACAAATCTGATTTATTTTTATCCACCACGTATCAGAATTACATCCTGATTCTACATCAAACCGAGCCACTAGACTCTGATTTGATACGCTTTATTACTTCATCAAAAACCATCTGTGATCGCTCACTCGTCCGGCCCTAAACCCTTGACACCCTGGCCCCGGTGGTCGCATCTCACTGTCATCATCGCGACTCTTGAAATCCATCGCGGTGGTCGCAGCGCCTCAGGTTAGCCTTTATCTCATTGGTCTTACTTGGTTGATTTTTGGGACAGCCTTCTCTCTGATACTAACTCCTAGCCTACCACGTCGCACAGATCGACCATTCCCACTACCACAGCACACAGGCGACCAAAAGCGGTATCGTCCATGGTGTTGTGGGAGCTGAACATCTCCTGGAAATCAATTCCCATTCCACAAAGTGTGAGTTTGTTTTATGCAATTTGAATCCTTGTATCTCAAACCAGTGCAATGGCGAAAATGGAGTTGCGTGGTTCGGCGCTGGGTTTGTGGTGATATGTATGGTGCGATGCGAGAAGAAGCATGGTGTTGCGTCGCGGTGGAGGGATGTCAGGAGACATGTCGCAGGCCGCGCGAGGTCATCGAATGTTAAACCCAACGTGTGATGCGGCGAGCGACCTGCATTTCTGCAATCGGCACCCCCCAATTCGGACACGATCAATGGTTTGTGAAACCTGGCTGGTCACCGATCTCAACCTCTGGCATACAACCTCAGCCTTTCGGCAACCAACATCAGCCGCCAACAACCAACAGCCAGCAGTCCGCAGCAAACGCAAAGAAAGTTTAGTGGGCTTTGTTCTCGGCAACTACCCACGAGTCTAGCAGCCATCAACGCGCAATCGTGGGGGCCGAGATTTGGGAATTGAGGTTGTCAACACCAACGACACCCGTGCATCCGGTTCGGATTGCAAAGCTGCGGAATCCGGAAAGCGAGTGTCGCTGCGGTTGACGCGGTACGGTTGCGGTGCAGATTCGCGCTTGGCTAGGTTGGATGCGGGCAGGCACACCACACGCCAGAAACACACGTAACGGCTTGTTCGATCATCCCCCCTGTGGCTTCCCGCCATTGGCACGCGTGCCACTCGGTTGATTGAGAGACCCTCTCGCCGCGGCAAGCTTATTCGGACGACATCCAATTCCTGGCACCGAGTACCACCACGGCCGCCCAGGATCTCCCCCACATCAGCTTTTCAACATTGGGGGGAGGAACGAACGCACCTACCCAGCCTCTCTCTCGCATGCGCTCACCTCCAACTCCCGTCTGCAACCACAACATCCATCCACCATCCATCATCCATCATCAACCCCATCATCAATCTCGTCATCATCCCTAACTTTCAGCGCCCCCTCCCCCTTTCACACACTTGCTATTTCAGAATCAAGAATTGAAGTCTATCACCCAAGATGTCTTCGCGGCCGCGTCGTTCGGCCGCCCAGCGCGCCAATGTAGCAATCACTGACTTGGCCGATACAGAACGGCAACTCGACCGGGGGTACACGCCCATGTCATCATCGCGTAGCTCACGGCGTTCCGGCAACGGCCTCGCCTCGGTCAGCAGCGGCGACAGCAGAGACCAGCAGCACATGCATCTGACGGTCAAAATGCCTTCGAGCAAACTACGGCAGGCCACGACTGCCAGCCATGAGAGCAGCGGCAAGCGCAAGGCGCTTACTAGTGCTGCTGTCAGTTCTTCTTCTGGCGGTGGCGGGAGCAAGAGGACCAGGGGTGGGAAGAAGAATTATGTGATTGAGAGCAGCGAGGATGAGGAGGAAGAGGAGGAGGGCGATGAGGATGACGATGACGACGATGAGGAGGAGGACGATGAAGATGAGGAGGAGGAGGAGGAGGCGGAGGTATCCGAGATTGAGGTTGTGCCAAAGACCTTTGGCAAGCCTACTGCGCGCAAGGTGGCTGCGGTGGATGACGAAGACGATGAGCAGATGGAGGATGTGGGAGATGACGATGCCGAGGGCGAGGATGACGGCGATGAGATGGACGTCGATGCCGAAGGTGAGGACGATGAGGGCGAGGACGCCGACGGGGACATCGATATGGATACCCCCGCGCTCCGCCCGCCCGCAATCAAGGTCACCAAGCCCCCTAAGAACGCGTCCACGCCCAGCAAGTCAAAACCCGTCGCTGCAAAGCCGCTTGCCGGCGACGACGACGATGATGACGACGATGAGGAGCTCAGTGAACTCGAGAGTGAGCCTGAGGACGTCACTGTGGAAGTTGCCAACAATGATGATGAAGACGCGGAGGGTGAGGACGATGATGAGGACGTCGATGCTGAGGGTGAGGAAGAGATTGAGGTAGCGGACGAGGATGCCGAGGGCGAGGATGACGCAGAGCTCCTGAGTGAGGACGGCAGTCGCGCCGGCACGCCGGATCTGTCTAAGTTGACAGCACGCCAACGGGCGAAGCTGGGGGATGTCTCGCACGAGTACATGAAGCTCTCCGATGGTAAGACTGCCCCTCATCCTTTTTATTATAGGGACAGGGGCGACGACTAATCAGTTGATATGTGCATAGAGGTGCAAGCCAAGAAAGTTTTCACCGCTGAGGAGCTATCCATGCGCCGTGCAGAGATGGCCCGTCGCAGACGCAACCTCAGCGAGAAGCGCAACGAGGAGGTTAAGGTACGTTTGTTTTTTTCCCTCTCCTCTATCCAATACGCTCTACTTCTTCACTCTCATCACAACGCTAACGTCGCCATTTTTCTTCCTTTAGATGGAAACTATCAACAAACTCCTCAAAAAACAAGCACCCAAGACCACACGCAAGAATGCGGCTTTGCTCGCTGCCGGCGATGAGACACCGGACGGCGAGGGTGGGACAGGCCATCAGCGCGCTGACCCCATGTTTGTGCGGTGGGTCAGTTCGTCCAAGGTTGGTGCCGATGGCGTCAAGTCTGCGGGTGGGAGCCGCGTGGGCGTGCCGGAGGAGTTGTTGAGTGGCCCGGCTGGGCGTGTGTTTTTGTCTTCTGCTGGCTCGTCGGGTAAAGGGGTTGGGGGAAGTGGGAAGATGGTGGAGGAGGTCCCTTGAGTTTTTTTTACTCTTCGTTTAGTTATGTATTGTTTAGTCCGTGAGATCATGGGTTGGGCGGAAAGCTAGAACTAAAAATGTGGTTTTTTTCAACTTGGCAGTGTTTTATCGGGCACGTAGATGAAGGATGCAGGAAAATACTGAGCGTTTCGGGATGGGAGAACAGGTATCATTGGGCTTGATAACAATACAATGGCCAAATACGCTGTTAGATCCATCGCATCTCATTGTCTTATCCTGTGGTTGCATTTTTTAGGATGTTGTGCATTGTGTGTTGGCGCTTGTTTAGAATTGTTGATATCAGGGGTATTTATTTGTTCAGCACTTGGGTTTCACGCCCAAGGTTTATAAAGTGCACCCCCACAACCACCAGACGCGAAATTGATCTATAAAAAACTAGCGACATACTTGGAGGACTCAGGGCATCTATATTTTGTAATTTGTTACCTTTATTTGGCTTGTGCGGTGGTGTTGTGCCCGAGTTCATGGAGGGTCACAGAATGGTTGGTGCTCTCAACACCAAGAACCCCCTATCACGAACCTCACCACCGATGATTCACGCCCTTCAAAGAGTGTTTCTGCCCTCCCAATGACCTAAAACACCAAATAATATCCCAAATACTGCACAGCCGCATGCTTCTCGATCAATTACGCCCATCTTTGGTCCCGTCTTGCCCTAGTTCTGGGGTTCCTGCCCTCGTGCCCTCCCACGCCCAAATTTTTGGCGGTTTTCCGTGAAAACCCTCAAAACCCGGTCCCCAACCTCCTCCTTTTTGGGCAATTGTTGCCTTACTGTGCGGGTCCTATTGTTGCAAAACCCTTCTCTATTGTCCCCTCCCACCCTTTCAGGAAAACTTCGCCTCGACCTTGACTTGACCTTTTCTTTTCCCACCAGCGGAAATCACAGCTTTGAACAATTCGTTTCTTCCAAAAATACCACCCAATTCTCGATCTTGACAAAAACTTCTAACGTTGAGTAACTCTGCGCACTTTCAGCTACCTTCTACTACACTACCCCTTTCTGCTTCTTCAACTTGAGACTAGCTGGCCCTAGTCTTTAAGTTGAGTTGAAACCATCGAAACCTTTACGACCTTTACTACCAAATTCTTCTCTTCATACCCTATCTTTCTCCTCCTTTCGTCCTTTACTTCGTCGCTCAATTTGACCGACGAACCTTTTTTCTGTTCTTCGTTTTCCGACTACATCGTCGGATACAGTGACAGCTTCAAAAAACCAAGAAACACCAAAAAAAGATTCAAAACACGAGACCGTCAAAAAAAAACATCTCGCCAATTCGCCTTCGGCTTATCGGTATTCAACAGTCTGCTCGATTTTTCACTTCGATCAGATTACCCCTGGGCCCTTTGTACCAAGTACCTTGGTCCGATATCAACAAGTACAAACAACAAACAACACTAACAAGAACAGAAAATAGAAAGTCGTCATGTCTTCTGCTACCAACTCCGTTTCGGGCGCCGGTCGCTCCAAGAAGTCGGCTGTCTCTGACGGCTACGGTGTTGAGTATCCCACTCCTGCTGGCTACCAGGCTTTTGTCGAGGGCTCCGAGGTTAGTATTCTCCCCCTCAAAGAATGCGGTTAGAGATGAATTGATGAGCTAACACAAGATTAGATGTCCATCTCCTTTGTGTTCAACCTCGATGTTGGAGAGGACGAGGGCACCTACGAGGTTGTCGAGGTCAATGACCACAACGAGAAGGCCATTGAGATTGCTGAGGAGGATCACGCCTCTGACGAGTGTTCCCTCTTTGGCGACACCAAGGATCTCGAGGAGAAAACCATTGAGATTGAGGAGGAGGACCACATTTCTGACGAGGACTCCCTCTTTGGTGACATCGTCGATCTCGAGGACACTGGCTCCTCCGAGGACGACAGCGAGATTACTGAGACTACTAAGATTGACGACCATGATGAGAAGGAGAATGACCAGAGCAGCGTCCGTGACGGTTCTGTGTCTGATGAGCACCATGGCGAGAAGAACGTCGCTGCTGCTACTACCGAGGTTTGTGATGCCCCTGTCTCAAAAAGAAAAGAAGAAAAGAAAATGTGTCTAACAAGAAACCAGGACGCCGAGGAGTCCAATGTCAAAATGACTGCCGACAAGCTGGCTTTCCCGTCTGCCGAGTCCAACGAGTCCGACACTGAGACTGCTACCAAGTCCGACACTGATACCATTGCCGAGACCGAGACGGTTGGAAATAATACCGTCCATGAGCACTCTCAGACCACCGTTGATACTACCATCAATGACGATGACAAAACCAACAACACCGCCCATGACAACACCGAGGGCACCACTGGCTTTGCCATCACAGATGCCTCCGACGATTTCAGCGGCCTCGGCAGCGATGGCACTGTCCCGACTGCCGGTTTCAACGCCGGCCTCCTCCTGGGTCCTGATCTCCAGGACGCCCTGTTCGCCGACGGCGAGGCTGTTGCTGATCCCGTCTTTTCTGGCGATGCCAATGGCGAGGTCAATGGCGTTGTCAACGGCGATGTCAACGACGATGTATTTTCCAATAACTCTAGCAACGCTGACCAGGTGATCGAGAACAATGGCACCACTGAGACCGCCACTGTCAATAATACCAACATTGACATCGCCCCTGAGGTTGGCCAAGAGCACGTGACCACCGACAACATCACCACGCCCACCCCTCCTCCGGCCATCCCCATGCGTCTCCAGACCTACCGCTTACGCGTCCCTCCCGTCTCTTACGACACTTTCGGCCGGCCCATGCCCAACACCTTGCCGCCCATGCCTGTCACTCCGCACGCCGACCTGCTGCGCGAGGAGATCAACACCCGTCACACTCAGGAGATGGACCTGTACTTTGCCTACAAGGAGGCCTACCAGGCTTGGCGCGAGTTCACTCGGGCTTCTACTGCCGCTGCTGGCGCCACCGACGCCTCGGACAACGAGGACATTGCCAAAAAGCAGCATGAACTCACCACCGCTGCCTTGGCCGCACAACAAGCCTACCACCACTACAACACCGACTTCGTCGCATTCCAAGCCGCCAACCCGGCCTCAGCGTCCATCATGGCCAACATGCACGCGGACCGCAAATGGCTGATTGAGGACCGCAAGAAAGAGGCCGAGCGCAAGGAGCTTATTGCTGATCTGAAGGGCAAAGATGCCAGTGTGAGACGCTCTGACCTGAAGCGGTTTGACGAGTGGGCTGGGTTGATGAAGGAGTCCCGGGATCGCGAGATGTGGCGCAGCCGGGTGGAGGTTATGGGACGGGCGGAGGAGATGATTTTGGGCCAGATGGCGGCTGCTAAGGCTGCAGAGGAGGCTAAAACTCAAGCTGAGGCTCAGGCTATTGCCCAGGCTAAGGCTGCTGAGGAGGCCAAGGCTGTTGAGAACGTCAAGGCTATCGTTGACGCTCAAGTCGCTAAGCAGGCTGCTGAGGAAAAAAAGGCTGGTGAAGCTGCTGCCGAGGCTGCTCAGAAAGCCGCTGAGCAATCCAACAACAACCAGTCCTTCGGCGCTACCTCCTACGACGGGGCCAACGACATGAACGACAGCTTCAAATTTGACAACAGCTTCCCGGCCATGCCCGAGTCTCAAGATGTCCAGTCCTAGAACGACTCGACCAACTTTGAGGCCAATTTTCTCGGCCAGTTTGATCCCTCCTATGCCCCGGCCCAAGGCATGCCGGGTCAGGCTGCCCTTGATTTCAATCAGGCCTTTGCTCAGCAGAACGCCGAGATGGAGGCTGGCGGCTTTCCGCAGATGGAGCTGCAGGACTGGCAGTCTGGAAAGGATAATATGTTTTCGTTTTCGGGCCAGCAGGACGGTGCTGTTGAGATGCCGGCCGAGCAGGCGGTCGAAGAGCACGTCGAGCAGCAGGCTCAACAGCAGGTTCATGAGCAGCCCTCCGAGCAGCAGTTTGAGCTGCCAGACTATGTCGACGATGAGCCTGTCGTCTTTGACGAGCAGCCGGTCTTTGACGACGAGCAGCAGAATCAGACTGACACCTTCCCCGATATGCCGTCGGTAAACCACCAGATCGCCATGCTCGAGGCGGAGAACACTATCGCACAGGCTCAATCTCAGTCTCAGATCCAGGCGCATATCCAATCCTCCGCCCAGTACCAAGCTCAAGCCCCGGGCCAAGCCAAGTATCAGCCTCGCACCACGTCTCACGGCCTGTCTCGCGCCGAGATTGACGCCCAAGTCGAAGCTCAGGCACAGGAGCTCTTCTCAGCCGACGTACAGGCCCAGATGCCCTCCATCTCCGAGGTCATCGCCAACGAAGCCAGCGCACCAGTCCCACAGCCTGCCGGATCCCCGGCCAACAACCAGGCTGCCACTCCCAGGGGTGTCACTCCATCGACCACTGTCGATGAGGCCACCGGTCGCAAGATCAAGACCCCCCGGAGCCGCAAGACTGCCAGCCCCAAGGGCAGCAAGTCCAAAGGTATCCCGATGACCATGCCCGGTCAAGCTCAGCATGAGGCTTTGTATCAGGGTCAGCAGCAACACACTGTCGACTCCTCTGTCGGCCTTCAGCAGGTCACGGCTGCGGACCCCTTCCTCTCGTCCGGCACCACGCAGCAGCTGCCGAACAATGGCCAGGGCGTGTTTAGTCTGTCTGTTCCGCCGTCGCTTCAGCAGATGACGGAGGAGTTTTACAGCAGCAACGGCAATGGCACTGGCGCTCAACAGCCTACCCCAGCTCAGTCTCAGATGGCGGCCACTCCCAAGTCCCACGCCACAGCTGAAGAGTCGTACGGCGAGCTCTCCATCTTCATGGCTAAGACTCCCGCACAGTCGGCGGTTCCTTCCTCGGGCACTCCGGCTCACAATTCGACTCCCAACAACGTCGCTCAGAACTCGGCCCATCACGTGGCCAACAACAACATAGCTTCCGGAGCTGCTCCCTCGTCAAGCAACAAGCGCAAGAAGCCGGCCACTCCTACTCAGGGCATGGACACTCCGACCAAGCGTCGTCAGGGCACTGATCAGCACGGCGCTGTTGTCTCGATTCCCCAGGACGCTCAGGCTGAGGCTTCTGCTTCGTCGTCTGCTTCTGCTTCCGCTGTTGGCACTCCCGCTGGCGGCCAGTATGGTGCTGGTTCCATCCCCATGGCTCAGACCTTCTCCCATCAGACTACTGCGTCTGTTGTCACCACTACCCCCGCTGCGGTTACTACCCCGGAGAACGCCCATCACAACAACGGCACCGGCTCCGGCAGGATCCCGATCGATCCCGCTCTATGCTCCAACGTCTCCCCGCCCTCGCCCAGTCGCGGTCATGGCAGCCACGGCAGCCACGGTAGCCACCAGAGCCACCGCAGCAATGGCAGCAACGGCAACGTTAACAACGGCGGCATCCCCAGAGACATGCCCTTCGTGACAGCCATCAAAGCCGGCGTGCGCGCCGCCATCGCCCAGCTCATAACCGAGTCCAACCAAGACGCCACCATCCTCGGCCAGGTCCTCCTCGACGGTCCCCTGCCCGACTTCAACGTCGACCGCAACCTGCACCAGGCCATGACCAACGCCACCAAGCAGTGCATCCAGGGTGTGCACGACACCGTCCGCCCGACAGCTCACCAGCAGGCGTACTTGGGCGGTGCGTTTCGCATGCTGCGCGCTGTGTTCGCGGAGATGGATAAGAGCGGGTCGGTTTGGGGGTGCCCTTTGCTGGATGGTCCGTTGGCGGCTGAGGAGTCGGTGGCGGTGAGGAAGGCGATGGGGAATGTGTATAGACGGATTATGGATGAGTATCGCGAGCCAACGAGCTTTGAGGAGGACGGTCAGGCTCATGCTCGCAATATCAGCCAGAACAGCATGGCCTCTTCTCATCATTACCACCACCAGCAGCAGTTGCAGCAGCAGGTTCACGCCCGCGACATGAGCCATCACAGCCATCACAGCCAGCACAGTATGGCTTCTCATCCGTCCAACTCTGGCAGCCCGCATCTTCAGGCCCAGCAGAACTCTCAGTTCGCCAACAACGGTTATGGCAACGCCACTCCGGTTCACAGTCGCAACAGTAGCGGCAATAGCCACAAGAGCAACAAGAGCTCGGCCTCGTCCTCGCATATGCTACCATTCCCGGAACTGCCGGCTGATATCGCCGGCATGTATCAGATCCCCGGCCAGGCGCAGGACTCCCAGGCTCAGTATGCTGCGATGCAAGCTGCGCAGGCTCACCACCAGGCTCAGCAGCAGGCTATGTACCATGCTCAACAGCAGCACCATCACATGGCCCACGGCACTCATGGTTTGAACGACGCTGCTCAGATGTACGCCCCCCAGCAGATGCAGCCCTCCGCAGAAGTCCAGGAGCTCCGCGCGCAACTCCATCAAATGCAGCAGCTTCAGCAACAGATGCTTCAGCAGCAGGCCCTTCAGCAGCAACAGGCTCAACAGGCTCAACAGGCTCAACAGACTCAACAGCCGCAACCCAAGAAAGCTCGCAAGCCCGCCGCACCGCGCAAGTCCCGCGCCCGCAAGGCCTCCACCGCCCCATCCACCAACAGCGGTGCTCGCACTCCTCCCGGTCCCGGCGAAGCGGGCACCCCCGACAACATGGCCAGCAGCACCCCCATCCTCACGAGCAACGGCCAATGCATCCCGCGTATCTACTACGCTTTCGCCGACGGCACCTTCTACATGCACCTAACCAACCAAGGCGGCACCAGCGTTAGCGTCCCAACCCCCGAGAACGACCCGGGTCTGCGGATCGGTGAGGATACACATCACAGGATGGGACGAGGCACCGAGGCGGCGGAGACGGCGCTGGGTCAGTTTATTCAGGCTGCTAAGGCGGTTGGCATTGAGGAGAGTCCGGCGCAGTTTGTTTGGAGGATGTGGAGGGGGGTGGAGGGGAATGTGGAGGATTTGAGGGGGATGGTTGAGAGGTTGGAGCGGGAGGAGATGGAGCAGGGTATTTAAGGGTAGAGGGTTTGCTTCATTTCGAGTTTGATGATTCGTTTTAAGGTTTCAGTTTGACGGAAGGAGGGTTATTGAGTTATGGAGGTACAATTGTGGGAAGGTCAGGGTAGGAGTCGTTAGAGAGAGACGATGCTAGAATAAGGGTTTGAGGATTGGTTGAATGCTTCTCGAGTTAATAATGCCTTTCGAGTTGATTGATACACACGGAAATGATTTGGTGATGCGGAGCAGGAGGACTTGCAGGCCAGATGCAGGCCACAAAATAGCTAGATACTTTGCTACTCTATAGTCTATAGTGTAAACTACACAGGACAATAACTGTTTTAATCATGTACGACACTGGTCGCGATGCATGATATGACTCGAGTGTTTTCAAGGCTTAAGCCGGACCACAACAACCGTTTAAAGAATTGAGCAGGACACGAGGGGTGGAACTCATGATTTGAGGGAAATGGTAAAGTCAACGAATCTGCGTAGCGCCGGTGAGATACAAGACAAAAGAAACAGCGAATGAACAAAGAAAGATAGAAAGTATCTCAAACCCGTTCAACAAGACATTTGCAAACGGGGTGTAAAAACAATGATTCAACAACCCCCAACTTCTCAACCTCGCAACTCGACAGCTCGCCCATTCGTCGGGCGCGAACATATTCTCCCGAGACAATTGGTCGTATATCCCCGGGATTGGAAGATCGGCTCCTTGGCCCTGCACCGGGGACTTCCACTCGGTGCGCCATTATTCTTGGCTTATCTGTCGCGCAATCCATGCTGGATTCGACCCTGGATGGCCTCATCGCTGTCGCCCACGCTGTGGTACTCGTATCTCGAGAGTTGCGGTGTTGAGATGAGGTGTTGTTGTTTTGGTTGACTAAGCCGTTCAGCAGGGCCCACATAAGCTTTTTTTTTCGGTTGGGATTTCGCAGTGGGGCAGGGGTCGATGACTGGCTTGCTTCTAACCTCCATGACGTCGGCTCTGTGAGAAAGAAACATCGTGACTCGTTCTCGGCAGTAATACTAAACCTATTCCTGATATTCACTCCCTCCATGAGCCACCCAGGAGGCGTTTGTCACATTCCCATCATGCACACCATCATGTGTGATGCGGCGAGAAATGGCTCAACCCAAATCCAACAGATGCTTGCAAGGGACAAGGGCAAAAACGCCAAGTCCGTCGCGGGGCAGAGAAGATCGAGGGGCCAAAGGCTTGGCAGGCACAGTTCTTTTACTCTTTTCCTTTTCCGTCCTTGCGACCTCAGCTTCCGAGCGACGACGGGTCATCTCGACAAACCGTTCAAGTCAGCCTACCTGTCCAACACGTGCAATGACGCCTCGAGTTGGTTCGAATGACTGATCTCAAACGGGTGGTGTGACAGTTGGGAACTTTTGTCCCGGCCCGATACGGCGGATCCAACGGCACTTAAATGAACACTCAGCCATCCGGTGCTCCGGACGTGTCGAAAACACCGAATCGAGTCTTTGTGTGTGTTTGAACTGACGCTACATCACGACACAGAGCACAAGTCTTAATGCTCAATGCTTTCCCTAAAGAGCTTCCCGTTTCGGCTTCACATATCGGCGGGTCACGGAACTGTCGACGGCAGTCGATGGGTCCTAGGCCGAGATTGCCGTGGTTATGGCCCAGTTTTAGCCGTGCCCGTCCGTTTCCTGCCGGGCCTCTCTCCAGTATGTTTTCGTGGCTCTGAGCACGGGTCTCGAAGTCTGCAGTACCGGCGTTAAGTGACTACATTCGTGTGTGTGTCCCCTGATAATCGTTAATTGCCTCGCCGCCGTATGGGTTTGTGGTGCGGCGATTTGTGAGATGCGCGATTTCAACATCGCCCCAACCAAACACCTCCGGCTTCCCTTCCAAGACAAGGCCAAGGCTAGATGGGAAAAAGAAGGGCGCCTAGCACCCTAGATTAAACGGACCGGGACATCGGACGTCAGCCCGCGGCGTGACCGCGAGCCCACTCATCTTCCTGACTGGCACGATCGGGGCTCGCTAAAGCGGTTCGACCGGCCGGCGAGTTGCCCGGTGACGGAGGGAGGACCGCCTCAGTTGTGGCAAAAGAGTCCGCGCTGACGGCGAGCAAAGAAAGAACGAGAGCTATGGAAATACCTCAACCGCTGTTGGTGGGTTGCTTAGTCCGCCCATTCCTCGGAACCGCAAAAAGCCATCTCACAGCCCGCAGTGGTAGTGGGGGTATCCCGAAACACACGATTGCGGAATGTCCCTCACTAGCAGCTGGGGACGAAGGTGAAGGGGGAGAAGCTGTGCCCAGGTTGCCCCACCTTCGGCGCAATCTGTGATGCAAGCAATTGGAAGGGAAACCAACGGAAACCACCCCACCTTGACGAGGGGCTCAACCATTTTTATTGTTCGCTCCTGCCACCATAACACGCCAGCGCCCTTCCACTCCTTCCATTCCCCATCCCGCGTTTGACTCAAACCATCAGAAAATTTTCGTGGACAGCCTGCCCCTTCCTGATAACACCTAGACACCTAGTCAACCAAACAATTCACCACACCGTTTCAGGTAAGCACCTCTTTGGCCCTGTTTGCGCGTCTTGGGAGCTTCCCCCACGGACCCCGCACCGCCTCGTCGCGCCTGTATCGGACCTGCGCGACCAGCACCAGAATCCCACAGCTCAGCTGTGCGTTGACCGGTCCCGGACCGCCCGCTGCTGCGGCCCGGACCATTTTAGAAAAACCCTTTTCCCACCCTCCACTGTCATCCAGTTTGGCTTTTCCTCTTGCCATCCTCCTTTTGAGCTTCGCGATCCCTCGTTTACCCCGCCGCTCGAGCTACCCCTCCAAGAAACTTTTTTCAGCTCAACAACTTACCAACTTCGCGACCACAGACAGGATGGCTATCAAGGTCGGTATCAACGGTTTTGGCCGTATCGGCCGTATCGTTTTCCGCAACGCTGTCGAGCATCCCGATGTCGAGATCGTTGCTGTCAACGACCCCTTTATTGAGCCCAAGTACGCTGTAAGTTTTAGCCCATATCTATAGCCTTCTCCGATGGGGGCAAACGGTATGAAACAAGATCAGAACTGACGGTGGGCGGTCGATAGGAGTACATGCTCAAGTATGACTCGACCCACGGCGTCTTCAACGGCACCATTGCCGTCGACGGCAGTGACCTCGTTGTCAACGGCAAGAAGGTCAAGTTCTACACTGAGCGCGACCCCGCTGCCATCCCCTGGAAGGAGACTGGCGCCGAGTACATTGTTGAGTCGACCGGTGTGTTCACCACCACCGAGAAGGCCAGCGCCCATCTTAAGGGTGGCGCCAAGCGCGTCATCATCTCGGCCCCCTCGGCCGATGCCCCCATGTACGTGATGGGTGTCAACGAGAAGACCTACGACGGCAAGGCCTCGGTCATCTCCAACGCCTCGTGCACCACCAACTGTCTCGCTCCTCTCGCCAAGGTCATCAACGACAAGTTCGGTATTGTCGAGGGTCTCATGACCACCGTCCACTCGTACACCGCCACCCAGAAGACCGTCGATGGTCCCTCCGGCAAGGACTGGCGCGGTGGCCGTGGCGCTGCCCAGAACATCATCCCCAGCAGCACCGGTGCCGCCAAGGCCGTCGGCAAGGTCATCCCTGAGCTTAACGGCAAGCTCACCGGCATGTCCTTCCGTGTCCCCACCTCTAACGTCTCCGTCGTCGACCTTACTGCCCGCCTTCGTGACGAGGCGACCTACGACGAGATCAAGGCCGCCCTCAAGGAGGCCTCCGAGGGTCCCCTCAAGGGTGAGTTTCCCCTCGTTTCATAAACTGACTTGGTTGATCCGAGCAAATTTCACGCTAACACACCCTCCCAGGCATTCTCGGCTACACCGAGGACGAGATCGTCTCCAGCGATCTCAACGGCAACCCCAACTCCTCCATCTTCGACGCCAAGGCCGGTATCTCGCTCAACAAGAACTTTGTCAAGCTTGTCAGCTGGTACGATAACGAGTGGGGCTACTCCCGCCGTGTCCTGGACCTCCTGGCCTACGTCGCCAAGGCCGATGGCAGCAACTAGATCCTAGTTTGCCGCTCTCAGCTGTAGCGGGAGGGTTGGGAATAAAATGAAACCACCCTACCCGTTTCCTGATAGACATGCTCGGCCTTGGAAAAGGGAGGTATGTGCGATTAGGTAGCTAGGCGATAATACAGAAAGTCCAAAGCAAACATGGCCCATATGCGAGTGATTGCGATTGTCGGTGGGAATTTGCCCATTTAAGTAACCTAGCCCACCGCAAGTAAATCATGTATCTATTCTTCACCGAAATGGACAAGTTGGTAGGTGAATGTTAATTTTACAATTGAATTAACTACATAATTACACGCCCCTAAACCTAACAAAGCCGGTCTTCGACTTGACTCGGCTGCCCGACTCAACTTTTGGCCTCGACCTCGGTCTTGACCTTCACAGCTCTGACCCGACCCGACCGCTCTAAGCTATAACCGTTCCCATCGTGTGCCAATAGGCCGAGGAAGGGCTTGACCAGAACCGAGTTGATTCCTGCGAGCCCATCTATTCATTCATCCATGCTGGTTATTCCTTTTAATTCATCCTTGTCTCAACGCGAAGGGGGAAGAAAAGCGCAGGGCTGGATGGGTAATGTTGAAAGAAATGCCATGGCTTCCATCCTGGGAAGTGTGCGTGTGCCGGACGGTCAATGAACGGATTCCCGCCCACCTGTGCCGTTCAAACACCCTGACCTTCGACTTCCTGCCCGTAGGATGAGCTTGGGAACCTGTAGCAACCCGCAATAGAAACACGGTAACAGTCCTGGTTTCTCTCGAAAAAAGCATCGCCGATTCTCCCCTTATTTTCCGCACTCAGGGTGCAGTCTTAGTCGTACAATACCCGACACCAAATAAAATCGAATAACCCTTCCGTAACCCTCTCACCCCGCCCGCCGTACCAGAACTCCCCATCGCAGAAGGGAGGAAAGAACAAAACAAAACGAAACAAAACAACACTGTAACACCCCGACGCCAAAGTCCCATGCTCTCAGATAGGTAGGTACCAAGAGAAACGAACCCCCCTCAGAAAGCAGCGCCACCCAAGCCCTCACCAGCCAATTTCTTCAGACTGGCCCCACTCAAATCGGCTTTCAGTTCAAACGCCTTGCTCTCCCGCTCCAACTTATCCCACACCCGCAGACTCTTGCGCAGTTTCTCCTGCTTCACGCGCAGCTCCTCACGCAATCGCTCCTCTTCCTCGCGAAGCCGGCGATGGTGCGGATCCAGCTCGATGGGGATCGCGGTGGGATCGATCTTGCCGCCGGGGATGATTGGGGGCATGGTGTTGATGAGACTTTGCGCGAGAGAAGGGCGGCTGTTGTAGGGGTGGCCGTGGCTGTGGGAGTGTTGTGGGCCGCTGTGGATGTGGTTTCCGCCGGAGGAAGGGCCGGTGGGCGGGTTGAAGGGTTTGGATCCGAGGGATGGGGAACCGGAGGCGGATGAGGTGGATTGGGCACGGGGACCGGTTGGGATGGTACCACCGCTGCTGCCATTGTTGTTGCTGCCGTTGGGCCCGGCAGACGGGATGGTGGGTGAGCCGGCTTGACTGCTGCCGGAGATGGAGTGACGAGTGGGACCGGCAGGCCAGTTGCTTCGAGTGCTGCCACGGCCGGCAAAGCCTGCGCCACGAGGAGGGACATAGCCGCGTGGACCGGACGGCGGGATGGTAGGACTAGTAGCACCGTGACGTGACGGTCCGTTGGGGCCAGGGGGTAGGGTACGTGGCGACGGGGCAGGTTGGGGTGTAGCTGGTGTCGTAAAGTTCCTAGCAGCTGCGGGCCCGGTCGGCGGGGCTCTGAGAGCAGCGGGGCCCCTGGGAGGGGACCTTACCGGGGTCGAAGCGGTATCGGCTGCGGTGGCGGGCTGTTGCTGCTTCGGGGTAGGTTGGCTGGCTAAAGCGGCTTGTGAGGATTGAGGAGGCGGAGCCGCTTGCTTTGGGGTATCACGAACCGGCGGGAATGCGGGAGTAGGCGTTGGCGCGTTCGATATGTAAGACCGCGCAGCCGGAGATTGCGGCACAGATCGATCGTCTCGACGCCCAGAGGTAGGCCTGGGTGAGGACCTGCCCGAGCCCGACCGCGAGGGCAGACCAGATGAGTGGATCGAGTCTCGCGGTGGTGGCGGGGATGGTCGACGGTACGACGGTCCCACGTAGCGATCATCGCGATCCCGTCGTTCCGGGCTGCGAGACCGAGGGCGATATATGCCACCTCCACGAGGGCCTGGCGGGGGTGAGCGTCGCGGGGTTGATCGGTCTCGGCGAATTGGTAGTCTGTCCCGGTCGAATGGGGACCGCGAACGCCGCCTGATGTCTCTAATCTCATAATCGCGGCGCGGAGGAGACCTCGGCCGTTCGTCTCGCTCATCTCTCCTGTCGTCGCGACGGTCGTCTCTTCGGTCATCTCGTCTATCATCCCGTCTGTCGTCCCTTCTAACAAATGCGCGGTCGTCGCGGCGCGGGGAAACAAAGCGAGGCGGCGATCGCCTGACTGGGCTCCGTCTCGGGGAAACACGGCGGACCGGGCTTCTGATCCTACTGCGGCTGCGTCGCCAGCTTTCACCCCCGACTCGATCCCTAGACCTGTCCCTATCTCTCCTAAAGCGGTCGGCGCTGCGAGACCGTCGGCGTGGGGACCTGCCGGGGACGTAACTGTCGCTAGTCACAGGCGGGGTTCGCGGGCGATCTCTCAAGGGGCTCCGAGCACGGGGCGGCGGTGACCGGTCGCGGTTAAAGGGTCGGTACGACTCGCCAGCGCCATAGCGCCGGACTTCTCCATCCTCGTACCTACTGGGGGGGGGATTAGTAACCGTGCCATTGGGGAAATGCTGCTGCTGCGAAGAATCAAAATTCAAGGAAGAACAGATGGTGCGTTCCGCGGCGGGTTCCACGGCGGGCGTCTCGGAACGAGGCCGGAATGCAAGGGCTGTTGAATTGGTGTCGGAAAACCTGGGGGAGGTCGCGCCAGATAGTGGGATCGCATTCGCATCGGACAGCTTGGGGTGGGTGATGCGTGCCGAAAGAGGGAGCCCCGCGGGGCGCCCCCGAGCCTTTCGCCGTCTCCCGCCCATTTGGCTAGAAACCTGCCCTGGGGGATGGGGGCAGATACTCGTAAGGTTGTTGTTGTTATCTCTTGAGAGAAATATGCCACCAGAATGTAAAGCTAGCCGTGAGGAACACTGTACATGCCCGCGCTGAGCGTCAAATTGTATCCTAGGTTGGTCGTGAAATCGGTGTGTTTTTCGAGCGAAGGTTTGGTTTGTGATTTTTTAGCAGTCGCGGTGGATTTTGGCGAATTCGATTTCGTGGTTTCCAAGGCAGCAAACCGAGGCGCCCTTTTGTTGTGTCTGAACGCCTTCCCTCCCGATAGACCGTTTGCCGTATCCCCCAAACCGACTGGTTGCCTGCATGTCATCCGCTTGGAAACCGTTTGTTACGCCCCAGTTGAAAATCCGGTTCCTCATGCCACAATGACGAAGTAGCCCAAACATTCGTGGCTGTTCGTGCAGTAGCTGGTCGTAGCCACAACCCCCAAAGGGTGGTTTGGATCCGTCCCGTTTCTCATCGTACCATGGCTTTGTTCAATCGAGAGGGTGGATACAGGCATGGGCCTGTCCGGGTTCAACGCACCATCGGGGTGGCCCAGCAAGCGTCCCGGGAAATAATGGCAGCCAGACAGGCGGGAGTTATAACGCGTGGAGTATTAGGCGTGAAGCGGGGGCATGCGGTGCAGGCGTAAACCAGATCGGATGGTATCGTGACAAAGCGAGGAGGTCCCTCGAGGTGTACGGCCGGGCTCGTTCGAAAAGGTATCGCTGTCCGGCGTTTGACACACCAATTCCCCAAAGACTCCCCACCATCCCAAGACTGTTCGTTGGACTTCGTCGGGATCCCACCGTCCACAAAGAACAACACCCATCGCTAACCGGAGAGAATCCCGGCGTCCAGAAAGGAACAACCCCAAGCAGAAGGAAAAAGCACAGCTTCGCAGCAATAGAAATCCACTAACCTTCGACCCCGATCCATCTCGGATGCAACACTATTCGCTATCCTCAGCGTTTGCAGTTTGTGTTTGCCGTTGAATGTCGCCTCGTCAATTGCCGTTGTTGCAGGATGGTTCGGAGAAAACAAGGGCAAAAAAAAAGAAAGGGCCTAAGAGGGAGGGGGGCGAAAGAATTCTAGTTGTGTTGCCCTAATGACATAAATCTGTGGAATGTGGTGTTGCACAAACAAACGCACATACATATAAACGGGGTATGTATCCTGTTGTTGGATAAAGAATGGGTTATTGATTAATGTTAAGTCAAGTACCTGATGTCCGGTCAGGCTTGCAGAACGTCCCTTGGATCGTCCAAGATGGAAGTTCAAACTTGCTGCAGTGCACGGACAATGGACGACGCGACTCGAACGCACGTGCAGACGCGGGCGGCTCACGAGGAAAAGTGGGTAGCTCTTATCACAAAGGGTGAAAGAGAAAGGGGTATATAAGAGATTACATAATCTGGCTTGTACAGTACATACTCACAAGGTATTGAATGATACAATATGCATGTTTACGGTTTGACCAAAGCTTCACTTATTTCCTTTTTGGCTCACCGACTTGGGTTAGAATGATATGTATTTAACCTCTGCTACAAACTATGGTGTTTGGTTATCCTGCCCACTGAATGCCCCAGTGCGGAAACCACAAAACCGGCAGGACCATTACAACCAACCTCGCCCCCTCCGGCCCTCTTCCCAATTTCCTATGGTGGTATCCATCGTATCGCTTTTCCCCTTCTCCCCCCCAAACACCAGAAATAGAATGGTGAAAAGAGTAAATGAAAGCCCAGAAAGAAGAGCCAACTACCCCATCCTACCCCCAATCTCCTCTTCCTCCATCTCCTCATTACCACCTTCCGGCCCCTCCCCTCCCTGCGTCACCCGCTCCGCAATAAACCGCTGCACATCCGCAAAGTGCTCGCCCATCATAGGCGTCAGCCCGTTAACCTGGGCGCGAATAACATTGCCGAAGCGGCGCTTCATGACTTTGCGCGTGAGGTCCCGGTCGGACCAGCAGGCGTGGTCGTTGGCTACGTACACCTGGGAGTGCTCCTTATACCACGACGAGAGATCGCCGTCCACGTCGGATTTGACGGGCCGCAGGTTGCCATTGACAAAGTTGACCACACCCGCTACGCGGGATTTGACGTCGACTAGGAGGGCGGGAGTAAATGTTAGTAAACCGAACCCATACAGAGAGTGGTAGATGGTGGGTTCGGGACAAGAAGGGGTAGACGTACGGCGGTTGATGAGCAGGACTTTAACCCCCAGATAGGCATTACCTACGCCCATGAGAAAGATGTCTTCAACCGAATCGTAGAGTTGGAGGTAGTTGTCCCAGATGTAGCACATTAGCTCCTGCACTTGGGCTTGGAGCGTGCCTTCATCGAAGCGCGCAGTGAATGCATCCGTGTCCTGTCCCAGTTCGTATCAGCACGGTTTCGATTTCTCTTACACTACATGGTCATCGGGACGTACCTCGGGATGGGTGATGTAGTGAGGTACATTGACGTCGATAACGCCAAAGCCTTTTTCGATGGCCCAGTCGATATAGCGGGTCACGCCATCCGTCTGGATCAGTTAGTGAACGGTCCATCCTAGGGAAGACGAACACAGTACTTACCACCCACGCGTTATGCGGCTCAAGCGAGTTGTTCATCGGGTCGGGCTGCGCATGGAGTTCCGGTCTGGATTCAGATTAGCCGTTGTACTCAAGAGTCTGGAGGGTAACGCAACAGGACAACGTACGGGTCATGCACAATCACCAAGATCCTACGAGCAGACTGGATCCCCCTAGTCACCAGCACCTGATTCTCAAACGACTTGAAGAGAATATCCCGCTGGATGTACAGCGGCAGCATGCCATGCTTCTCCGACAGCACCTGGCGTTGGGCCCTCCGAACCACATCATGTAAGCGCGATGACTCTTGCGCCTGCATCTCCTGAACATCAACGATTCCGGCGCGCATGCACTCCCAGTACGGCGCCTGGTAGGCCTGGACTTTGGCCAAGACCTTGCCCGCCTCATGGCTAAGGCGTGGAATCTCCATCTTCGGCGGCGGCTCGCCCATCAGCGTCTGTGCCACGGCTAGGGCCGACTTGGAGATAGCATCAAGGTCGTAGCCGCCCTCGAGGCAGACGGCCACTTTCCCGTTGGCGAGCGACATCAACATATGTGTCATGTGGGCGTAGCACTCGGGAGTCACGAAGCAGGCGCCCAGCTCGTCGCCCGCGGCCGCGTCGAAGCCGGCCGAGATGATGACCAAGTCCGGGCCAAATTCGTGGGCAATGGGCATGACGATCTTCTGGAACGCGGCCATGTACTCGCCGTCACCCATGCCTTGGTCATGCCAGCCAATGTTGACGTTCTTTCCCAGGCCTGCGCCAGCACCGCAGTGCTCCAGTCCGCCGTCGGGCGTCATCGGGTTGTCGGGCTTACCGGGGTAGAATTCGCCATTGCGGTAGACGTGGAGGGAAATATAGAGGATGTTGGGGTCATCGTAAAAGAGGTTCTGGATACCGTTTCCGTGGTGGACGTCCCAGTCGAGAATCAGAATCTTGCGGCACAGGTCCGGGTAGTCGGCCTGGCAGATCTTGGCGGCGATCGGAACGTTGTTGAATAGACAGAACCCCATGGGGGCGTCAAACTCGGCATGGTGGCCTGGGGGGCGGATGACGGCAAACGCGTTCTTCACGTTGCCCACGACGACACTTTTGCAGGTCTCAATGGCGCCGCCCGCTGAGATAAGCGAGGCCTCGTATGTCATGCTGCCGACGTAAATCGAGTCTCGTCCTTGGTCCATCCGTGTGGAAAGCTCCCGGAGTTCCTGCGTGGTCTTCTGCGATAGAGCCTCCACCCAGAGAAAGTGGGCTGGGTGGTGGACAGAGCAGATCTCCTCTTTCGTAGCCTCTCTCGCCGGGATCCGCCACATGTACTTGGTCGGCTCGTTCTGAATGATGCGGATGAGATCAGCGTCGGAGCCGGTAAACACCAAGCCAGCCTTCTTGAAGGTCTTCATGATGTACTCGATGCGCGACGGATCCTCTGGGTGGTGGGGGTTGGGTCCAAAGTCTGCGTTTGCATGTAGCTTCATCCGGTCGTCATAGCAGCAGCCTGTGGGAAGCAAACCACGCCGTCGCAAGCGCTCTGGGTAAGCCGTCGGGTCGTCCTCCTCGCCTTGCACAGTTCCATCCGCGCTGTGGCCATTGACGGTCCCCTGGGGTGAGCTCTCGCCAGTCGTCGTCGGATCTAGAAAGCCATTGGTAGCTGAAGGGCCATCCGCCATGCGGTGATCCTCACCATCCATCACAATGTCATTCTCGTTGTCGTCCATGGTGGGCTAGCCACCCACAAGGCCCGATTCTGATACAAATTATCGTCGGGGCTAAACTGTGTCAGCAAGCGAAAGCTGGTGGGAGGGGAGGGGGGCCAGTTATAGAATTGTTCGGATTGCGAATGGCAGACAAAACCATCGATTATAGGACGTATAAGAGGTCAAAATGATGCTGAGACGCGTAGATGCTACGGCCCATCCGACTTCGAATGATGAAAAGAGGTTGAACTCACCTTAACTAGAGTTATACGCCGGCGATGTAGCGTAGCATGTAAACCCTCCAAGGGCGTTCTCGGAAATGAGAAGAAAGGAAAATTCTCGAGATGCACCCCAGGAGCCAAGCGAGGAAAGGAATGGCAAAGCAAAAGTCCCGACCATGCAGCTCTAGGAAATGAAAGTCAAATTAGAAGATGTTCAATACTGTCAACAAAGAGAGAAGAAGACTAGGGCAGTGAAAGACTTAGGAAGGAACGGAACAGAAATATTTCAAGGCGAGTGTTGGTGTTAAGACGAAAGCTCAGGATTGTGTATGTATGAGGCGTAGTTGATATGAAGTTCAGGTAGGAACAGGAGGCCGCCATCCTCCCAATGAAGCACACAGGGCCAAACTTGCACTCCAGTCAGACAAAACATTCCACCGCCCCCCGTAAGTTTGCCGCACATGCACAAAAGCCTGATGAGACAGGATCAAGAAAAGAAGAAAAATATTTACATACCGGGATGGTCGACTCGTGTCAAAGGCCGCGGTTGCGCATGCTCGCGGGTTGGGGTTCTGCAGCGGGTTGAGGTTTAGGGGAGCGTGAGAGGTTGGGCGAGTTGCCCTGCTGTGCCTGAACAGGGGAGCGGTAACCGCCACCCCCACTACAAAATAGTCCAAGCACTTGATCCTAGCGCCGTTGATTGTCTACTCTCCCACGACCACATATTGGTTAGAAACCTGTATGCGAGGTGAACATAAGACGAATTTTAGACGGCAAGAATAAGTTATCCGGAGTAGTCGTTTCTGAAGCCAATAATTGATGGTTACTGCGAGAGACCATCTCGAGTCTAAGTAGGCTTTCACTTGGTGTCGCCTCCCATTAAGAGGGAGCACAAATTGCCCAAATACCTACTGAGCAAAGCAAGACAGTATGTGCCCCATTTGTGATTCACTTGTATTTCTAGCAGAACTATGAGAAAAGAAAGATATGCCCAATGATATAAACATGCCCGTCAACCTGGTCAATTTGACTCGTCTCCCCCTTAACCCCCGAAACACATCGTCTATCCTGAACTTGAAACCCTCCATCATATGAGCCCAGCTCTGACCGTATCCTCCGCAATACCTCCACAATTCCAACCTACCGCGAGGGTTCCAACCTAGCACGCTTGGTTTCGAAAACACAATCGCAAAGCCCGGTCGGGAGGTTGGCATCCTTGTCGTAGATGACTCGCATGGCCTCATCCTCTGGGTTGCTATGGTCCAGAATGCCACCCTCAGCAGCTGGGAAGCTCACAGAACCGAAGGGTTGCCTTCCTCGGAGCTGACGGCGGCATAGCGTGATAGAAACCGTTTCCATGAAGGTTTCGGCCGAGTCTTCAATCCTAAACACGAGACAACCATTAGCAAATTGGAATTATTATCGCACATCTCATCCTGTCCGAGTAAGATGTTGAGTCGGGGAACACAACATACTTCGGATGACAGAGCCGGATGAAAGAAATTAAGCTGGACTGGGTGGGATAGGTGTGTCGATAGATGATGATGTGTAGGATTTCCCTTGGAAGGAGCCGCATCATCGTGGCGATGATACAAGCATTCTCGTGGTCATCACCCCAGGCCATGTTGACGATAGCGTCGGGCGAAAGGAAGTCCTATGATGAAGGGCCGAACTGATTTAGCAGATGTTGGCCGCAGACGAACAGCCCAGATATATTCGAAAATAAATACATACCAAAAGGCTTGTGACCTGGCGAATAGAGGGGCAGGAAGCTTGGAGTGCGCTCCTGACCGTCCTGAACAGATCCAGGGCCTCAAGTAACCGGCTCGTCGAGAAGTTTCGGGTGAAGGAAAACGGATATTTCGGGGGAGGACTCAACCCTCCGAGATAATGATCAGCCTCAGCAGTTGGTTGAGCGTGCCCATGGAAGGCCCGGGCATACCGCCACCAAAAGTACAACGCGCCTCTCATCCGAGTCAGCTCATGCGGCAGCAGGCTGCGGTGAGCCACAGCCGGGGACTTCGCAAACCGCAGACGTGGCATCTCCACCTCCCAGCGCTTGATGACGCGGCAGAAGTCTATCAACATTGGCCGGTCGTTGAGCTCCTGGACCACCTTCAGCAATAGCGGGGGATGGGCCAACAGCCCCGGCGGGACCTCCGCGGCGAAGAAGGCGGCGAAGAACTCATCCACAGGGTGGAATTCGCGCGTGATGATGCCGGTCATAATCCGCTGCCAGTGCATGTCCGCGATCGCGGCGATGCGGCGATTGACTAGGCGCATACTGTCAAAGGCTACGAAGTCCACGAGAGAGAGGACTTCGATGAGGATCTCAGCCGGGAGATCCTGCATGTTTGGAGACAGGATCGCCTTGCGGTCAGACGAGGTGATGGGATGAGTCTTCATTGTGACATGAAGGGGTGATGTAACCTCATAGGAGGCCACGATATGGCTGTCCGCTCGAGTTGATGAGGCCATATTGCGGTGGTTCATGGGTTTCATAGTAATTGCACTAACTATCGATCAGCTGAACGAAACAAGCGAGCGGAGAAAGGTCAAGCGGGCCGTACCCTGATATTGTCTTCTGACAACTCTGGTTTTTACAAAAGCCCAACAGAATCGAGGACGAGATGAGCAAGTTTAGGCTGGCCAACACAACCCCCCCCCCTTATTAAATGTACTTGCTAGACTTGACCGAAGTAGTCAACTCAGGGCTGATGGCAAGCAACCTCACAGCAACAACACCAGGAAAAAAAGAAAACGGTGGTTAAGACACTGAGTCTCGAAGAGATTCACGTCTCAAGCTCCAGAAAATCTACTGGCCTAGGCCAGGACCAACACTATACCTACTCCTTATCAACCCCGGCGTTGGGGCTATCAAAAGGAGTGGTCTTAGTGTTGGTGTTAGTGTAAGTGATGGTGTGTTCCTTGGAACCATAGATTGAAGCTGAAAAGTTGCTGCTGTCAATTCCACAGCTGGAAGCGACTTGGTGGGTGGCCGCGCGCCGACTATTGCGGCTCAAGCCAGGAGGCGTATCTGCCATGGCGGGAGGCGAGTGTGGTGTTCTCGCTCTTCGTCAGCTATGTTGGGTGGTAAAATAGATTCAAGAAGGGCCGGACGCCGAGCGGTTCACTCCATCCAACGGTGAAATGAACGAAAAGCACGAGAGTGGTAGGAAGTCGAAGTTGTGAGCAATGACGGGAAGTGCGCGGTGTTTTGTTGACTTTGGCTGGACACGTGAGATAGGCCGGAAATGACATGATGCTCACCAGCCCCTGGCTATCAATGGACATGGTTGGCGGGCCGAGTTTCCTTGGCTTCTTGCCTGCCGGACCGCCAGGCACACGATCGGCAGGGTTCAGCGGCACCAAGGGAAGACAGGTGTATGTACCATGTACATAGTTAGTACTAGTGTATGTAAAAAAGGTGCAAAACTTCTCATTTAAACACAGCAACTTGCTCATCATCCACCCATTTTTGATGGAGTTGATAATGTCGCAGAATGGGTCAAAAGGCGGGAAGCGATGGGTCGTTTCGATCGAAAGTTCAGAAGAAACCTCCGGACATCCCCTCAAATGCCTTGCAGGTCAAACCACAACGTAGCGAACCCAGAATCCAGCGTTGCACCTTGCCCAAACGCCCAAAAAATTACATTACACAGATCTACGCAAACAGCTCCCGGGTATCTAATCCACTGTGATCCTTCTGCTGCCCGTCCTCAAGCCCTAGGTTCCTCCTCCGCGCCAGCGTGTCCCTCTGTTGCTCCATACGGGCCACATGCCGCCCAGCCTTCGCCCGCCGCAGGTCGGCACGCACCTGGTTCGGAGAAATGAACCGCTTGTTCTCGTAGATAATCGGCCCGCCGAACGCACCTTCCTGTATCACAATCGGCGTCAACACGAACCGCGGCCCAATCTCCACCAGGCTGACGTCTGTGTCCTTGTCGCCGACTCGACTCTTGTTGCGCGCCTTGCCACTGCCCTCGTCTTCGTCGTTGTTGTCGTCCCCCTTGACCTTCTCAACTTCCCGGACCTCGTAGTTGCGCACCCAGATCTTCCCGTCGGCCACGCTGAAACCCATGACATGGTCGATGAACGGCTTGGACTTGCGCGCGCCCTGCGGCACCCCAAAGATGTGGAGGAAGACCTCCTTGATGACGCGGAGATGCGGTTCGGAGTCGAAAGCGCCGTCGAAAGAGAGAATAGGCCTTGAGCCCTTAAGGCAGTTTCCTGTGAAGTGCAACTCCTCCATTGTGTGCACTGCAAGTCGTCGGGGTTAGTTCCGGGCCCCGCGCATCTTGGGCGTCAGCAGCGGGTTGGGGACTCACAATTTTGAGCGTGGAACTTGATCGTCGGCCCATTGGGCACCTTGCTAAACCACATGTATAGATCCTTCCCTTTCCTCGCCTCGAAGAACAACACGTTGTTGCAGTTGTAGAGCTCAGCCAACTCGTTCAGCTGGTACAGCTTGGATTTAGAATCGAACTTGACGTCTTTCCGCCCGTGGGGAAGCATCGAAGCCAGGTCATTGAGAAGATGCCGATGCCTACAATCCCAAGACAAGTTAGCCATGAATGCGCCAACGCGGGAATAAATGCATCCCGTGCGTACCTGTAGGTGACGCCTCGAGATGAGAGGATCAAGACCCTCTGCTTGTTTTTCCTCTCCACAGTGCCATTGGCTTCTGTTTTCCGTTCCGCCTTGGAGGAATTCTTCGACAAAGACTTGTATACCGCCGCCATCTTTCTGGTTAGTGTTTTCCCGTGTGTGGTTTAGGGGTAGACTCGTCGAAGGGAATGTTGCTTGGCGGGGCCGCAGATTGAAGATGGTACCCATCGCGACGCAGGTTCAAGGCCGAACAAAAAAAAGTTGCGAATGGCTGGACCGCTCCGCTTATCGATAAGCCTTATCGCACCCTTCCGTTTCCAGCAGGCGGTCACCCACCCACTTCCTGAACCTGAAACATTCCTATGTGAACTACCTATTTACGTAGTAATCAGAACGAGGAAAAATCCGACAAATTGAGAAGGTGTTGGGTGACCATTGGTGCCATCGCGGCCGTGGGGAAGGACACTGATGCAAAAACCACTCCGAAGTATTCGTAACCTGAACGAACGTCAGTAACCCAGGCAGCCTCGTATCACTCTAGGCGACAGCCCTTCCGGCAGCATGGAGCCCTGTAGGTTGTGTCGAACATGGCGCATTCCACTTGGGGGATGGTTCTCGTCGATGGGAGCTCGGTCCCCTCGTATCATGCTACGTCTAAATATGAGGTAATTACCCCAGGTCTATTCGGACTAGTCGCTTTGGAATCCGTACATCATGAGGATTCGAAAGCCCAATGCGAAAGTCCTGGCAACCCGCACGGACAACAAGACACAGAAAAATAAAAGACATGGACAGAAAAATAAAGAAAAAAAGTAGCGTTATCAATCCCCTCAAAATTCACCACCCCGAACGCGTCCCAAAGGTGCAGCAGATCCGTGTCCCCCATGGCCCCAAGAAGTTGCCCCCAAGTTTCATATCAGACATAAAGTGACGCCGTGTAATCGTGCCGGACTCTGGGTATCAACAGCAGCCCTTCTGCTCCTCCTTTGCCCCCTCTTGGCTAAGTGAAATGTTATTGCCTTCCCTCGGGTCAAACTTCTTGCCCACGTCCGCGCCCTCCTCCGCCAGGCTCTTGCTCGACACGATCTGGTAGATGGCTGTGATGGGCACGTGACGTTAGTTGAGTCGCAAGGGAGATGAAGGTATCACCAAGGAAAAGTGGGGGGTGGGGTGAGGGGGGTCGTACAAGTCAGGATGTTTTGGAAAGCGAGGTCGACGTTCGTCGCTTCGAGGGCCGAGGTCTCGATGAAGGAAAGCCCATTCTCGCCTGATGATTGAAATCTGTCAGCCTCTGTTTCAAACCAGTATTTATGGTGCCAGCCGCCGTGCGCCCTAGCGGCGCAGCACGGGCACCGGGAGAGGCGACACGTACTCGCAAAGTTCTTGCCATCGTCCGTCGGCACGGCACGCAGGTGCCGCTGATCGGTCTTGTTGCCCACGAGCATGATGACAATGTTGCTATCCGCATGGTCCCGGAGTTCCTTCAGCCACCGCGTCACGTTCTCAAACGAGAGGCTCTTGCTGATGTCGTAGACGAGCAACGCACCAACGGCACCACGGTAGTACGCCGAGGTGATGGCGCGGTACCGCTCCTGTCCCGCTGTATCCCAGATCTGCGCCTTGATCGTCTTGCTGTCGATCTGGATGGACCTAGTAGCAAACTCGACGCCGATGGTCGACTTGGAATCTAGGTTGAATTCATTGCGCGTGAATCGACTAAGCAAGTTGGACTTGCCGACGCCCGAGTCGCCGATAAGGACCACTATAGTGAGGAGAAGATAGTCGTTCTGTTAGTTGATGGGTTCCGCGCAATCGGCGTTGGGAAGGGAGAGGGAGGGAATAGGGTGAGGGAGGAGGGCGCATCGCATGTTGGGTCGGGGCTAGGCACCTTTGAACAGGAACTATTCCAACATCTCGAGTTAGCGCAAACGGTACTACGCAGCAAGGCCGCAGGGCAGGGGCTAGCAAGAAAATAAGGTGGCTTACATCGTACTCGTCGTTAGCCATGGCTGCAGTGGGAATTTATGCGTGATATGAAGCCGGATAGTCCCGTGAAATGGTGATGTGTTTGTGCTTTGTGCAGGCTGGTTGATGTCAGGAGAGACAGGAGAATGGTCGGTGCGGCTCGGGAGGTGGGTCGTTGGTTCAAGGAGTTGCTGCAGCTGACGACGAGTGGCGGTGCGAGGGACAGTACCAGGGAGTGGGGCCTTCCGGGCCTCTCTCTCCCTTCAACTCGGCCGAAAGCGGTTGCCAACCAACCAAAAATGGACACTAGAAGCGTGCAACGGATGGCAATACAGATAGTACAAGGGAGAATTTATCTAGGTGTATTAGGACTTCTCTACGTGATTTACAACCTAGCTAGAAGAGATGGAAAACGAAAGTTACCTCACTTTTCCAGGGCACGAGGCGTTCTTCACCGTAATTTGGTAGTTTTCAAACACTGGGCTGCAAGTTTCTGATTGGTTGTTTCCCATGCGCTAAACAGTCGTTAATCTGCAGTCGGGAAGGACCAGGCCTCTCTTGTTATTTATGAAACCCCGAATTCCCCAACCTAGCTTCCATTACAATTCGATCCATTTGTTGTGTTGTCCAGGACAGCGTACTGAAGTACACCACAGATCAGAACCCCGTGAGCCGAGAGACATCACTTTCAGAGGTCGGGAGTTGAACCTGAGCTGTGGAGCTTATTCGACCATTTGAATTTCTCAACTTGACAACCAGGCGGAATGATCAAACCGCCCAAGATATTATCGTGGGTCACACGTGTAGGCCCATGTCTTTGAGAGACGTCGACCAATTGAATTGTCTACCAACCTAAGTTTATTGGACCACAGCACAATATCGACCACCCGAACGACAAACAGTGACTATCCGGACCCGTCACCCACGGTCCGTTGATGCACTACCCCTCGCTCAAAATAGGCTCCTGAACTTGAAACTTTCTTCTTCTTTTGAATTCGGTCATCCGCTACTCCGGTCTAAAATACACGACATTCGTTTAATCCAGACAACCAACCCGCCGTCATGTTCAGATTCAACCCACGCGCCTCAAATGAAGCCTCCCCTGTAGATGGGGAGGTGAGCGACGACGATATATCCTTGACGTCCACGGTCAAAGATGAGGACCCCAACAAGGAATATGTCGTAGAGAATATTCGGGCCGAGTGGGAGGATAACAATCACAATATGTTTTACCTCGTAGAATGGACGGATTTCCCACTACATGAGAGCACCTGGGAGCCCGAGGCGGGCCTAGGTCCTGCCCTAAAAGCGAATTGGGAAGAAGATAAAAAGAGCTATGCGACGCCCGAGTTCCAGGATGCATGGGTCAAAAAACACCGGGACGCCCAAGTGGAGGCAGAAAAACAGCACAATGCCCGCCATCGTCGCCGGAATCGAAAGCGACGAAAGCTGGGCTTGCCGCTAACAAAACCCATCGACGACGAGTCGAGCGACGAAGCGGAGGAGGAAAACACAACCGAGATCGCGGGATCTGAGAAATATGCAGCCACCCCGGCCACTGCGCCAGCTGTTGGCAGTCAATCAATTGGGCCTGGGTCTGCAAGGCTACCGCCCCCTTTGGGGGCGCGAGGCAAAGAACCAACAGAGCCGCCCCAGATTAGGGCTGTTAATCGAGCGCAGCAAACGGCGGCCACCCAACCCACCGGTTATCAGGGGACAGGGAGGAGAACAAGCAAAACAAGCATCGATTCGCTATCAAAATCAATACCCGGGCCATCAACTTCTAATTCAAAGAGAGTGCCTGAATCTGGGCCGAAGCCCGCCCCTGAGAACCGTAGAGCTCTCACGGCCAAGAAAAGCACAATACAGCCAGCCGGGAATATTTTCACCGGCGGGAAGCAAACTAAGTCTCGGCCGAACCTTGCCATCGCCATGGCGGACACCAGCAGGGAGCCGAAGCTCTTTGAGAAACACCGTACACGTAGATTGGTGAGTTGAAAGAAAGTCCATCCAGAGTGGATTACAAATCACGCCCACCGGTGCTAAAGAAATAAGTATATGATCGCTAACGCAACGATTTAGGCAGAGTTACGAAGCCGTGGTAAAGAAGACATGGCTCCCGATATTTCTCAGCTAGACCTACTGGATCTCCGAAGCAAGCAAACCATCAACCGGCGAAGCTCGCGCGGTTCAGCCGCAAGCCCTACGGTAGTACAGTCTCCTCAACAAGAGCTACCCTCGCCCCTTGGACCCCCTCAGCCACGACCATCCGCTCTTTCCAGCGCAAGATCGACGCTCGTGGGTGAAGATGGAGCCCCTCAAGCAAAAAGGCGAAAGTCTGTCCGTTTCTTGGTCGACGTAGATCAACGCGATTTTGTTGAAGAGCCCGAACAGATGGACATCGATAGCCCTCCTGTCCGCCAGCGGCCAAGCTTGGAGATGGAGGGTTGGGCATTGCGGGCCCAGGGGAGCCAGAATTCAGACAAGAAGTTGGTTTGTGGCCGGCTCAGCCTCGAAGCAACGTTCTGCAAGCTTCCCCAGAGCGCACCGGGGCAGCGCGAATGGCTATCGACATTCCTAGCCAAAGAGAGCCTGGAATTTGGACACACTTGTTTTTCGGGCGCAACCTACGGCCAATTACAACCCCTAATCCAGGAGCGGCTGGCGAGCGGGATGATAATCCCCAAAACAGATGGGAATTCCTTTGATACGATGGCTGAGAACTTAGCCGCGGGTATGCTTGCCTTGTATCATGGTGATTCTGAGTACAGCATCTTGCTTTACCCGACAAAGAGCGATGAGTGGAAAACTATCCTACCCAACGTCGTCCCGGCCAGCCCTTCTGAAGCTGCACTAGGATACTACATCTTCTCTTCCCTCGATGAACCCAGGCTGATATTGCCGCCTCTCGGGCCAGCGCCGGCGCCCCAACCATTGCTAGCGCAAGTAAAGGGAGGGATTCAAGACAGCGCCGAATATCCGCCGCGAGATTCGGTGTTCAAGCAACTTTTTGGGTTTGAGTACGAAAAGATCCTTCCGGTAACCACGCGGAAAGAGCCTGCCGAGGAGCATTCTTTTTTCTTGGCCATCCCAGATTCGAGGAGGGAGATCAGCCAGGCTGTTTTCCACTGGCTCCGAGCCCGGAATCCGAAGTGTCGGGTCTTCACAAGCTCCAGGAATGGGGGGTGGAACGCATTCCGCTCCCAAGTTGAGACGACGCCCGGCGTGGTGATAATTCACGAACTGTTGGCGTGGAACATGCGCCGCATACCGGGTCTCTCAAAATTTCTCCTGACTCGGAACGACGAATACTGGTGTATCACAGAGCCCGTCCATGGCCTACCGCTCTATCCATCCATTCCGGAGCCCGGGCGCCTAGAGCCTCCAGGAGACACGCGGCTCACGCGACTGTTCCCGTACCGGACGGCTATTTTCCTCGCGCCGAGCTTTTTCGTTTCTGAGCCGCAGCGCTCGCTCGAGTTTCTCCGGTGGTTCATGGATAAATGGGTTGGGAAGTTTTACTACCGCCTGATCACGGCTTACAACATCCACGAATACCTAGCCGAGCTGGCGGAGGAGAGAGCAGATGCACGCCAGGAATTACAGGCGACGGCGGGGGGCGACTCAAAGCTGCTCAAGACTGAGGCCAACCTCCGCGGGCTTACTATGGAGGACTGCAGTAACAGATACAGAATCGCCGAATTGGCTCTGGACCTACATGTCACCCGCATAATGGAAGCTGGCCCCTTTGCGCACGACGAGGACAACAGCACGCTCGTATATGCCGACCCATCTATCGACCCCAACGACGAGCAGAGCCTGGTCAACTGGTTTGGCTGGTGGGCGACGTTGCGGGCTGACCAGTTCCGCAAGTTCCACGTCATCGGTTCGAACCGGACGATTAGCCAACATGGGTGCAGGAGAGGTGAGCGGCGTGTCCGCATTCCCAAATACACCACGGTCACGCTCAATGACCCCGATGCTGTCTTGGAGGTTCTCCAAGAGAGAAACGACCAGGTCGGGGCGTCGGAGGGAAACGGCAAAGCGGGAGACTTCGCGGTACAGGGGCCGCCAGATGGACATGGCAGGGCCGACTTCAATCAAGATGGACAATGGGTTTTCCGAAGCGAACTCATCTGGAAGGAGGAAAGCCAAGCATTTGAGGGTTACCTGGATCGTCTGAGCCGTCTCGACGGCAACAGGTACCAATGGAACTTGTTCAAGTTCCCCATCTCATGGTCGGACTCTGAGATGGCCGATCACTTTGGCGATTTCACGAGGAGATACTCGAGGATTCTAGACTGGTTCAAGTTCACCTTCCCCTTCGGCGGCCGTCCTCGAGATCCCGGTGGCCCAAAGTCACCCCCCGGCTACAACACCTACGCAGGGTTCTTTTATACGATTAACGATAGAGATTGGGACTCGCCAGAACCCGGATCGCCCAAGACAACGCCTCAGCGCCACCCCTGGATCGGGATCTACCGACCGGTCAACCCACATAGGAGGCCCTACTCACGATGCGAGGTCATCATCTGGGACCCCACGGCTAGGACTCGTTTTCCCAATGGAAAAGGCCCGGCTGAGAAGGACCTCATTTACATGCAACGCCAGCTGCTTCAGCACGTCCGCTACCACAGCGATGAGAAGAATCCCGGTACATGGCTGGACCAGGCTTGGTACGGCGGCTGGGACTGGCCGGCCGAGTGTGATGCCGGCAATCCCATTGATGTGACTCTGCAGTTCCTGGAAGCCTTGCTTAGTGATCTCCACCACTTCCTCCCGGCCCCAGATCACGTCATGGGATCGAAGGGCTGGAAGAAAATCGAGCTCGGCCCACCATTCGACCCTTCACCGGAACCCCCCAGCGTCCCCGATCCACAGCAATCCAGTATTAAACCATCCTACCGCCCCTCCATCCCACGCTCACCTGACGTGGCAAGCAACTCCGATTCCCTGTTTGTCGAGCAAGATCAAGGTGTACCGATGGACATCGACTCAGTCACCGAGATGGGCGATGGAAACGACCCTACTTCCCACGGCGGCCACGGCGCTTCCGACATCAACATGGAGGAAGCAGCCGAAGGCGATGACGAAGACGAAAACACCCGCATCATCTTCCACCCGCCACGCGGCCACACCCGAGACCGCTCCACAGCCGTCCGGTCCCGCTGTACCAACCGACTGTACGAAGCAGCCCGACTCGCCCGCGCCAACGGGGACAACCTCTCCCGGACCTGGCCAGGAGACGGGATTGGCGCAGGTGGGACCGGGATCTCGACAACGCACATGGACTACTCGTACCTACCGACGAAGGAGTGGTACCGCGAGCAGAAGGCGGAGGGGAGAGGGTTTGCGCATGTCAATGTGGATTCGTGGGAGGGGGTGTTTTCGGCGTTGAAGATTCCGGAGGAGAAGAGGGCTGGGAGTTCTGTGACGAGTGCTAGTGGGAGTGTGGATGGGAGGAGAGAGGAGTAGGGCCGGGGGTATTATTGGAAGGGAAGGGATGGAAAGTAGATGGCTGTAAGGGTCAAGAGGGATTACACTGGGATGTGAGTAGGGAGAGGGTGAGAGGTCTAGCTTTGGACGGGACTAGCTGAGAGAAGAGATCTTGTCGTAGCTGTGCGAGTTCGCTGTTGTATTTCTAGAGTTATGTTATTTAATATCTGATAAATGGCTATTAGACGTTGCCAATAACTATCAGCACATGGGCCTGTTTTTGTGACAGAATTCAACCTTGCTATTCCATCACATTGAAGGTGTAAACTTTCTACATGTTTTAACGTTTGTGGACCAAAATTCAGGTTTAAACTGGCCAATATCTCGACTCGAGTATAATCCGGGCCCCGTTAAGCTTTTACTCCGATCCCACGTCATATCACGGACAGCATACGAGTGGAGCACAGTGTAGAGCAAAATAGGTTGTTAAGAACCTGTCGTGATTTGGCCACTCAAATCATCATCAGAACTCTATTCTGAGCCCCGATTCCTTGTCCCGTCGCAGCTAAAATAGGATGCCAGACCTAACTTCCCCGGTGTCCAAGCCAGATCCGATCCACGACCAGAACTCCATTCTTCGGGAGAAACCCCAACTCAATAAGTCGCCCTTTTCGGAAAAGAAAAATCCCCCTAGTTCGTGACAGGGACGTTATAATACGCCGCCCACGGATCGTCCCGCCAATCAGTGATGACAGTGTGTTCGATGCTGCCGGAAATGGTCTTGACGAGGTTCTCGCCGTCGTCGTACTTTTGCCGGACAAATTCAAAGGTGAGGTCCATTCCGGCGGTGACCTGTTGTTTGGGTTAGTATTTTGGGTGTTGGAAGTGGGATTTGGGGGGGGAGGAAAGGGGGGCAGGGGATAGGGGGGAGGGAGAAGGGAAAAGGGAGAACATACACCTGAGGAGGACCAGACTTTGCCGTCTTCGACCCAGCGGGCGGGGGAGACCCTGTGACGAGAAAGTTAGTGTCTCTTTCAAGTTCATTTTTGCCAATCACGGCCACGATTTCAGAAAAGAGAGAAACATACCACTTCACATTCGGTCCCTTAGGCGTCATACTCGTCCAAGCCGCCTTATTCGTCGTCGCCCGATGTCCATCCAACACGCCCGCCTGCGCCGCAATCCCGGCCCCAGTGCAAATCGTCACAAAATACTGCAGCTCCGGGAACACCTCACGAAGATACTCAAACTCCGGCTCCAGGTCAGGGTTCCGCGCCGCCGCGCCGCCAGGGACGAAGAGGACGTCGAGTTGGGGCTTGTCGGCGTAGGTGTGGGTGGGCACGATGCGGGGGAAGAAGGTGGAGTTGAAGGGGTTCATGCCGGCGCTGACGGGGGCGGTGTCGACGGGGTCGAGGGTGCGGGCTAGGAGGACGAGCTCGAGGTGGGTTTTGCGGGAGACGGCTTGGAGGATGTCGAGGGGTCCGAAGACGTCGATGACGTCGAAGGAGCGCGGGAGGAGGAAGCCTATGCGCCGCGGGTTGCGGGGGAGGGGTTCATCATCGCCGGGGGTGCTCGCGGACCGGGTGGAGGGGATCACGCCGGCGAGGGTCGGGGTGATGAGCAAGAGGAGGGCGAGGGCTTTTGTGAAGAGCCTGGTGCTCAGGGTTGTGGAGATCATCTTGATGGTGTTGATATTGGGTTTGGAGTTGCGAATTGGTTTTTGTAGGTTGTTGGCGAGGGGAAGTTGTGGTTGTGGGAAGAAAAAGCTCTTCTAAATGGAATTTCTCGATGTGGGCGAGAAGAGAATTCAGGGGTGTAAACAAAGGAATTGTTGTTCCTCTCAACAGCCCACAAAGGATGTTGATCTTGGGATGAAGACGAGGGAACAATGGAGATCTCAGAACAGGCAAACTGTTCACTATTTCTACTCATCACAAACCTCGAGGCAACCGTCTTGTCTCCTCCTCCTTTTCTTTTCCGAGGTGGTTCGGACTCGACGTCCCTTCGAAGGGAGTCACAAGGGGCATCACGAATCACCACCCAACCCCGAAGCATCACCAACGGAAGCACCTCGCCCGCGGCACCGAAGCGGGTGTTTTCCAGGAATGTATGGCACCCAGCGGCGGCGACGATGGCCATCACAGACAAAATCTTCGCCCCTGTCTTACCCTGCAGCAAACGCGCGCAACGGGGAGCAGGTGTGCATTGGCAGCGCTCGGAGTTTAGTAGACGCGCCGAGATGCACCCCGTCAGCGAAATGTGCGCATTCCATTCGATTTATACAGGAAGAAATCCTCTCCGCGGAGCCGCTTGGTTGGTCGTTTGTAGTGTGAACGAACTCAAAACCCCTGGCGGTTCATTCCGAACGCATCAAGTTGGGAACGGTAGATGGAGAGGAGACATGCAAGCCAACCATTGGTGTGTGCTGGAGCACGAATGAGCACATTTTTTACCCACTCTGGCGCCCTCCCGCCTCCAAGAGGCACGAGCATGCCACCTGACAAGCCTGCCAAGAAAGGGGTCAGAGAGCGATACGCAGTGGGTTTGCGGTTATTCCAGGGGGCGATTGGGGCGCGAAAAGGGAGGCTTGAAACGGTGTTTGGCGTCTGCCCAACTACACTTCTTGGCGGGGAACTCTGGGGGATATGCATGCGGAATCCGGGAAACGGCATACAATAAAATGCGCTACGCCGGAAGAATGAAGAGAAGAAAAAAGATCCTAAGTAAAGAGCAGAAAACTGGAATTTTCTATAAAGCGTTTACACCTCTCGGGCGGCGAGTCATGTACAAAGTGCGACTGGAGGGTCGCTACTTCCACCTCTAAGTTCACTGCCGTCTAGCTTGGAAGCTGCCTAGGAAATGAATCCTAAGGGAAGAGGAAGGAACGGCATAGCAGGCAACTGAAGAATCCTTGGTCACTAGGCATGTGGGCTGGAGGGGTTAACTAAACAGAGGGCTCTGGAACAGAGAAAAGAAGACTAAATATGTGCGATAAGAGAGAGCTGCTGTTCATCTCTTATCTTTCTTTATCCCCTCGACCCCTCCAAAAGGCACCCGGGATGATGTCACGGCAAAGAAAATCACCCCCACACGGAACGGCCCCTCAAAATGGGGAACGGATCCCAAGGACCCCTCCTATGTTCCTGTGGAGATGCCCTTGGGAAACCGGAGGAGTCGGATTTGAGCGGCTTTCAAAATCAACACAGTGAAAAAAAATATTTTGAGATTTTTACATCTCTGCGGAAATATCAGGCCTTGACTCATCGACATCAAGGGGTTATATTGTGATCTTTTTTGTTATTTACAAGCTTCGAACTATCAAAATGTCCGGTGTCACTCACTCCCACGACGGCGTGCACTCGCACTCGCACTCACACGACCAGTTCAACCCCGCCGAACACGGCCACAGCCATGAGATCCTCGACGGGCCGGGAAGCTACCTAGGCAGGGAGATGCCCATTGTGGAGGGCCGTGTCTGGGCTGACCGGGCATTCACCATTGGAATTGGCGGGTATGTTCTTTGATATCTTCTAGGACGGGAGTCCCATCGTATGGGGCTTGTATGCCCCCTTTGCTTTCCCCTGGTTATTTTGCCCCTGCTCGCTCACCTCATACCCCTCAAAACCCTCACACCCCCTTACTATGTACAACATAAACATGCTCATCCCGTCCCCACTTCTCTTCTCGGTTTCCGACCCCTATCTCCGGTAAACAAGCTTGTCAACTCCCCAGCAGGAACTAACCCATCATACCTCTTAGCCCCGTCGGATCCGGTAAAACGGCCCTGATGCTAGCCCTCTCCCGCATCCTACGCACCTCCTACTCCGTCGCAGCCGTCACCAACGACATCTTCACGCGCGAAGACGCCGAGTTCCTAACCCGGCACCGGGCGCTCCCCACCGAGCGCATCCGCGCCATCGAAACCGGCGGCTGCCCACACGCCGCCGTGCGCGAGGACATCTCCGCCAACCTGGCGGCCCTCGAGGACCTGCACGCCCGCTTTGCAACCGACCTGTTACTGATCGAGTCCGGCGGGGATAACCTCGCGGCGAACTACTCGCGTGAGCTGGCGGATTTTATTATTTATGTCATTGATGTCAGTGGTGGTGACAAGGTCCCGCGGAAGGGTGGGCCGGGGATCACGCAGAGTGATTTGTTGGTGGTGAATAAGACGGATCTGGCGGAGGCGGTGGGGGCTGACTTGGGGGTGATGGAACGGGATGCGCGCAAGATGCGTGAGGGCGGGCCGACGGTGTTTGCACAGGTTAAGAAGGGAGTGGGCGTTGAGCATATTGTGAATCTGATTCTGAGCGCGTGGAGAGCGAGTGGCGCAGAGGAGCAGAGAAGGGAGGTGGGAGGGCCGAAGCCGACAGAAGGGCTGGAAGGGTTGGAAGATACTACTGCGTAAGTCCCTGAGTGATCGATCTAATCAAAGGACCGAGGTAAGGCTGCAGGTATAGTGACACAACGGAGCAATATTCAGCCAATGCTGCGTTTAAATCAAGGTGTAAACAGAGACAAAACAGTGATATATTTTTCGTGACCCTTGAACGCCCGTCGTAAGCCCTTCCCAAAGACACAACCATACCATCTCTATGAACCAGCCTATTCCATATCCGCATCCATCGCATCACCGCCCTCTTGCACCGCCGGCACCAGCGCAGGGTCCAGCAACAACCCCTCCAACGGCCTCGCATTCCGAGGCCACACCCGCTTATACAAACTCACCCCGATCGAGTCCTGTGGGTTGATCCGCCCATCAAACGTCGCCTTAAAGTACCCATGCGTACCGAGTGCTTCCTTGAAGTACCCGCTGCGCCCCCGCCGCGTCCACAACGGAAGTGCCTTGAACCACTCCACATCCTCACGGTTGAAGAACATGTACCGGATCGTGACAATCTTCTTGTGGATGTGGTACGGATGACCCGTGAGAATAGCCCGCTTGGCGATCACGCGTGTGGTGGAGGGCGGGAGCGTCGTGCCCGTTGCCACGAGTGTCAGGGGAAGGGCGGGGCCTTCTTGTTCGCCGTCTTCGCCTTCCATGGCATCGTGGTGGTCGCCGGGGACGGTGCGCTTGAAGAAGAGAACGGGGATGGAACCCCAGGTGATGGGGCCCATGAAGGTCGCGACGGCTGATTGGCCTGGGTGTAGGTACCGAGCGTATTTGTGTACGTCGTTGGGTGTGGAACCGCCTTGGGAGAATAAGGGGTTGATTACGAATCGCCTGGGACCGTACTGGACGATGAGCTCTTCCTTAGCCTTGATGGAGACCGGATGGTCCGAGCTGAGGTTGATTAGGACGTTGACGGCTGTCCGCTTCTGCTCGTGCCGCAGAAGTGAGAAGAGGGTGATTGGTCGGGTGGGGTCGTACGTCTTTTGGATCGAGACAGGCACGTTCTTGATGTAAACGTGTACTCGAGTCCCAGGGGCTACTCCGCCCACCAGAGCCTCGCGAGCTAACCGGTTCCGAGATCCTTGATAATCGGGTACCCGTAGTAGCCGCTGCCACTCTTCCGGCTCATACGCCCGGTCCTCGTTCTCCATCCATGGGCTCGACCTCAGGCTCTTTAACCCGCGGTACTTGGCGAGCCGCTCCCGGGCTAGGACGCCAGGGTGAAGCTCGATTTCATCCGGGAACTCCAGGTCATCCTCGGCTTCTGTCCTCTTGTTTTTCCGGAAGGCTTCAAGCGCCATGGCGTCCTCCTCCTCGTTTGGCTCAATGAAAGCCACAGATTGGGGGTACTCGGATGGCCCACCTTCCGTCATCGCATCTCCTGCTAGTCCCTCCATTCCATCCTCAGGTCGCACATCATCCTCCTCTTCCTCAACATCGCCCATATCTTCGTCCTCCAACTCGGAACCGGAATCCGAGACGTCCCCGTCATCCAAAAACCACGCCGCCTGGTACTTGGAGGTCCCCTTCGGCACCCGCTTCGGCATCTGCAATTCCTGAACTTGGTCGTCGTCGGAAAAATAGTGGTGCTCGTCTAACAAAACACCCTTCTTAGATGTCGTCACATTAGTCGCAGCGTCCATATCTTCATCGTCGTCCTCCATAGCGGCCGCTTCTTCAGGCGCAAGGTCGTCAAGGCCATCGCGCTCGTCGGTTGGCTCGAGGAGCGTTTGTTCCTCCGCGTTGTCGTCCTCCATCGCATCTTCCGCCCTCTTTTTCCGTGTCGCAAGGGGCGCCGCAGTAATCCTCTCGATCTGGAATGTGCCCCAGTCTCCCACTTGCACCAACCGATCGGCATTCAAGCCCTTGCCCCTAACCACACCCGTCAAAACGGTCGGCGCCATTCCTGACCTTGCCCACTCCACATCCTCCACCAGCATCCAGCTCCGTTCATCCCTCCACCGAACTCCCTTGGGCGTGGTGCTGCATAATGACCGCATCAAGTTGGAGCACTCTTGTCGGTTGTCCAGGTTGTAAATCTTCTCCTGCTCGGGGTGGAAGTGGGTGATGAACGACTTAAGCGAAGCCACCACAGAGAGCCGTTGTTTAACAGCCTCAATCCTGTCCAAGCCTTGGACGGTGGTGAAGAGCGTCGACATTCCCTGGCTCTCGATGCTCCTGAGAATCAATTCTCCCAGCGCATCGACCTCGACTTCCCCAGAGAGCACAAGTACGATGAAGTCGGCCGTCCGAGCAGCATCCAGGCACGCCGTGAGATCCCTCTTGAGGGGAATGTACTGTAGCTTCTGCTTGAACCTGTCGACCGGGACGCGGAAACAGGTATCGTGCACCTCGGCTTCGATGTCGAGGCTCCCGTTTAGGCTCTGGATGGCGGCCGCGGCATCGGTGTCGGCGCAAAGGGGGATGACGGCGACGTGTCGTGGGGCGCCATCTTTCCCGGCAAAAACGGACGTCTCCTTCAGATGTTCTCGGGCCTTCTCCAGCTGCCGCTGCTTGGCCTGGTTTCGACGGTCGAGTTTCGACATAACTTGTTGGTGGGGGGTTTTGCGCTGTCCCTTTTCGCCCGCAATTCGCCCTAATTAAGGGAGTTAGCAGTTGCGTAAAACAGGAGAACCAACAATTCGTCGTCCTCGTCGTTTTGTCCCTGTTTTGTACTGCCTATCCGCGAACAAAGCGCTTTCTGAAATCGGCGTGAGTCATACCTTTTGCGGCATCACGCAGCTGACCCTTGGTGGATTTCCGGGATTTGAATGCCTTGTGCGACACCTTGGTCGTGGCCCGGTGGGAGTGATTCCCTGCGACTGCGCCTGGCATTTTCCCGTCGCCGCCGGCTTTGAAACGGTAGGGTAGAGACGCCACTTTTATGGTAAGAAAGGCCAGGAAAAGGGACCGAAAATGGGCGAAAAATAGAAGGTATGTACAACCAACACCTCAAGATGGGAAGATAAATCTAATGGTGGAGGGGGGTCATGGCGGGGCAGCGCTGCCATTTTTCGATCTTTGTGTGCCATATCTTATCGGACGACATGCGTTGTGCGGCCAATCAGAACTGCAGCCTTGAACTTTTTAGCGGGCCCGGCTCAGAAATGTCAGACGCAGGCCGCTGAAGGCTGCTCGATCCAAACGATCTTCTGTTTACTGCCATCTTCAATTGAAGCAACCCAGATGGACACCATTGATACCGTCGACGCCCCCCTTACAAGGGTCGCGCAGCCCAACGGAGCTCTCACCGTTAAGAATGCGCGCACAGAGTTCCGTTCCAAGGCGGAGCTGGAACGCATTCGCCGGCAACGACAGGCGCAAAAAGCGTACGGCCGCGGTCGCCAAATCGATGTCAAGAGCGTCCGCGACAAGAAACTACGACGAAACCTGACGAACCTCGAGACGAAATACAAGACGGCGGCTCTGAAATCGAAGGAGGCTGAGATCTTGCTCGAAAACACGTCGGGATTCCTCGAAGCCGAGACCGAACTCGAACGCACCTATCGGGTTCGCCAGGACGACATCCAGAAGGAGGTTGGCATTGATGTCGCGCAAAAGAAGTTTGAACTTAAACTTGAAGGACTGGGTCCGTATGTGTGTGAATACAGCAGAAATGGTCGCGATCTGATCCTGGCGGGGAGGAAAGGCCATGTCGCGACGATGGACTGGCGGGAAGGGAAGCTTGGGTGCGAGCTGCAGCTGGGTGAGACGATTCGAGACGCCCGATTTCTTCATAACAACCAATTCTTTGCTGTGGCACAGAAAAAATACGTCTACATCTATGACTCGAGTGGTGTCGAGCTCCACTGCATGAAGAAGCACGTGGAGGTCTCACATATGGAGTTCCTCCCGTACCATTTCTTGTTAGCGACGTTGGTAAGTGTCCGAAAAGCTAGCTGCTTCTGAGCAACGGCAACTAACGTTTCACAAGAGCATCAACGGCTACTTGAAGTACCAAGACACCTCGACCGGCCAAATAGTAACCGAGATCCCGACCAAGCTCGGAACACCCGTCTCTCTCACACAAAACCCCCACAACGCCATTCTCCATGTTGGGCAACAAAACGGCACCGTCACATTATGGTCTCCCAACTCATCAGAACCCCTTGTCAAACTCCTTGCGCATAGGGGGCCGGTACGATCGCTAGCTGTCGACCGAGAAGGGCGATACATGGTGTCAGCGGGACAGGACAACCGGATGGCGATTTGGGATATTCGCAACTTCAAGGAGGCCGTCTCCAGCTACTTCACAAGATCGCCAGCGACATCCCTCGCAATATCTGATACAGGGCTCACCGCCGTTGGGTGGGGGACCAAAACAACAGTCTGGAAGGGCCTGTTCTCGAAGGAAAGGGCAGTGCAAGAAAAGGTGCAAAGCCCATACATGACGTGGGGCGGCGAGGGACAGGCCATCGAAAGGGTTCGGTGGTGTCCGTATGAAGACGTTCTCGGCCTAGGGCACACCGAGGGGTTCTCATCTCTCATCATCCCCGGCGCCGGCGAAGCCAACTATGACGCGTTGGAAGTGAACCCCTTCGAGACCAAGAAGCAGCGGCAAGAGGGTGAAGTCAAGGGCCTGCTCAACAAGCTCCAGCCGGAGATGATTGCTCTGGATCCCAACTACATCGGAAATCTGGATCTGCGGTCCGAGGAGCAGCGCAAGGCCGACCGTGACCTAGACTCGCCGGCGGTGGATGTCGTCGAGGAGATGCGAAACAGGGCCCGCGGCAAGAATGGCGCGCTCAAGAAATACCTGCGTAAGCAGCGTAAGAAGAACATCATTGATGAGAAGCGGCTCAAGGCGGAGGAGATGTACAAGGAGATGCAGGAGAAGAAAGACGAACGACACAAAGAACGAAAGGCTGAACTAGGGCCGACATTGGCACGCTTTGCCAAGTCATAGTTGCAGTGTTTCAAGCGGGCGAGAATGACAAATACAAATACCTTAATGCAGTTGAGTTGTACTGTCCCTGAGTGACCGACTACTTTTAATAAAAAAGTGAATGACAATCTACAATGCAAAAAGCTCAACACCGAGCGTTATCCCCATCCGGAAGGATAACGGTCGGTGGTTACGAAAAGCCCACCGGGGGGGCTTTTTCTTCGCTGGTCCCGGGAATCGAACCCGGGACCATTTCGATTTACGACGGTAGTGGCGCGCCCAGACCTACTCTCAATGCCGCTGAGCCAATCCACCGGTGTGTCGTGCTCAATTGGGAGGGTCGGTGACAGTGCTTGGGAAATTGAACATATATGGTGCCTGCCAGGAAGGAGCGCAAGTTTCTAGGGTGGTCCGGTCTGTGAGATAGCCTAGATGCCTTTGGCTGCCCCTTATGATGTCAAGTATCTAACTTTCCGTGGCCCATTCCCTGCTACGGTGCCTTCAGTAGTCCTGCTCTCTTTTGATGTTGGAATTGATTCAAACTCGGGGTTCGATAAACAACTTCTAGGGTTCACCGACACCGCTCATAGAACCATTTTAAGGGTTGCTACCTCCGCCGCCAGGTACCTACCGGATCGATGGGCAACATTCTCTCCCAAATTGTTGGGTTGCTTGAACCACGCAAGACAGCGGCACCTCAAAAAGAAGATTGTAACATGGCAACCAAAGCGGTACCACGGAGCACACCGAAAGACAAACCACATTGAAACCGTTAATATATAAAATGCCACGCCGTCTATTGCCCTCCGCCCAGTTACCGCTATGCCGTTCACGATGCTATAATCCACACACTTATATTAGAACATGACATCCCCTTCCCTATCTTCTCACAAGAGCTTCAAATGACCCGTAATCTGATCCACCAAACTCTTAGGCGCCGGCCCTACGCCCAACACCGTCCGGCTGCCCGCCGCGATCTGGGTCCGCCCGGCATCTGTAATGACCTCCGCCGTCACGCCCAAACTCCGCGCGCGACCCATCAGCTCGAGCAACTCGTCCTCGCCCTTGATCTGTACCGCAACCTTAGCCTGGCCGCGGCGGTCCCACTGGCGTAGGAGTTGGGCTTCGGAGGACTGTGGGGATGTTTGGGCGGCGCGGAGGAGGGTCTTGTAGCATGCGAGAGTCGCGTGGGAAGCTTGCGCTGCCATCTTGCCTGTATTCAAGAGAGACAAAGGTCAGTTAGCGTCGGTGGAACAATGAAAAGAGGGGAGAGAGTAGGTAGGCTCCGTAGAGCTGCGACTAGAGCCAGAGAAGAAAACGCACCCTTATTCATCCCCAAATCCGTCCTCACCACCAACACCAATTTACACTCTTCATTCGTATCAATCTTTACCCCAGGCTTCAAACCCGACGACGACGCAGCGCCAGCCCCCTGTCTCAGCCCCTGCTTGCGATCCGCGTCTACTCCATTCGACCAGTTCGGCGCATGGTCCAGCAGTGTCTGTTCCTCGTCAATGTCTGACTCCTCGCTCTCGACGGGATCGTTCAAGTTGCCGTGGCGCTCGGCGGCAAGTTCGGGCGAGACGATGGACCCGCGCAGGGCGTAGATTCCGAGGCCGAAGCCGGAGAGGAAAGATACGAGGCTGGTGGTCACGACGAGCGCGGAGGTGGGGTCGGAGAGGAGACCCATGGTACGAGTGGGTTGCTGGTTCGTTGGTGGTGTTGCGGTTGCTGTTGCTGTTGCTGTTGCTGAGGTCGTGTGCTTCTTTGGGATGCTGAGATGTTGATCGAAAGGAACGGGTGTGAAAAAGTGTCGGGTCGATCGGATGGGTATAAAACGGTCAATTGATCTTAGCGAGGGATGAGATCGCGGTAGGTAGCGTTTACCGCGTGATATCTGCGGAGTGTCGAGTTTCGAAGGTGTTGCTGCGGATGGTGCTGAAGTTGGAGGAGATGCCCTTCTCAGCAGTCGAGTGATTGTTGGTGTGAGCTCCAAACGGACCCACATTTGCTTCACTCGGATGGCAGCCACAGAAGATGGTGATGGCGGTCGCTCACTCAGCAACAGCTACCGTAACCTCAAACAGCAGTACGACAAGTCAAGTGTTGCTTGAGAGAATGCAGCAATTTCCATAGATATCCCCGACTAACTTTGCACTGGGAACCCTGGCGTTCCTTCATGGAGGGAAAGTGACCGTTTTGTCTCATTGGGGCAAAATATCTTGGCACGTCTCCTCTCTTCGTATGTAAATCGGTTAAAAATGTAGATATTAATACTTGGACGAAGAGAGTATTTAATTCTTGGGACGGCCCATTATCAAGGGTGATGTGGGGTTCAAGAGCAAGGAGGAGCTTGAAGGCAGTACTACTACGAAATGATCATGGCAACAGACACACAGCATAGCACTCCATAAAACAGCAGTTCAGGGCGTTGGCCAGGCCAAAGAAGCCCCTCCCTCTACTACACAAGTCTTACCTGAATTCGACAACTAAGCCCACGCCGTGTCAGTACAGACCCAAAAACTTGCGTGTATTGATAGAAGGTAGAAGGAGGGTGTAAGCACCTTTGCGTCCATTTCTTCGACGATATTGCCCAACCTGGAACTCAGATGCTTAGTCCAATCCACAAATCCCATCTCCCCTAAGCCAACCGCACGCCCGCTTCCCTCCTCTTCTTCGTTTGATGCGACGCCGCCGAGCTCATGCCCACATTTTGACTGGCATCCAACATACTCTGCGCCATCCGCCGCTTTTCCTCTGCCAGCTTCTTGAGCCGCTTATCTGTCTTGCCCTTGCCACTTCCCTTGCCATGGAACTGATGTGAGAGCTCCTTGAAAGCCTCCTTAGCGTCCAGACTCCGGCCGTCGCTATCAACATACTTGAGCTCCACCTCTGGTCGGTACTCCTCGCGGAACAGCTGGTCCATGATGCGCGACTGGTGCTGGTCGCGCAGCGTGTTCTGTTGCCGCTGCCAGTCCTCGCGTTCGCGAGCCGACATGCGCTCGAGACGGCCGCTGGTGCGGTCGCGCTCACGCTGGGCGCGGGTGTCCTGGTCGAAGAGATCCATGCGGCGTTGCAGCTCGTTGAGGAAACGCTGGCGCTGACGGAACTTCTCGTTGACCTCGGCGCCCTTGCCTTCATCAATGAGGTGGCGGTCGCGCAGCAAGGCGAGTGTGGCGCCCATACCTTGCCCAACCGTCTTTTCCTCTTCGACGCCGTTGGCGGTGGGGTCTTCCCGGTGGGGTGTACCGTCGCGTGGGGGCGAGGGGTGGTCGGCATCGTGCATCTCTTCGTCCTCGGAGCTTTCGTCTTGTTGCATAGCTGTGACACCCGCCGGTTCTTCGGACCGAGGCTTGCGGACTTTGCGGTCCTCTTCCTGCTCTGCGCGTAGCCCGTCGACAAACCGACTAATCTCGTCCATCACAATCCCCTTTTGCTCCTGTTCATCTCCGTCTTGGTTTTCCGTCGATTCTCGAAGCTGCCTTGCGATATCTTCAGGCCTGGTCTTCTTTCGCTTCTTGAGCGCCTCTCTCCTCTGGAGCGCCAGTGTTGACTGCAGATCCTCATCATCCACGAAGCTGTCGTCCACAATCTTCCGTTTCTTGGTAAAAGCTGCAGCACCCGAGTCAATATCCATGTCTTGCTCCGGCTCATCACCGCCGGTTGGCTCCCCGCCGAATAGGACATCATCGTCGTCTGCTCGGCGCCGCCTCGTTGATTTCGACTTCTTCTTTTTCAACTTCTTGACCTTGACCTCTGAGACATCGAGATAGTCCGATACTGGTGCCGGCGCATCCTCTGTGGGTTGGGTCAGTACGTTTACGGCTTCTCGGGCCATGTTCCTAGGATACTCACCCAGCTCACCAAGGTCCACGACTTGGTGTTTCCTCTTCTGAACCGGCGCCGCCAGAATATCAGCTAGTTCCGTCGTCGTCGCAGCCGAATTCAATGTGAAGGTTTTCTGCTTCTTCCCATAGATTTCCTCGTCGTACTTCGACAACACCCCAATCTCGCCCGTCTCGTCAATGTCGTTGGGATCGTACACCGGGTTCTTCTTCTTGAGGTCCAGTCGTTCCCGCAGCTTCTCCTGCTCGCGTAGGGACACGTTCTCAAGCTGATCCCCCTCATCTTCATTCTCCAGCACGCCTGTGTCCTTGAGCGTCAAGACCTGATCGTCACCGTCGAGAAAAGCGGTCATGTCGTGGGCAACCTTGACGCCGGCCAAGTCGGCCGCCGTGTGCTCGGCGTTCTCGGCCGCTTCCTCAGCAGCCTTATCTGCCGCTGTTTTTCGCGCCGCATCAATCTTCTTCTGGCGCTTCTTCTGGTTCTTCAGCCACGACTTAACATCGGTTTCATCCTCGTCGTCGTCAGCTAGCCCCTTGCCGTCGAGAATAGCGTTGCGCTGGGCCATTTCGCGCGCCTTCTTGATGGCGGCCGCTTTCGCTTCTCGTTTCCTCTTCGCTTCCTCTGCCGCTTGAGCCTTTTGAAAATTGTCGTAGGCCGCGGCCTCGCGCGTGTCGAAGGTGCTGACTGGTTTGCCATCGTCGCCGAGTTCGATTTCGGTTGTTTCCTTGGGTGGTGGCGCGGCTCCCGGGACTGGTAAGGGCTTCATGCCCATGGCCAGCCGGACCTTGTTGATCTCTTCAATCGATGCGGCGTCCATTTTGATGGGTTGTGCCGCACAATGTTGAGCTAAGCGGGAGTGGGTGTCTGACTGTGGAATGGACCTGAAGTTGACGCGAACTGGATAACATGGCGCCGATGAGAGGCTGCAGCGCTGGGTGATCCAACCGATAAGATAAGCCTTGGACCCACACTGCAAGGCTACCAGCCCCACTTCCAGAAATTTTCGGGCAGGTATTTAGCAAAAGATTTTGGGAGCTTCTTCCTCTTCCTTTTCTTTTCCTTTCCTCACGGTCCTGTGCTCAGCGATCCTCTGCCACTCTGGTCAGGGTCGATTGCTGCGGCAGTTCGGTGAGCCAAGGAGCCATCTAGTTCTTCCATGATGTCAATTTCCACCCGACAGGTCCCAGATCGATTGAGCTCTGAGGAACCTCGTTCGCTGTCAAAGGTTTGAGCGGGGGGAGCCAGAGTTTCAAGACGCTATATTCCAAACCGTTCGCTAAGACCGTCGGTCTATGAGGCTGGGGAAAACCATGGCGCGTCCTACATATTTTCATACGATTTCCAAGTTCTGTTTAGCTTTTGCGCGTCGGTCGATGCCGAGAGATGTTCGACCGATTTGGACGAATGTCTTCATGCGCCATGTCGGGTTCGACGAGGATGACCGGTTTGATGGCAACCTAGAGCATTTACGCGATGACATCCACTCCGCAGATCTAGCGAAGCTCCAACTATTCCTGAATGAGGTGAGTGTCGCACCGTCCGATGAAATCATTATCGTCAACGCTGCCGAGGGCGCCTTCGCGTCTGAGGGGGTGGTTGACCACTTTGAAGATCACCCTGTAGAAGAAGACAGGATAGGGCCCAACCGCGCGTGCATGCAAAGCGATCGATTTCTCAACCCCATACCGGCCGAAAGAACACATACCATGGTGGGTAGCCAAGTGCTTCCCCTCGACGCTGAGACGCGAGAAAACGCTCCTGGACACCAAAACGGGCCAGTTGAAAGCAAAAGACCTCCTGGAGACCAGAATGGGCCAGCTGAGGCTCCGTGGACCGAATCGGCCCGGACTTAAATCCCGTAGATCCAAAATGGCACGGGTGGTCCGGCGTATGACGCCTTGGATCTGGAAGGATACTTCCTCTCACCACTGAAGACTCCGCTAGATCGGGTCCTGTGAATCACGTGGAACAAAACCACAAAGTCAATGTCAGCTACAACATCTGGCGCGTGAAGTGACTTAGACCAAGGCATCGTTGCGGCGTTCTTTGGCTCACTCCCTGCGGGAGATGACAGATGCGGCGCACCTTATGATCTTGGCCAGCTCGACGTGGGATACTGGCCGCGTTCAGCTGCTCATCTGCGCTGTGTCCTTCTCCTGCATAGTCAGCGAGAAGGCCGGCGGCATGGAAATATCAAAGGTGCCGAACGTGTCGAATGCTTTGCTGCCATGTTGTCCTAGTCTAGTTAATAGGCAGCGAAATACAAACGAAGACTCCGCACGCTACATTGGAGCATGCACTCCGGAGTCATCTGATGATCACGGCTCCCCAGTTTGCTCCATGTCGAGTTCACTTCACTCTACGCCATGGTCCCTTCACTGATTGATTTAGCCACTCCTGTTACCGGGCCTTCCTAAGGTAACTCGCTAATAACTAAATATAGTACTCTCCAGATCCCCTGGGCTAGAGGTATGGACGCATTGCCCCATGTATCGAAGATATTGCATCCGTCAATCCTTTCGGTAGGAAAGATGGGAACCAAGTCAAAAAGCTCACCTCCCACAAATGGGCGGCTACGAAAACCCGCGTACAGGTTTTACTTAGCGATGCCCTGGGGTTCGAACCCTATGGGCGAGTATTCGTGATGTGCTACCTAGTCGACGCCCACTGCCCCCCCAAATGTCCCATCCGAAAAGTTTGGAGGCAACGGAAAGCGGTGCGAAATTCAGGCCCAGGACCCCGATCAAGTCTACCATGTACATACATGTATTCGTACAATCTCTTCGACATGTGATCCGATCGGGTCATAATCCTAGCGCCCCTGGGACTCGGCGCAAGCTTCCATTTTAGCTCACGCTCTGGAGTTCTCAATGGCCCGGCTGTTGATGCATATCGGTAGTGAAAGGACCCCAATTCCCCAAGCGCCCCCAACGGCCCGATTCTCAATGCGCACTTGATGCTCAACGACACATTTGGCAGGTGGGATACACTTCTGCTCTTCCCTTTCTGACCCCTTTTTCGGAAAGAATTTCTTGGAACCGGCACCGGCATTTCCCCAGTTTCTCCATTCTACTCGTCAGCCCGCGCCGGCTCTAAAAGCACGCGGCATGCTGCTTCAGGCCATGCCTTGAAGATGATAGGCTAGTTCTTTTCGGATGGTCCCAGAGGGATGCGAACCACCCCCTTGTCATTTTATTTTTCAACGTGAGTTTTGCGCTTGATTCGTCCTTTTCCAGAAGGTTATCTACCTTCACCAGCAACACTCGCGCCTCGTCGCCCTTGGGATTTGTTTCACAGTTTAAACTCATGAAATAGTGTACTCGCCGTCGTTGGAGAAGTCAATACGTGAGTGTCTGGCTTCAGCAATTGAACGATCGCTTCCCCATGCATTCTCCGCACTTCCCCCGCACTGCAAGTCGCTGCAGCTTCGGAATGGTCTGGGGAATGAGCTGAAATGCTGTGGGTTTAGTGTAGATGCCGGCCCGGTAGCAACCCTACCGTGACGTCGTCAAGCCGCGCGACGGCAACACATCGGTGCTTTTTTCTCCCTAAGGACCCTTGGAAGCCCTCGCTTCACGCCGCAGTGCCGGCACGTCCACCTATCAAGACGATCGTCGCGTTCCGCTACCCTTGCACTTCCCAGTGGCTGGCCTGGAATCGTGGAACAAGCCGCCAGTAACCCGGTATCACATCATCACAAGGTGGGGCTCTGAGAGATCAGCATTGCACCAGGGCATCGGAGCCGCGTAGAATTTAACTAGTATAGTGCACGGAGAAGCACCTTGGCACCGAACCCCAATGCACCGTTGAGAGCATCTCGGCCCAGGCCCCGCATGCATCGCGTCTTCCGCGTGGAGTGCGATCGAGGGCCCTGGCTTTCCCGTGGGGAAGTGTCTCACTGACGACGGGGGCCCTGAGGCGCCAGCCGGGCCGTGAGGGTGAGTGCGAAGCAGCTGAGATTGGATCGACCATTCATATATAAAACCAAGCTGCTCGAACATGGCGGCCTTCGTAGCCCAGCTCTCTGACCACCTCATCCCCTCCGTCAACGCATCCGGCCTCCTCCTGCCCGCTATGCACGCGCTGTCGTCGATCTTCGTTTTGGGCTCCTGTGCCGTCCAGACGGTGCTGGGTCGCCCCGATGCTGCCCTTCGCACTAAGCGGGACGGCGCCATCGTCAAGCGGTCTGTTGACTCGTTCATCCAGACTGAGACGCCCATCGCCTGGGAGAAGTTGTTGTGCAATATTGGGTCCAGCGGCTGTGCGGCTTCGGGCGCTGCCTCTGGCGCTGTTGTCGCGAGTCCCTCCAAGCAGGAACCAGACTGTAAGTATCCCGGTGCTCGCTCATCGCTTCACATAGTCACCCGTTTGTACGAGTGAGTACACGATATTTACTAAGACATAACAGACTGGTACACCTGGACGCGTGACTCTGCTCTCGTCCTGACAGGCATCGCCGACTCGTTCTCTCAGAACTACTCGGCCTCGCTGCAGGGCACAATCCAGAACTACATCACTGCCACGGCAAAGCTCCAGGGCGTCTCGAACCCCTCGGGCAGTCTCTCCGATGGTACGGGTCTCGGCGAGGCCAAGTTCAACGTCGACCTCACCGCCTTCACGGGCGACTGGGGCCGACCGCAGCGGGACGGGCCGCCGCTCCGAGCGATTGCCCTCACGCGGTACTCCAAGTGGCTGATCCAGAATGGCTACACGGATACGGCCAAGGCGGTGTGGCCTGTGATCCAGAACGATCTCGCGTATACTGCGCAGTACTGGTAGGTGCATGACTATCTCTGCTTGGTGCAGCCAGGTGTTAACTTGGCTTGTGACAGGAACGAGACTGGTTTCGATCTGTGGGAGGAGATTAAGGGGAGTTCTTTCTTTGCCGTCGGCAGTGCCCACCGGGGTAAGTTTTATCGTTAGGCCCATATTACCTATCTGCAAGCTTTGGCGTTAACCTCGATCGCTAGCTCTCGTTGAGGGCGCCGATCTCGCCGCTCAGCTCGGCACGGAGTGCCGCGCCTGTATCACAGTCGCTCCTCAGGTGCTGTGCTTCTTGCAGACCTTCTGGAACCCCAATGGGGGCTTCGTCGTGTCCAACAGTACGTTACCGCCTCACGCGTAATATCAAATGATCCAACCCGTGCTAACAACTCATGCAGTCAACGGCGGCCAGTCTCGGTCCGGCAAAGACCTTGATTCCATCCTGACATCGATCCACACCTTTGACCCGTCCGTCGGCTGCGATGCCAACACCTTCCAGCCCTGCAGCGACAAGGCCCTGTCCAACCACAAGGTGTACGTCGACTCGTTCCGGTCCGTCTACGGCATCAACTCGGGCATCGCGGCCGGGAAAGCCGTTGCCGTGGGCCGCTACTCCGAAGACGTCTACTACAACGGTAACCCGTGGTACCTCGCCAACTTCGCCGCGGCCGAGCAGCTATACGACGCCATCTTCGTCTGGAAGAAAGACGGCTCCATCAAAGTGACGGACCTCTCTCTCGCCTTCTTCAAAGACCTCGTCCCCGGCATCGCCACGGGCACCTACGACAGCGCCTCCACCACCTTCACCTCCATCATCAACGCCGTATCCGCCTACGCCGACGGCTTCATCGACATCGCCTCGCAGCACACCCCCTCCAACGGAGCCCTCGCCGAACAATACAGCCGTGACAACGGCTCCCCCCTATCTGCAGCTGACCTCACCTGGTCCTACGCCGCCTTCCTCTCCGCCGCCGACCGCCGCGCGGGTATCGTCCCCGACGGCTGGTCTGCAGAAAACGGCAACACCCTCCCCTCCACCTGCGAACGCACCCAAGTTGCGGGCACTTACGCCCAGGCGGCCGCGCCGTCCTTCCCCCCCAGCCAGACCCCCAACCCATCGGCTGATCCGGCGCCTGCGCCGTTTCCGACGACGTGTGCGGCGGATGACTCGGCGGTGTATGTGCAGTTTAATAGTAAGGTGGTTACCAAGCTGGGGCAGAATGTGAAGGTGGTTGGGAGTGTGGCGGAGTTGGGCAAGTGGGATGTGAAGAAGGCCGTGCCGCTTTCGGCGTCGGGGTATACGGGGGATAGTAACCCGCTGTGGAGTATTACGGTGCCGATTGCCAAGGGGTCGAGTGTGCAGTACAAGTATATTCGGGTTGAGTCGGATGGGACGGTTACTTGGGAGAGTGATCCCAACAGGACGGTTACGGTTAGTGGGGTGAAGACGGAGGGGACGGGGTGTTTGGCGCAGAGTGTTAATGATACTTGGCGGTGATGGCTGTTGGGGTGATATCAGTGGAGTTTAGGGACAATAGAGAGGTACGGTTAATCTTGTTCTTCTCGTTAACTGTCGGTGTGATATCGTTAGAGTTTATCCGTAGTCATGGATGATAAAAGCGTACGGTTGGCCTTAATCTTGTCTTTGTGTATAGAAAATATGACTATAGAGTCCTACACGTTCGCGCGCTCGTGTTCTTACGTGAAGTCATTGATCCCTATCACCAGCTCTATCACATCTCTCCCTCACCCTCATCACTCCCCCTTCTCCCCCAAACAAACCCTCTCCAACTCCTCCATCACAACCCCCACCGCCCACCCCAACACCTCCCCAAACGCCACCTCCCCCTCCTTCCCATCCCCTCCCCCCTCGCCGTCCTGCTTAACAACCCCCCCATTAACCCCCGGCACCCAAATCCCCTCCCGCCTCACCACCTCCCCATCCACCCGTCCCCCCTCCACATCCCCCCCCTCAAACAACCACCCATGCGTCTCCACATAATTCGGCCACACAATCTTCTCCACATACCCCGGGGGATCAGTCCAAAACCCGTCGACGTGTACATACCCGTCTCGTGCTTTGCGGCGGCGGAGGGCGGAGGTTTTGCTGGCGAGGAGGAAGAGTTTGATGTTGAGGTGGGACATTACGTTGCGGAAGGGAGACTCTTTGGACGAGGTTGGGGTTGCTTCGGATGAAGGTGCTGGGGGAGGGGAGTAGAGGAGGAAACCGTCGAGGATGCAGATGCGAGTTTTCCGGGTCGAGGTGGTGGAGTTGAAGATGAGGGAGCCTGGGTGGCCGGGGGAGAGCCAGGTTTGGACGCGGGCGGTGTTGGACGCGATTTGCTCGGGGGTGGCGGGGCAGGGACCGACGGTGTTGAGGTCTTCTAGGGAGTTGAGGTTGGGCTGGAAGGGGGGTAGTGAGTTAGAGATCGGGATAGGGCATTGTGGGATATAAAGCGGGAGGTGAGTTTGGTTGTAGTGGCTAGTAGGTACTCACCGGAAAGGTACCGGTTTTGCGAATGTGAACAAGCGCTGCTTCGAGATCGGGGATCGAGATGGCCTCGGGACAGTCCCAGTCGACCAGTCCATGCTTGATGGGGAGCCTGGGGAGGATTAGTAACTACTCTTTACTTTTATTGAACCGAGGATCCCAATAACATACTCTGACTCGGGCTTGTAGAAATCATCTTCGTGGAGGATAAAGGTCTCGGGGAAGATGTCGCGAAGCAGTCTCGCCAGCGTGGTTTTGCCACTTGATGAGCACCCGCTGATGCCGATGATGACAGTCCGTGGAGGGTCCATTTCTCGGTACCTAGGGAGGGAAACTGGAGTTTTGGGTTATGGCTTCATGAGTTTGTCAAATAGAAGAAAGGTTATCCGAAATAAATAAATAAAAAAATAGTTATGAGAAGACAACTGAACAGAACTTGGGGAGAGAACTGAGGCACAGTTAGTCAGAGTGGGGTGGAGAAGGATGACGCACAGTCTGGGCACAGTACCGAGGGGTCAATTTGGAGCTTCAAGGCAGCATCGTTGAACTACGCCGCACTGTGTTTATATCGGACTCTTCGTGGTGAAACCAACGACATGGAGTTGGTGTACATGGTAAGGCGAAGTAATATTCTCCAACAAGTTTAAGCGTCCTCAAATGTGCCGTGCTAGGATTCTGGTTTAAAGAATTGAACTTGTTCCTGGATTGCGTTCAAAGCTACAGAGGTTTGCAAGACCCGCAATACCGACATCACCCTCATACTAACATTAAGATACGAGTAAATGGACATAACGATCAGACTGCTTCGTTACACCCAATCCTTTCCCCTAATTATATTTTTGATCTCCCCCCTCCCTCTTTGGCCCCTATCCATGATTTCCTAGTCCAATGGCCCCCATAATTGATGTCGTAGTCAAAGCCCCGCGAGCAATAATCCCCCAACCTCACCCAATCCAACCCCCAAACAACACCCTCCCTATCCATCAAACCCCCCTCTCCTCCCCCTCCCCCGGTCCATCCGGCCCGACATCCACGACCGGCACATGCGCGCGACCAGCCCGCGGGTGCATGAACTCATCCACATACGGCCGGGCTTCCTCTTTGTGGCGGGTGGTGATGAACCAGGTCAGCCAGAGGAGAAACACAAAAATGGAGACCCAGATGACGACGACTTGGGGGGAGCGGCGGCGGCGGGGGGCGTAGGGGGAGAAGTATTTGCGGGCCATTTTGGGGGCCTCTCGGGGGTTGTTGTTGTTGTTGTTTATCGGGGGAATGAGGTGTGAAGTAGGTAGAGAGGGTGTCTATGGGGTTGTGTTGCCCCGTTTGTTGAGATTAAGGTGAAAACAAAAACTAGTTTCGATAATGCGATGGTTGTGGTAGGTGAGTGGCGAGGTGATGATAGCGTGGATGTGGTTGTAATTGCATTAAAGTCGTGAAATTGACGCGCTGCTGCGAGACCAGAGGGAATATTGTGGAACTCTTATCCCGTTGGCGCAGTAAACATCGAGCCTCTTCGTGAGATGAGTTCTTCACAAGACTTTCAAGACGATTGGAGTTTTGGAAGGCCCAATCCCCGCTGATGTTGAGTTTGATGCAGGAAGTGAAAATGATGTCCTGATGTTCAGAGGTTGAAAATCACTGTCCTGTCGTGGTCGCAGACAGGGGGTGGTCCACTGAAGCACAGGGGACGTTCGGTGGCTCGTGCATGACAGAATCTTCCTCCTCACATGGAAGCTGGAAGCATGATGAGAGATATTTAACAGTTCAACAAGCATCTTTAACGATTTTCCATCGACAGTGTTTAAATCAAAAGAAAATGAGCAATGCTTCTAAATTTCATAGCTAGCCTTGGTTCTTGATAACGTACCATTCTTTTGAGGTTATCGTTTCAACACTTTCATAAGACCCCATCCAGCCCCAACGCCAGCCAAATCATCGCTGGACATAACCATCATACATCCATCAATCAGATAATACAAAAGAGAAGAGAACATAGGGGAAATACAAAAATAGCAAAAAGGAAAACCAGTGTTTCTCATACACCCTCATTTTTCCCTTCTTCCTTTTTCCGTTCATCTTCCGTTCATTTTTCCCTGTTTCTGTCTCCCAACTCAAACCTCCGTCTCAACATCCGGCGTCCGTCCAGACAAACTACCAACCTTCATCACCCGCCTCGCAGCAAAGAGAGCCTCATCTTTAGCAAATTGCGCGTTGCGCATCGGTCTCCTGTTCCCATCGTCAGTACCATGTCTCCTTCTCAAAACATCCACAATACCCCCCTTGAGTAAGAAACGAAAGAGAAATAGAAGGGATAATAAAAAGACCTACCACTGCATCAAACCCCGATGCTTCCGATGCAAATCCCGACTCCGATTCCGATACTCGCGGTACTGCTTGATCGGATTCTTGCTGCTATTCGACTTGCCCGTGGCGCCCGTGGCCGTACTATCCATTGACTTGCGCGAGTGCTGCGGACTGCTATCGCCCTCCTCGCTGCCGCCCTGTTGCCAGGTGTAGTTGTCCCCGGCTTCCTCATCGTTGGCCCCGAAGCTTTGTCGGGCTTTGCCCTTGCCCGAGGGGCCGTCGGCGGAGCCGTGGTCGGCATCGTTGAGTCCGAGGTCGACGTTCTCGTCGTTTTCTTCTCCTTCTTCTTCTCCAATATCTTGACTGTGCTCATCGTCACTGCTTTCTTCCTCAACGAATTGATGTTCCTCATCCTCCGGGTGCGCACTACCACTACCACTCCCACCACCAGCATTCGCAGCCCTCCTCTTCGCCTCAGCCACCCCCGCCGGGTCCTGCCCAAACGCACCACTCCAATCAGTCCCATCCTTAGCCAACCACTTCTTCTTATCCTCCTCCGGCGCCATAGCCAGTACATCCCTCCCATGCGTCAAACTCTCATCATGCAACTTCTGCACCGCCGGCGGGACCTCCGGACGCACAAACTCCCCCCGGACCCCTTCCGCATAACAAGCCTCCCACGACTCAATCGTCTCGCGGGAATCGTTATCACTGACAAAACGGAGGTGATCCCGGTCCGTACCGGGCTTGAACCGGCCGCGGAAACGCAACCGGCCGATTTCTTCGGCGCGTAGCGCCGGGACGTCGTGCAGGTTGGCTTCGGTGATGTAGTTTTGCGAGAGCCGCATGCCGTTGTCGCATTTCCAGATGGGGAGGTCGAAGTCGAGTTCTTCGGCGTCGGGGACGTCTTGCAGCCAGAGGGAGGCGAAGGTGTTGGTTTTGCGGCGGGTGTTGGGGGGGTGGAATTCGAAGAAGATGGGGGAGCGGTAGCGGAAGCGGACGGGGAGGCGGATGCGGACGGATTTGGATTTTTTGCGGTGGGTGCTGCTGTTGTCGTCTTGCGAGGGTGGTCCGCTGATGTCCCAGGTCAGACCGTTGCCGTCGCTGGTGCGATGGCAGACATCGGGTTTGACGCTGGCGGAGGAACCACCGGTGCGCATGCGGATCTTGGTGCGCTCGGAGGGGGAATAACCCGACGTGACCAGGGCGTCGGAGGTGAACTCGAATGTCCCGATCTCGCCGAAGCCGAGCTGTGTGGGGGGGAGACGCAGCTCGACAGAGCGGAACAGCAGGCTGATGCGGATGCGGCCGAAGCCGATGCCGCCGTCGAGCGGATACCAGCGCGTGCTCTGGCTGCCGGTCTGGAGGATATCGGAAAGACGCAGAGGGACGACACCGATGATGGGGTCGTGCTGACGGTTACGGGAGTCGCGAACGGTCACCGTCACAATGCACGACCGCCAGTCACGGACAAAACGCTCCGTGCCGGCCTCGAAGATGGGTCGCGAGGACACCACCTTGGTACGTGTCTTGTACACCAGCTCGTCGTTGACAAGCACCGTGCAGTACGAGCTCGGCAGTTTCTTCCCCTCTTGCTCCTTGATCTCGCCGGCCTCGGGCCGAGCGGGCTCGTACTCCTTGCCGTTCTTGCGCTTACCGCCCTGCGAGCCCTTGATGTTGGCGAGTTCGAGATTGACAATCTGGTGCACGACCACGCTGAGAATACCGCTCGGCCACAGCGGGTCTGGCGGGGTGCGCACGACAGCCTCTTCCTCGGCATTGTCGAGACTCCCCTTGTCATCCTGCAACTCCTTCTTGTCACGGAGACCCTCGGGCAAGTTGGGATCATGGCCGTCGGTAAGTAGAGCACGGCGGAACTGCGTTTTGCCGAAGAACCCGACCTCCCAGTGGAGCTCGCCCGGCATGGTGCTGTCGGCCTTGACGCCCTTCAGCTTGGAGACCTGCGGGAACATCTTGCCGGGGTGTTGGATGAGCTTCTGGATGCTCAGCTCGACCTTGCCGACCACGTCGTCCGCCGACGACCGGTCACTGTCCCAGAGCTCGAGCGAAAGCTGTTCATCCGCCTTGATCACGTCCGCCGTGATGGGCAGCGCACAGCACTCGGAGAAGATGGGGTTGAGATCGTCCTGGATGACACGCGTACAGTACTGCGGTTTGCCAAACTTGGAAAACGACACGCAGATGTAAGGATCCGAGCCGCCCCCTTCGCTGCCGCGACGGTCCTGCTTGCTGAGACCGACCGCCTTGTGGATTTTGATGAACAAGACACCTAGCGCGTTGGTCTCCTTCAAGATGTCGTCGCCCTGCAGCATCTTGCCGATGTCGAGCGTCATCGACTTGGGAGCGACGTACATGTTGGCAGCGGTCGCGATGGCCCAGTTGACAAAATTGGAAATCAGGGGTAGGTTCAGGATGTTGGCGCCCTTCTCGATCAACGGCACGCAGCTCGCCTCGACTTTGGGCAGGCCCATGAGGGTGAAGCTGAGCGTCTTGACGAAGGGCGGGTTCGGCGCGAGAGCGACCCGCAGCCGGACGGTGGCCACGAGTCGGTTCAGCTCAACCCAGATGGGGAACGGAACCCCAAAGAGCCCCTTGACACCGAGATAAAAGACCAGCTGCATTCCCATGTTCTTTGCCTTGGACGACACATCGCCCGTGGACGGCAGAGAGTGGTACGCAACCGTAGCCTCGAGGTTATAGAAGTCACCCCCTTCCTCTTCAGCCGCCAGTTCCTGGGGGTCCTTCTCCTTAGCATCCCGCTTGTGGATTTCCTCCTTGAGGTCCTCCACTTGGCTATCCGGGAGCGCCCGCAGACTAAGAATCCGCAGAGAGTTGCTCCCCTGCGAGATATCATTCACCTTAACATGCTCAATAACCCCCGGCACACTAGCCTGCATGACATCCTCAAGGGTATCCGCCACCGCAGCGAACATATCCGGGTTAATCAACCCCCAAATCAACCCCACAACCGTATTCAACCACTCCACCGACTCCGGAATCAAATTCACCACCGCCGTCTCCCCTCTCTTCTGCTCCGCACTCCACTCCGTCGCTCTTCCCTGGCGGATCAAATCCTTAGCCCAGAGATAAACCCCCGAGGCCACCGTACCAGCAAGCGGGAACAGAGTCCACAGACTCCCGCCACCAAGCACTCTACCAAGAAAAATGATGCCGATGAAGACGCCGGCGCAGAGCACGTTGGCGCGGGCCTCGATGGCCGCGAACATGGGCTCGTAGCTGACGCTGGGGGTTGGGTGGAAGAGGACGTTGGTTTTTTCGCCGTGGATGGGGACGTCGGAGGTTGAGCCTTGGGCGACGGGGTCCGGGGGGGCGGTGACGTCTTGGGCGACGCGGTATTCCTCGCCGCTTTGGGAGGAGGTGGTTTGTTTGGTTGTTTCTTTGCCGAGGTTGGCGTTGGGGACGGTAAGCTGGGGGTTATGTTAGCGGTGTTGCGCGGTATCAATCAAAAGGCTAGGAGGGGCCGAAACTCACCATAGGCTCCTCAGCAGCCTTCATATGATGCCCCCCAATATCCTCAATCTCCACGTCCTTCCCCGTGGTCGGATCGCGGACGGTGCGGCGGTTCTTGCCTGGCTTCCGCTGGTCGGTGGGCACATGCGCCTTGGCTTCGCCATTGCCCTTGTTCTTCTTGAGCTCGGCGTCGATCTGGGCATCGCGCTCACGCTTCTCTTTGTCGAGGGATTCGACAAATTGCTTGATGTTGGGGATGCGGTTGGCTCCGGAGTAGTGCTGCCCCGAGGGGTAGACTTTTTGGTTGGTGTTCATGGTGATGGGGTGCGGTGGTTCATTGATGATGTGTGGGCTAGTAGTGTGGGGTCTAGTAGTTTATGGGTGGGCGTTCAGGACCAAGTTGATGTCGCTGGGCTTGAAAAGTGATGAATGGTAGGAACCAATTTCGCCGTGGTTCTCTCAATGTTCGCGTTTAGAGGTAGGGTGGTATGTGTTGTTTAGAGGCTGTGTAAAAGTGATGGATGCTAGTGGGTATAAAGACCCTGAATGGATCACAGCAGAAAAGAGCGAGTACCAGGAGACAGCCACGGTGGAGGAGAACACATGCCTTTATCCTAGACCCTCCACAATCGAAACAATTAGGAAACCTGGTAAATTCCCAATTCAACTCGCCCTTCCCTCGCACAAACACCTTGCCTGCTTACGTAGTTCACGCAGCGCCCAGACCGATTTTGCTCTCCCCAGCAGATCGATCCCAGCTTGCCTGGACTCCTCGGCCCATATTCAGCTTGCCTTGGACCTAAACTCACCCAATCAGCCTTAAAAATATCCAGCAGATCCCATTCAGATCGAATATCTGGGTCGTGGATCGGTTCAATCAGTTCAGTTGCAGCGGGCGTGGTGGGGTTTCGTGGAAAATGAGTGACGTCATGTTTGATGATTGAAGTTCTCCATTCCCCACTTTTGTGTTTAGGGTACTAGTCCGAAAGAGGATAGGCGGGATTGGTTCCGAGAATGACGTTGATGGATGGCCGCAGAGACGGCCGGCGGTTAACGCACAGCAAACGCTGGCAGCGACGGAGTAACCGAGAATCGTTTCGGAGGAGATGCCGGCGGGGAGGGGAGATTGACTGTACCTCCGGGACGTGGCATCGTGGGAGAAATGGGGTGTTACAATTGACAGTTTGCACTAGGTCTTGAGCCTGTGATGCTTGGGAGGAATGGAACCACTAAAGGACGCCGAGGTGCGGTTGGGGGAATGGGGAATTTACACAACCTTCGTTTAGGCTTCGGTATACGGTTTGAATTTCACATCGCTTGAAAGTATTTGCATGATATTCTTGTCATTCATATGTATACATAGTTAGTTTTAGCTTCCTTCACCCTCATATCTCATCCGTCATCCGTCATCCCACATCAAATCTTCCAAATAAATCCCAATCAAAATACCAAAGATGCTCGCTATCCTATCCCATACCGCCATACAATGCGTTCCCAATACCCAAACCCAAACCCCCAAAATACAAATACACACAACCTACGAAACAACATCCTTCCAAGGAACCCACCCCTGTCCCTCCCTCGTCCCCACCGGCCTAGCCGTCATAGTAGGCGTCCCCTCATCCATCTCCGTATCCTCATCTGGCGCATACAGGCCCAACCCAAGTCCAAACCTCAGCGCCGCCGTTGCTTTCTTCCCTCCACCCCTTCCTAAAGAACCCTCATCACAAGAATCCTCCTCCACCGAAGTAAAACTACTCGCATCCGACATCTCCACATCCGCATCCCCGTCCGCATCTCCGTCACCTGCGGTGCTATTACTGTGGAGACTGCTGCTTTCAGCAGAGGTTGTGGATTCCATGCTGGGTGTCGGTGGTTCTGTCATGGCGGTGTTGGACATGTCCAGGTGGTGGTGCAGGTTGTTGATGTCCATGGCGTGATGATGGTGATGGGGGTCGGGGGTGAGGTGTCGGACGCTGGGGGGGTGGGAGTCCGGGGTGGATGCGCGCGTGGGGAGGAGGGAGGAGGGGATGGGGGTTAGTTCGCGTTGGGTGCGATCATGTGGTGTGTTCTCCTGTTGTTGTTGGGGTTGTTGTTGTGGTTGCTGCTGCTGCTGCGCTAGTTGTCGTAGGAGCGGTTGGGATTGTGGGTGCTGCGGCACAGATTGCGGCGCAGTGGGGTGGTTCACCGAGGGAGTCCCGATGGAGGAGGGTGGTTGGGTATTTGGCCCGCGCGGGAGGCTGGTCGCCGCGCCACGAGCCCGGGGAGATGGGATGGACAGCCGAGGGACTTGGACTTGGGGTTGCGCCTGCTGCCCCTGAGCGTCGGATGCCGCAGCAACGGCTTTCGCCAGCTGGGCTTGTTGATTCCGCGTTCGCGGCCGAGGAGCAGGCATGGCGAGAACGGGGACCGACGGAGCCGGGAGTGAGGGAGCGGCCACCTTTTGTGCCGTCACCTGCTCGGCCTGCTCGGCGGCCGCTGGACCGTTTTCCTCGGCGTCCTCGTCCTGCCCAATCGTCCATACCCACCGGCGCTTCTTCTCCCGGCGCTTGCCACCACGCTTCCGAATCCCACCGCTTGTCGGCGATAGCGCTGTGGGCGTGGAGGCTTGCATGTTAGCCATGCGCCGGCGCATCTCCTCAAAGGGCCCCGGCGTCTGCCCTCCGTCGCGGGTGGTGTCGCAGCTGGCGGCGTCGGCCATGGCCAGGTCAAGCGAGTCGCCACCGTCTGAGGACGAGGCAGACGGGGAGATGGGTGTGGCGTCTTCGGCGAGGAGATCGATGTGCGATTTGGTGTACCAGCTGGTAGTGATCTCCTGCGTCAACGGGCTGTTGTAGGCCACGCGACGGAGGGCCTTCTCCTGCAGGCGCAGGGATTGCCGTCTGGGAGATTCGGGCGACTTAATGCTGAGCGGGGGCAGAGGAGAGTTGCGGAGGATACTACGGAGGCTGCGCGGGTGGGTATACGGCAACTTCATGTTCCCAGCCGGCGCCGTGGTCCGCCTCTTGGCGTTTTGCATCTGCGGCTGGATCTGTGATGGTGCCTGTGATGGCGCTGGCGTTTGTACTGGTACTGGTGCCGGTGCAGATCCTGGTAATGTCGTTCCTGGCGGGAAGGCGGTCGCGGGGGTTGTCCCGTCAAAATTGAACACCTGGGCGCCATTCTGCTCAATGGGTTGCGCAGAGAGTGGTGGCGTAGCCGTCATAGCACTCGGGAAGAAAACTTGCTTGGCCACTGCTGGAGAGATAGCCTGCGCCGTGACGGGCGTATCAAGGTAAGGGCCAAGGTAAGGGGTGTTGGCCGTGGTCGGTTTCGGGGTAGCATCTTGGGTTTGTAGTCGAAGCATCGGCCTCCTGCCGCAGATGGCGGTCGTGGGCGGCTTCTCCTGTAACGGCGTGGATCGGTCGACAGCGGTGGCGTAGACATTAGAGAGGGTATTAAACGATGTGGGCGACTTGACGTCGACAGCCGCGGCGACACATCGTGAAGTTCGCATACTAGGGCCGTTGGCGATAGCCCTGATCTGGAGTGACAACCTCGGCCGCTTGGGCGGGCTTTGCGGGGATGTCGCCATGATGGATGTCCGGACCGGTTAAACAGACTCTCGATGAGGCCAAAAAATTACGAGCGGTGATGATGATTAAGGCACGCAAGAGAGCAGGTCACCCGCACGTGGTTCGTTCCTAAGCCAGCTAGGAAGAAGAAAGCAGGTGAGCTTGCGAACTCTTGGGGGTGTTGGCCCAACAGACGAGTCCGAGTCCGAGTCCGGTCGAGATGGTGGTGATCAGAACGTGGGAGGGAGCGCCAGGAGGAGGGGCGGGCGGGAATTCCAAGGGGAGGGCGGCTATATGTGTCAAGAATACCCTTTTTTCGCGCGTGTTTGTCGACTTACTTCCTGCGAGAACGGTGCGAGCTGGCGGCTAACTCACAGGAAAGGATTGGAGCAGGGGGTGCCACAGGGGGGTAGAGGAGGAGCGGGCAAGCAGCAGCAAGCGCCGGGGGTCGTTCGGACGAATACCCGTTGCAGGCGACGACAAGCGTTCGCCGGCCTCCCTGGGGTCACCGAAGTGGGCTGAGCAAACTCAACTCAGCGGCCGACAAACTCGTCGAGCTTGCAAAAGAGAACCGGGGACCAACCGAAATCTGGGCGAGAAAAGAACCACGTCCCATATTTGATTGTCACTTCACGGACTCGAACAGACTCGGGCCGCGCAATCCCCTCAGACATTGTTCTTGACATCTTCTCGTTCAACTTGACCGCCATGGAAGAGAGGGGTGTGACAGGGAGGGTTTCTCGACGATGCTCCTCCAACCCCCTTGGTTGGTCGCTCGGCCAGCACACCTTCTGCAGCATGCAGGCGCAAGCGCTGATTGAACCAATCAACAGGCCAGGACTCGGCATTTCCCCACCTGCAAGCATCGTCACATCGCGCCTATTTTCCCAGGTTCTGCACAATTCGAATTTAGATCCTCCCAATACGGAAGGAGGCTTGCAGTCCATTGTCAACGCTAACGGGCGCCGCCATCCAGACTGCGACCCGGCTTGCGAGCAGTTTGGTTCCAGAGTCTGCCTTTGGCTGCTTTTTCGGTTGATGCCGTTGAGTTTTTTCTCGAGCAGGTCTGCACGTGAGCATTGTCATCGTGACCCGACTCCTTACTCATACACTGCAGACCTAAGTCGTAGACATACGTGACATACTATGTCGTCGAATTTGTCGTGGCGTTCTCGAAGGATTCTCTGTTGACTTCTCAACTGTTGAGATTGGCCGGCAGGCGGTTCTCTCGCCGTGTGGCTCCAAGTGTTGTCGCCGCCGTCTTGCTCGGACGAGATTGTGAGATTGTGAGATTGTGTTGTTCGTCTTTCGGAAGGCACCGGTCCCTAGACTCGGCTCATTTCATTTCTGCATTCCATCCGAAAGAAGGATTTCAATCCCATCGGTGTTGAATTCCTCGCTCGTCAGCAAGACCCGACTGTTCGGGCCTTGCGGGTAAGAAATTGCCAACGTGGGTAACACGGGTCAATCTGGCCGATTCCGCAAGCATTGGTTTCGGTATTTTTATCGACCTGCAGGGTTTGCCGTTGCAAGAAGAATTTGACGTTTGCGACGAAAATAGGTCAAAACAAACGCGAATGATCGGCGGAACCGGGTCCCGGCCCTTGGCTGACCAGCCGGATTCGGCCAGATTCCCCGAGTCCCGAAAAAGCCGATCATGGGGGAGCATGCAGTCAAACAAAAATATTGACGGGAAACGCCGAAGAACATTCGAACGGCTTCCCTTTTGCATTCGAGGTCCCATGTCTTCAAAATCTCGAAAACAAACCGGTGGGTATCCGTATTTGACACAAGACCTTCGAAAAGAACAGAGGAGTGGATTGCGGTTGAGTTGCTGGTGTGCATCATACGGTTTGCCCTGTTAGGCTCGGTCACTATGTATAACCCTAACCCGACACACATCGAAACTCGACCGTTATTCTTGTTCGACTGCAACGCAAGTTCACACTTCGTTGTGAGCTCGCACCTGTGTAAACATCGACGTATAACGTCCTCATTCTTGTAGGACTGGGAATTAATCGCCCCGATGTTAGAGCCGTTGCCGCAGTCGTTGTTGAAAGTCGTTTGTGTTGTCCAAGGCGCAATGTGAAACCCCAGAATAACTGGACGGTTCGGACCCACTTTGTCCCTCAACCACAGAAGAGAATGCCCCCGACGACCATCAACACAACTTTTAGGCGAATTCACAACGTTAACCTCGCGGAGTTGCGAGGTGGCAAGTCGATTCGTACCACTTTACCCCCAGCCACCGACCGCAGCAATCCGGGGCCATGGAATTTGCCCTCGCCAAAAAAGTACCGCTGCGGCGCGACGACCGGGTTATCCTTCATTTTGTATAGCCTCCCCAAACACCCTGACCCTGTCCTGAACCACAACAACAAGCCATGAGATTTCACCGTCTGACACCGTGATCCGCTTCCGTTCTGCTTCCGTCCCACAATGTAGGACCTCGATTGTTTCTACGCACAGGCACGTTGAATAAATCCCCCCGGCTTATCATCCCTTCTCACAACTATCCCGTATCTGTCAGAATGTGGACTCCGTGGCTTACACGGGACCTCCCCCCACCCGTTTTCTAGTGCGTGGAGAATCGCCAGCCCTCTCTCCGGACTCAGCCCCTCGGCATCAAACAGAAGAGCATCCTCGCCACGTGCAATTACGTGGCCCGCCGCCGTGGCGTGAAGAAGTTGATGTTGATTACCCAGGCGAAGAAGATCTGTCCCGACCTGGTGCTGGCGGACGGCGAGGACCTGTCGCCGTTCCGAGATGTGTCGAAGCGGTTGTATTCCCTACTTCGGGGGTACTCGTGGAGCGGGAAGGTGGAGCGTCTTGGCTTGGACGAGGTGTTCCTGGATGTCACGGATATGGTGGCGTATAATGTCGAGCTGCTGAACACGAACGACTTGGAACGGTCGTTCTTTTGCTTGTCCCGGTCGGATCCGGAAGTTGGGTTTGCGTATGACGCTCGGGGATTTGCGGGCTATATCTGCGGCAATGAGACCGTCAAAACCCCAGAGGGGAATGGCTTGGGCATGAGGCTGTTAGTAGCCTCGCACCTTGCCCAGTATCTCCGACTCAAGATCGAAGACGAAGGGTACACCACCGCCTGCGGGATCTCCACCAACAAACTCCTCGCCAAACTAGTCGGCGACAAGAACAAACCACAGAACCAAACCACCCTCCTCGCCCTCACCCAGCAGGATGTCCTCTCCTTCATGGACACCCACCCCCTACGCAAAGTCCCCGGCATCGGCTCCAGAACCACCCGAGTCCTCGAAGCCTTTGTCCTCAACAAACCTCCCGACCCAGACGCCCACACCATGGAGTGTTCCACAACCGTCGGTGAGGTCCGTGTTCACCAGGGAATGTCAATTCCGACCATCGCCCGACTGCTCGCAGGCCCGGGCACGGAAAAGGGTCTCGGCGCCAAGGTCTGGTCTTTGCTTCACGGCGTGGACGACACGCCGGTCAAGGCTGGCCGTGATATCCCGACCCAGATCAGTATCGAGGACACCTACCGGGGGCTAACCCAGATGGAGCAAATCCACCGCGAGCTGTTGGCAGTTACTACCTCCCTCCTCAAACGAATGCACATCGATCTACTCGAAGAATCCCCCCCAGCCCCAGCAAGTTCTAGTTATACCGTTTTGCCAACAACAACCCCCCCAACTTCTTCCCACCCCCTCTCCCTCGCGACACCCCCCCACATCAACACCCACGCCACCCAAGAAAGCAGGAGATGGCTCGCCCGCCCAAAAACCATCCGCCTTTCCACCCGCCCCTACCAACCCTTCACCGAGGATCCTACAGCAATCCAACAATGGGCCCGCACCTCCCGCAGCGCCCCTCTTCCCTCCTTTATCTTCACAGCAACCCACCTCCCACTCGAAGATGTCGCGGCCCGTTTGGTATCAGAGACGTTGTTACCGCTATTTTATAAGATGTGTCCGGGTCCGGGTCAGGGTAAACCACCGTTGCAAGTGGGATCCGGTATCGGTGGAAGGGATGCGGACATGACAGCTGAAAGGGGGGGTGGAGTGGGGGATGGAGGGGGTGCGGGGTGGAATGTAGGCTTGTTGAACGTGTGTGTGACTAATATGCTGGTGTCCGGCAACGGCGGTGGTGGTCTGGACGGTGGGACGGGAGATATTGGGGCTATGTTTCGACGGCAGGAGGGGGTGTTGAGGGAGTTTACGGCTTATGCGGATGGGCAGGATGAGGATCGTGGGGATGGTGGGGGTGTGCATGCGGATGAGGTACGGAGAATAGGGGATGTAGGAGGGAGAGAGGAAGGAGAAGAGGCAAAAGCCACAGGCGAGGGAGATGGCGAACGAACCCACCAAACGCGAGGACACGATAACAACGCCGACAACCCATGGGGTATTGAAGACGATGACGACGTCTGGGCCACTGTTGATGATCCACCCAACGACGACGAGCAACCGGACCGCGGCTTTGAGGAGGACGACGACGGGCTGGAGAGCCTGGACCAGGACAAAGATCAAGACACAGTCCTCTGTCCGTTGTGTGATCGGCTGATCCCCCGGTTTGCGGTGTTGGCGCATGAGCGGTTTCATAACTTAGCTTAAGCTAGCTGTATGGTGCTTGTTGCATTGTGGGTAAATGATATCAAAGAAATAACGAAAGATGCCTTTTCCTACCCTTTTGCTATCAAAAGTCCACCTTGCGCCATTGTGGTTGTTGAGTAAGAAACCACAGATAGATAGGTCCGTACATGATAGGTAAACAAACACATGATTCATAATATCCACTCTTCCCCTTTCATTCCCCCCCAACGAGTTGATATCAGCCCCCCTTTCCCAGACCTAACCCCAAGACTACGCAACGGCAGCCTCAACCCCAGTCCCAACCCCCCCAATCCCTATCCCCCCATTCCCACTCCCATTCCCATCCCCACCTGTACTACTGCCCCCCAAAACCCTCTCCATCATCTCCTCCAACCTCTGATTCCCATTCTGCACATCTAATATCCAATCCGCCACTTTCGCCAACCCCTCCGCCTTACTAACCTCGTTGGTTTTGAGTTCCGGAACCAGCGCGGCGATGTGGTCGTACCCGTGCTTGATGAGGTCGCGCCGGCGACGCTCGCTGCCGACGTGGTTGAGACGGCGCTGTTCGTCGGTGAGGGTTTGACGGGGGGATTTTTTGCGGGACGAGGAGGTATTGGTTGTGGCGGTTGTGGGGGTGGGGGTTGTTGTTAATGCATTGGCGGACTTTTTGTTGTTGCCGGTTGTGCTGTTGTTGTTTGCGGAAGTTGTGTTTAGCGCTGCGATGGACTTGCGCTGTCGTTTGGGAGGCTGGGTTGGGGGCGTGTTGCCGTTGCCGTTCGGTTCGGGTATCGAGTGGGAATGTCGTCGTGGTATGGATGATGTGGTGGGGCCGGTAGCGGTGCGCAGTGCTAACTCAGTGTCCACGGCGACTTCACCTGTCTTGCTCGTCTTCCTCCGCCTCCTTGCAGGCTCCTCCGCGATGGTGGGGATATGTGATGACGGTCTTCGCCGGGCTGGGGCGGCCATGGAGCCACTGCCCACCGCCTTCGGGGATTGTAGACCCCACGCTGTCGGACTTGTCTCTCGAGTCGGGGCCGCGCTGTGGTTTCGCTCGAGACAGTCCAGATGGGCCATGTGGGAGGCTGAGATCGCTTCTTCCGTGTCCTTGGCTGAGGAGGGTACGAAGCTGGAGTTGGTGAAGTTGGGATCCGACCCAAACTGGACGTCGAACGGTAGGCGGGAGCGTGTATTGTTCGGCAGTTGACGGAATAAGGGCATGGAGGGGTCGTGGGTAGCCGTCGGTTGGAGGTGGTTGACTTGGCGTTCGTTCGTCGTCTGAAACTGCGTGGGGGCCATAGACTGTGAGGCGGGCCCCGGGTTTTGTGATTCTTGGCCAAAGAACAGGCCAAACTCCCCGGCACTGCCGCCCAGGAGCGTTGCTGCAGCGGCAACCGCATCTGGGGTATGATGAGCATCGTAGCGGTTTTGTGGTGTAGCGAGCGGCTGTGGGAACTGTAGCGTCGACGGCGAGGGTTCAAATCCTAACTCTGTCGAAGTATGGAGCTCCGAAGCACCGAGGAAAGACGGCTGCTGCGGTGGGTGCTGCTGCGACTGGTGGTGTTGATTCGGATAGCCAAAGGTGTCGAGCACGTCGTAGATGGAGTCGTCCGGTTCGCCAAGGCTCGACGAGTGTCCCACCACTAGGCTCGGCTGCCTCCAGTTCTGTGTGCACACGCCACCGAGCTCGGCAGCGCCCATCGACGATCCGTTGTTGAGGAAGGCTAGAGATTTGAAGAAGTCGCTCATGCTTTGGCGTTCGGTGTCGTTGAGTAGCGGGGGGCCGTCCCAGCCGGGGGAATCTTCGCGGTCAACGCCATGGGAAGTCGGGTGATGTATGGGTTGCTGGATCGCGGGTTGAAACCGTTGATGGTCCATGGCGGCGGTCGAGGGATTGAGTATCTCGGACGGTTTAGAATTCGGGCCACTTCAATAAGTATATCGGTGTCGGGGGTGGCTGAAAGAGGGTGCTTGCAACAATCGCCTACAGCTGCAGCGGGATGGTGACGTCGGAATCGGAAACAGGTCGGAGCGTGATTGGAAGAACATCGACGGGGAGAATGCGTCGTGGGGTGAGGAGGGGGAAAGAGACCCGACTGAATACCGGTATATGTTGGTGAGGGCTGCGTTCCAAGTTCAGCTTACCAAGTCAGTGGCTGCTGGTGATCGGGGTCGGAACGGCCTACAAAAGCGCGACATGGGCCGGGGTGCGAGTTTGTAGGCGGGCAGCTTAAATAATTTGCAGTGGACTATGCAGAAATATGCGGGGGATGGGGGATCTGTTTCGAGTTTCTGGAGATCCCGAAAAGAACAGGGATTAGCTGCAGAAACTGCACCCAAGACAAGAGGCTTGCGAGGGAGTTTTGCGTCGGCCGAACTATCTGTCCGTGGCTTGAGCGAAGGATCTGTCGATATTTGACATGTTTCCGCTGCATTACCTGCTTGTTGTGTGGAAGATGTGAGCTCCGAAAGGTACCTCGACCTTGAGGTCACGTATGCACGTAATCGGCCAGCCACCCCACAAAATACATCTTGACGAAAAGCACATGCCGCGCACAGTGGGTTTAAAAGCTGCAATCTACAAAAATGGTCTTGTCCAGTAATTCCATTTCCCGCCTGTCTACTTTAGCAGTATGAATTGCTTCCTTTTCTATCCTACAATTTCGAAATTGGTCTTGTACGATCCCGTTGACCACGACAATATCATGTCATGTGATAAATATGCTTTTACTAGGACATGCACTTATAGAGTCGTCACATGCCTCATGATCTTTTTCTACAAACAGGTGAGCGAACGAGTCCAGACAGGGTGGCAGCGCCCCGCGGCCCCCGCTGGGAGGGTGTCGACCGGGGTGTCCCCAGAGCGCCAGCGTTCCTGCGGTATGCAGGACTAGCTGGATATGGTGATGCAACGGCGCGTGTGAAGGCAAGACAAAGACCACATTGAGGCTTACCGGTCGTATTTTTCTCGGAAATCTGTACCTCGCGAAGGTGATTACGGGCGCGGCGCGGGGAAGTGGGAACATAGAGAAATCGGGTTCTGTGAAGTTGTGAAGGGACGAACCTCGCAAGGATTAGGTGCCGGACAATCCAGTTTGTCGGGAGCGTTGCGATGCGGCAATGGTTGATGTGCGTGGGCTTGGCATGTTGTCGCGTGGCCTCCATGATGCACTCCAGATGACGGGAGGGGGGCTTGTTCGTTTCGACATGGTACCGATGCCATGCAGTGGGAATACCTGCACCATCCGATTGTCGACGGCGCATGGCTTGACGAGCGAGAACGAGTCAAGGCATCGCGTAAATGACCTATCGTGTCTGAGGAACCAACAATACTTACGAAGTATTCAAACCTGCTGCGTCATGGCTTGATCGGAAACGTGCCTGATTCGGCACCCCACCTGAGGTTCCATCCATATCCACAACTATCCCCAGGTCCAGCCCGTCCAGATCCATGGCCAAGGATCGGGAAGACTCGGTAACCCCCTTTTCTTCATCGGGCCTGGAAAGGGTGTCGACGGCGGGGTATTGTCATATTGATGGGTAAGAGAGACTCTTTGCGGGGGGTGTTCCGGCTGTGTTCGGAAGTGGTCGCGCAAGAAAAAGGGCAAGGGGAGAAACCGGGTGACACGGTTCTGCGATGTCATACTACCTACCAGGAAGGCCCGCACCCGAGACCGCGGTTGACAGACCTGGGACACACACGGAGGTGGAGGTGCAAGGTTGTTTCTGTGTGCCGAGCCGTTGTCGTGAGGCTCAAGTCCCTTTTTGCGGGGAGGATATTGGGAGAGTTTGATCCGGGAAGAATGACAAAAACCTGCCGCATGCCTGGATGGTCCCTCGAATTGCGGTTGCCCCTTTTCGGCACTGGAAAACCCCCTGTCGCGGCAGGCCTGTGGGGAAGATGGGATCTCGACTTCAGCGGCGTGAGCGGGTCCGGTTGGAACTTCCCGAGGCTCTGCAACCTCGCGCCGGGCCTGGAAATCAAGTTGCATCAAGTTTGCCGCGTTCATCGAAACTTTCGAGCCCCCCGACGAGCTGGGTCTATTAAACCTTTTTTCTTTGTTTGATATTTTACTAATTTTCATTCACCTTTTCGCCTTGCTATTGTGGGAGATGGCCCGTAGCAATTGAGTCATTGGAGCGTTTGCTGCGCATCACAAGCCCACGCAGCCTCATAGGACGCGGTTCGTCAGGTGCATAACAAGGCGAGCAAACGCACACTCATTTTTGTTTGAGACGGAGCGCTGGATAAGTCTTATTTTGTGGTTCTCAAGCCCGACTTCTCTTCAATTTCGTTTTTCCAACAACTTATTCGATTTCATATCAATGCCATAATCACGCCGAGACAGGCCGACCTCGTTCTCTCTCACCACCAACATAACATGGCCACATCAACACGCTCTCCACGGCGATCCTGGGATGCGCCGGTGCCTCCCATCTTCCGCCCATTGCTTCGGGCCTACTTGATCGGCTACGCATCTGCCGTTGGCCCCCGGTTTTTGTCGCTGCTGATCCAATACACTCTCCGCCGGCAAAAAAAGGAGAGAGAGACCAATGGCAATGGAAAGAAACGCAAAGACTCGTTCCTTGTTGCGCTCCAGCGCGTTCTCTTACGGCCCATGGAGACTCAGAGTTTCCCGACGTTTTGCGCGGCCCTTGTTGGCGGGTATACCTTTCTCGAGGTTAGTATGGAATGCCTGCTCTCGTACACCCGCACCCATACTGTATTTTCTGTAACATCAAAGATGGGAGAACTTGGAAGACTTACAATTTCGGCAGCTCCCCCTGAAATCCATCATCGACCGCAATGGCAGCAACATCTCCGAGCTTGCCCGCAAACGCCTCTCCCGCTTCCTAGCATCCTTCATCTCGGCGTGGATGAGTCTGCAACTACTCCAGTCCAAGCAGACCCCAGACTTCACCGGGACCACCCCCCACCCTCACCCATCCAAACCCCCCGTAACCACCCACTTCGCCGGCCGCACCCTAGACCTCACCCTCCTCGCAGCAACTCGCGCGCTCGATGTGATCGTCGGCGAACTCTGGGCCCGCCGGCGCACCCGCCGCGAAGCCGCTGGCCACTGGACACGCTGGGACGCCCGAATCGGCCGTCTCGCCGACCCGGCCCTCTTCGCTTTCTCCTCCGGCCTGGTCATGTGGACCTGGTTCTACGAACCCGCCCGCCTCCCACCCGCCTACCAACGCTGGATCTCCACCGCTGCAGCCGTCGACAACCGCCTCATCACCGCCCTCCAGCGCTGTCGCGACGGCACCCTCCGCTACGGCCGCGACACCGGCCAGGCCCCCTTACTCGGCAGCATGTGCGACGACTACCTCTGGCCGCGCCACTGGGGCGATCCGGCCGTCAGCATCCCCTTCCCCTGCGAAATCGTCCACATGGGCGTCGGCCCTTCCTGCGAACACCACGCCCTCTCCCGCTTCACCCGCTCCTTCACCTGGGCCATGACCACCTACCTCCCGCTCTCCCTCCTCCTCGCCCTACGCTCGCGGGGACCCCGCAGCCTCCTCACCTCCCCGCCCGCCCTCCGCCGCGTCCTTCTCTCCGCCGCGCGCTCCTCCGCCTTCCTCGGCGCCTTCATCACCTTCTTCTACTACGGCGTCTGCCTGGCGCGCACGCGCATCGGCCCCCACATCGTCGGCACATCCACCCCCTGCCGCCAGCGTCTGGACGGTGGGATCTGTGTCGGGACGGGGTGTTTCCTGTGCGGCTGGAGTATTTTGCTCGAGCATGCGGGGAGGAGGAAGGATATCGCGCTGTTTGTGGCGCCAAGGGCGTTGGCGACGCTGGTGCCGAGGAAGTATGGGAAGGAGAAGGAGTGGAGGGAGACGGCGGTTTTTGCGACTAGTGTGGCGGTGGTGTTGACGGTGTTTGCGGAGAATCGGAGACGGGTTAGGGGGGTTATGGGGGGGGTTTTGAATGGGGTTTTTTAATTTTGGGTGCATAGCATACACATGTTATTACTGGCATGGAGGTGGATGTGCATGATGGGGACGAAAGTATTGGGAATTGGATGGGAATGGAAAGAGACGCGGCGTTGTGTGAAGGGTGGGTTGTACAATTACAAGACACAAGGTGGACAGAAGCTGTATTACTACCGCATACGCATATTGGGTTGGTAACTGAGACGGCGTTGAACACCGTGGGGGTTTGGGAGGGTTGTTCGATTCTTTTCTTGTTTCAATACATAGTTGGTAGAATATGAGGCAGGGGTGGGATAATATGTCGATACACACTGCGGGCGGAGAAACGGCTGTATCAGATGATGAATAGGAAGGCGACGGGGGACCAATATTGGAGTGGAGATGAGACCTGCTGGTCTAGGAGCGAGACATTATTCGTACCACAGTAATTTATTGAAGTCAGTTCATGTCTGGTTTTTGGAGTTGGTCTCATACTCGCTCTTCGTCTGAGTCGATTACAGTCTTTGGGTCATTATTTCTAACCAGTCTTGATATCGAAACCTTGCGCCTTTCATTTTCCGTATCATCTACATATGATCTGAGGAGTGCGTTACCCGCATCGTTCTGTGGTGCTAATCGCCTATTATAGCCCCTTTATTCCATGAAAAAAACATTGAAATAGTCCAGGTAAGGCCACGGGCTCTAGGGTATTAGCGTGAAAATGGAACCCAGGTTTTCCTACTTCAATCTATCATGCCTTCATACCATTCACGTTTCACAACCACCTTTGCGATTGATCTTTACATGTTCTGTTATTTGTTTACCATACTCTCTAGCTCAAACTAGATCAAGCAAAAAACAAGACGGGCAATCCCTAGACGCCCGAAATTTGAAACACATCTTCAACAACCCCATACCCGTGTCATGTACAGTACATATCAAAACCTCAACACCAAAACCCCGAAATCCAAGAAAACAAAAAACACAAACCAACCCCCCCGCCACCCCAAAAAGCCCGCGAAAAAAAAACAAGCTTAAATCGCTACAACTATCAACCCAATCTACAACTTCGCCCCCGCCCCCCTCCTTGCCGTCTGCCCAGGCACCGCCTCTCCTAACCCCTCACTTAACCTAATCCGCGCCCACCAAAACCTACACGCCGCCTTCTCCAGCTCTGTCAAATCCACCACCTGCGCAGCCAAGCCCATGTGTGTTCCGCCTCCCATGACATCGTTCCCTTCGCCAAACACCATAATTTTGCCCACCGCAGGCTCTTCTTCTCTCCGTTTTGGTCCTTCTCCTTCTCCCTCAGCTGCTGCTGGGTTGGCTTCCGAGGTCTTGGGGGTAGAAGGTCTAGGTACACGGTCATCCCAGTCGTCGAACGGCGAGATGAATCGCGGCCAGGGGACGCGATCTCTGCCTTCTCCTTCTTTTTCTTCTTCGGCTTCACCGTATGGATTGACGTAGGTACCCGTGGTGTAATCGTCCGGGTTCGATTCCCCGCTTGCGGCAAATCGCGACCAGCGTCCGTGCACGGCGGCCATCAACTCCCGCATCCCCGGGCGCCAGCGAAGCGCCACCAGATCGTGTGCTACAACGGCGGCTTCGTCGCCATGGTTGGCTGTGCCGTTGTGGGAGGTGGCTGCGTACCGGTAGACGTAGACCTTCTGGCCCGCGCGGGAGAGGTAGTGCGCGGTGTGTAGGACGGGGCAGATGTAGGCGTAGTGGGCGTATGCGGCGTCGAGGCGGGCCCATTGGCGGCCCATTCCGACTGGCACGCGGGTGTATGGGCTGCGGGAGGGGTTGCTGACGGGGCAGGGGTAAAGGGATTCGAGTTCGTCGAGATCGGCGGGGGATAGGGCTGGGATGAGGTCTTGGAAGAAGGTGCGGAAGGATTCGGGGTCGTCGGCGCCCCCGGGAATAAACAAGGTGCCTTCGTTGGTGTTGAAGCCGGTGATGATGGGGATGTCGACGTGGTTATGGGCGAGCCACGAGTTGATGGGGAGGTCGGGGATGAGCGGGGACATGGGGTTGGCCTGGCTGGACTGGGCGTAGGTGTTGGGGCTGTCGATGACCGGCTGGAAGGGCCAGGTGACGGTCTCGCAGTTCTGATCCCAGACCACCTGGGAGGCGCTCACGATGGTTTGAAGCGGGATGTTGCGCAGGTGATTGAAAAGTTCGTGTTCCGGGACGCCATCAGCACCCGCAGCAATGAGGAACTCGCGGTATTGCATAAGGTGACGGGGGTGGGTTGGATAGAAAACGGCCCGGGCGGTAGTCGCGCCGGACTCGAGGATGGCCTTGACGAAGGGGGTTTTGACGTCTTTGCGGGAGTAGTACATGATGTGGTGGCCGATCGAGTGAGCACCCGCGCTGAGGCCCATGATGGTCACGTTGTCGGGGTCACCACCGAATGCTTCGATGTTGTCTTGAACCCAGCTTAGCAGCATCTGCTGGTCCTGCAGGCCCAGATTGAGCAGACCTTCCCGGGCTGTCACCTCGGACGGGAGGAAGCCCAGGGCGCCAACGCGATAGTTGAAGTTGACGGAAACCATGGGGGCCTTGGCCCAGGCGATGAAGCTGGCCATGTTGCGCTCACCACCGTGACCGACGTTGAAGCCACCCCCATGAACATACACCACGACGGGCAAGCGGGGTCGCGTCTGCGACCGGGAGCCATCGTCCGTCTTCTCATATCCGTATCGGTCGACCAGCCCCGCGGGTCGGTAGATGTTGGCGTTGAGGCAGTTCTCGCTCATGTTGCGCTGGACGACGCCGCCATTGGGGCAGATTTTGCCCCAGGCTACGGCGTCAAATATTTGGTTGGATTTTGGTAATGGCTGGGGCGGACGGAAGCGGTTCTGGCCACCCGTGTCCTGCGCGTACGGCACGCCGCGGAAGGCCTCGATGGCCTTGGGAAAGCGCGGCGAGGACATGAGCGTAGTGCCGACGTAGGTGCCCTGGAGCAGGCTCACGGTGGGACCGTAGATGGCGGCGCCACCCGGTCGTTGCGTTGGGACCATAATGGAGGAGGATGTGGTGTCAGTTGCGATTGATGCTGTGGATGTCGAAGTCGAAGTCGAAGTCGATGTTGTGACTTTCGAGATTGTAGATGTGAGCAGCGTCGATAAGGATGATGCCGGACTCGTCGACGCCGTGGTCTTCGTCCTCGTTTTCTTGTCGCCGTAGTATCCTTGCCCCTCGAATGTCGTTGCCGTCCCTGGCCCAAGAGACCGATTCCCACCAAAGCCGTAGAGATACAACCACAGTACTGCCACCACCGCAATAGCTAGAAGCCACGTCCAAGCCAACATGTTGCGGCGGGCGCCCCGGCGCTTTATCTGCGGCACGCGGGGCATCGAAGTACGAAAAGAGCGGAAGAAGGGAAAACGAGAGCAAAAGGCCCGGGAGAATGGGGGACCACAAATGACCAACGCCCGACTCGGATTGGCTCGCAGGCGTTGCTTCGGGGGTTCGGCGTCTGTGCTTCTAACTGTGGGGAAGCTCACGCAGAGGAACGGCAAGACGGGTGGAACCACCTTGGCGCGGCTCTTGCAATGCACCCGTTGTCTTGGGGTCCTTGGCGTCCTGGAATGTGTTGGTGGCCCGGCTATTGTCTACCGCTCGATGCCATATTGATGGGAGATTCCGTGTTGCCGTTGTCGTGCTTAGGTTGCTCGAATGCCGAAAAATTGGGGTTTGTAGTGCTGCGTCCCCGCGGGCGGCGGCTTGTGGAATCCAATTGACGACACCTAATTCTCGCAAAAGGGACCAACTGAAAAGCTGCACAAGGGTCGAACAATGTCGGACGAGCTGAATGACGGGCACAGCAGCTGTGTTTGCGGTCGGGTCAAACTACTCGTGATGGGACGGCCGTGGATTTCGCAACACTTGAGATGCCGAGAGACGGGCAGCGGCGAATTATTTGTTTGATCAAATAATCGGTCAGACGTGGTCGGTAAAGGGCTCAAGGGGTAGTTAAAGGGGTAGCTAAGGGAAGACGCCGCGGCGGCGAGGGTGGGCTGTGTCGACAGAAGTGCTCAACGGCAGCCAACAACCCCACAAGAAACGCGGCGTCAGACCGGGTTGGGTTAAATTCTTCGAGGGAAGCACTGGAAGATACCGGCCGTCGCTCGGTTGGTTAAGTGGACAACTTCCCACAGTGGGGAAAGGATGGCCACGCCGATTTCACTTGAAACCGTGAGGGCTGCCCAATCAGGCAATCTTGGTGAAAGCCTCCGATTGAACATCGCGATTTGCATTGGGCGCAGGAGAGGAAGAGTGCGCGGCTCGAAGAAAGAGGCAATGATCTCACCACGCCTCTTTAACAGCGCAGACCCTAACCCTGCCTGCCCTTTGGATTCTGTCAGCCACCGAGCCACCCACTACCTTACTCAGGGAACTCGGCAAGCCAACACCAGTACTCCTGTCCTTTGGACTGCCTCCATTCCACTCCGAGCATTTAACGTCACCTGGAAATTAGCACGTAAGTCACCACATACGGCCATAGATAGCAGTCCGCTTTCACCTAGTTGAACTACTGATCACCAGATCAGGAGATGGGTCGGTAATCTTTTTTGGAAGCTAAAAGTCTCCCATTCCAACCTCTTGACCTCCCATTTGTTCAGCGGGTCTTCCCGTACCTTGCAGCGGCTCAGCGGCGCACCGATTTGATCCGCGGTCTTCCCGAGAACTACCTACTGCTAACACTATCAGAAACGCTCACATCTGATCTTTTTCGAAACCGACCCCCCTGAGCCCCTGCACGACTAACTAGACACATCTGCAAAGAGACGAGTCCGTCCGCCAATCTCTAAGGGCCTGGGACGTGGGTCGGAGACTGCGACAGGAACTAGGGAGGCACTTCGGAAATTGCATCAGACTGTATAAAGCAGTAAAGGCTCTAGGAAAGGAAATAGTTACATGATCGCGTCGATCCCTAGATCCCTCCCGTGCCACGGTATGGCGGAAATCGTGGAATCCAACACACTATCTAGCGTTGAGCAGCTTGACAACGGCCTCACGGCCATTCTGGGCAGCCCATGACAGTGGTGTCCGGCCGGCTGAATCAGCTATATTAACATCGGCCTTGCCTATACCAAGCAGTAGCTTGACAACGGCCTCACGGCCATTCTGGGCAGCCCATGACAGTGGTGTCCGGC